ATATTTATATCATATAAATCATATGCAATCATAATTGCTGTCATAATATGTGTAGTTATATTTAAATATTTTTGTTATTTTTCATCCATAGGTATTATTAACATTTAGTTGTATTACAAAAATTTTCAAAACCATAAAAATATAAGTCATACCAGAAATTTGAAACACATGTGTGTCTCTCCATCACTAATATCATAAACCGTATGATAAAAATATAGTGAATGTCATTGTTTTTGTGTCGTACGAATCGGAATCATTGCCAACAAWATATATATACAATATATATATATATATATAATGAAAATTTTAGTCAAAACTATTTATAAACTGAAACGACAAAAATGTTTATCAGATTTTAAAGTTTTATTTATTTATGAAAAACAGCGATAAACCTAATGACAGTCATATATATATAAAAGTCATAATATATTGTATATATATATATCAATAAATCTACTTTTTTTATGTACTATACTTTAAACACTGTATATACACATCAGTAATAGTCGTTTAAATTATTTTTGACAAATCTGACAAATAGTTTTGATTATTAAAATCCAATTTTTATTAATAGTGTGAACATATTTTTCTGCCAACTGTTTTAGTAATCTATAACTTATAGACTATAAGATTTGTGACAATAATTTAAACGGAGACACAAACAGACAGACAGACACACATTGCTATCTAAATAAAAAATAAATAAAAATTTTATATTTTAATAGACAAATAATAAAATGTTTAAAAATATTAATAGAGTTTAAAATTWTTRTTTTTTTTAATTTTCTTTGCTAAATATGTAATAATACTGTAATATGAAATAATAATATATTTTTAACAAATATTTAAATTTGCACATAAAATATGTCGAATATTTTCAATTATAATTATAATGTAAAATTKTAATTTATTTAATCGCATAGTTAAACTTATTTTTAATTAATCAAATYAAGCKMTCTTTTTTATTATTATTTTATATACAGTAGAAATATTTTTTAATATTAATATATAGTACTTTATATTTAACTTTTATAAAAAAATATATCTCAGATTTTATCTATTCTTATAGTTTGCATAGTATTAAATATAAATACATTTTTAATATATTTAAAAGTAAATATTTTATACATAAATAAACATATTTTAAAAAATAAAATTTTTTTTATTATAAATATTTATTTTAAATATATTAAACTTATATTATTTTATTATTTTTAACTTTATTTATTATAAATATATATACAATATATATTTAACAATATGTTTATTAAATTTTTTATTTGTATGTAGTTTTTTAATATTATTTATTAAAAAGATCAAACTTAACATTTTTTATTATTTAGTATAACATAATTTACAAAATTGATATAATAATATCAAATAAAAATTTTTTTAATACCTTTTATATGTCAATTAATGGATATAAAACTAATACATAATTATATTTAGTTTTAGAACTTATTGAAAATGTCAATAAAGAGCTTAAGTAATGTGTCTTTATTACTGTATTTGTGATATTATAATGTAATGAAATAATTTAGGTTTWTATATATATATATAAAAGACGATATTAAACATAAAATAAATTGTTATTACACATAGTAGACAGTACTGAACATAATATTATATATATATATATAAAAAAAATAGTAATACATTACTCCATAATTCTTAATTATTATAAAAGATATTAAGTCTATTGATATAGTCTAACATACCTGTGCAAATTGAACCTGTATTATTTCACAGCTGGAAACAGAAAACAGTTTTTAAAATTAATAATTTTTTAAAAAATCAAGTAAAAAAACATAAAACTATTTTTTAGTTAAAATTTTGGTTAATTTATAGGATTAATTTACAATTAACTTGCTTACAAAAAAAAATCAATGATTCAATAGTAAATTTCTATATTGTTTAGTATTAATAATGTGTTGAAACAAAAAATAAGGTTTTATTATGATTTAAATGTCAGCTAAACAATAAAAATATATATTAATAATAAAWATATATATTAATAATAAAACTAAATAAAAATTTATTGTCAATAAAATAATTATTTGTTGATATTATTACTAGTCATTATTTAACTATCAATGCAGTATTATACAGTATAATAGAAAGATGAAATTAATTAAAGATAAGTCAATTTTATAAATTTGTTTAAAATGACTACAATTTTTATCTTAAAAAAATTTGTATTAATGATTTCAATATAATTAATAATATATTACTGAATGTTAAATATRTTATCAGATATATTCTGTAATAAGAAATATATTATTTTTCTTGAAATTATCCGTCAAAACAAGTCTATTATAATAATTAAATTGTCGATTTAATACATTTTATTATATAATATAAATATTAAAAATAACAAATTATAGTTATTAAATATTTATTATACAAAAATTATTATTTTTTAAATATTATACATTTTATTATACTGTTATTATATATGTGATGTATATCTAGAGTATTGTGTTTGATAGACTGACAGTTAGAGATGATATTTTTGTAAATATGTAATAATAATTTATTTTAATATAATTTATTTGATGTTTTACAACAAACATATACAGTAATATTTAATAGTATTATTACTGAAAGCGTTTTAATTTTATTTTTCAATTAAATACTAGTATTTTTCTGATAACTTGCAGACCAAATGACAATATAATTATTTAAATAATATATTAAAACAAAATATGATTATTTACTAATAATAATAATAATAATAATAATAATAATAATAATAATAGAAAATAATAGAAAACTGATTGAATGTATTTACTTAAATTTTAAAAAACATATACTGTAAACATATACAGTAAAACCTATCAAAACAAATAAAAAGATTATAAAATATAAAAAATAACAAAACTTTTATAATTGAAATTTATATAAAAAGTACTATTTTATGCTTAAACTTTAGTTTATTGTTTTAATGAATATTTATTTAAAAAAAAAATAAAATTTAATTTAAACATAATTTGTTTTTTATTTATTTATATGTTTGCAAATATGCCTAAAAACTAAACTAAAAACTTTGCCAACAAATATTAATATTATTTTTATGATTTGTTAATAAAATTAAAAATAAAATTAGCAAATAACTAATCAAATTATATACGCTATATTCTAGCATATATTCTCTACATATATATATATATATATATATATATATATATATATATATATAAATACAGTAYTGTATATATATATTAATTATTTTTACAAACATAAATTATTTTGTAATAATTTTTTTTAAAATAAAAATTAAAATATAATTTTATTTATATATAATCTTAAATGAACTGGTAGTCAAAATCAACAAAAATAAAAAACTGTGASTGCGTTAATTTTATTTCAGTAAAATCTCGTACATTACTCTTTATAATAATATGATATCAATAGCAATGTTCACTTTTTTTGAAAGGTGTATGCGTGCGCGCCTGTATGTACAGTAAATATATTGAATTGATATAACTGTATATACTATTTATATATATATAGACCCTCCCGCTTAAAAAAAATTAGTTAGTTCCAATGTATTGTATAGTAGATCTCATATTATGAAGCGCTCAGTTAGCTATTAGCCAACTAGTYTTCACMAAAACACACACAAAGCGTCAGATAAATGGTATTAACCTACGGCTATGCCAAACATATTCATAAAATACTGTTTAATGTGAATATACTGTCAACTGTTTGAAAACTTTTTTCATTTAAAGTATTAAATCTCTTTTTTCTTATTTAAGAGARTTTTTCTCTAACTTTGTTTACTATATAATATGTTTTTATATATAATAARAGTAAATATAGTAATTCACTCACTTGTGGAATATTCTGTAACTATTTTATTTAAACAACAACTATATATATTAGTTTGTTATATAAAAATATATGACTTTACTCACCCACACTGTTAACAATTTTTATTTCATATTTTTAAACAGAATTAGAAAGTCATAAAAGTTTAAGTTATWAATATAATAAATATTATTTCACTTTATTAATAATAATTATAAATTATTTATTATATATATACTGTACTGTAAATTATATATATATATATATCTAATAACTTAAATTATTATATATCAATATATTAAAATATTAATTTAAGATAAAGTTATAATCATTAAATTTTCATTAGTTTAAATATTAATTAATTATTAATTTGTTTTTTACAGTATTTTTTTCAACAAATATGATGGATAAAAAGCCAAAAAATTATTAGTCAACATATTATTAATAATAGATATATCGACGTCACAGATATAATGGATTAAAAATTAAAGTTTAAATAATATTTGATTTAATAACATAAAAACTAGTGATACCTTTTAAACTGTTACACACAAAATATATTATTTTATATGTGATTTATAGAAAAAAATAAATTTAAAATTAAATTTATTTTATTTGCCAAACAAGTTATATTAATAAATTATATTTATGGYTCATAAATTATTTTCTATATTTATAGATATATATATCCAATAATTTAATCATCAAAATTGAAGATAAAGTTTATTGTTTTCAATCTACAGTATGTTATCTRTGTTTATGTGGACAAAATATAATACAATATAGTGTATACACACAAATAAATATATTATATACTTAWCTATAATAATTTATATTATAAATAATAACAAACAACATAAATAATAAAATTAAAGTATCCAATAATATGTGGTAAATCAAGTGAAAACAAAATTATTAATAACATTTATTTTACTATATATATATATAATTTGATCATAAATAAATCTAATAAAATTTTAAATGTCAAGTTTAACATTATTCATTTTTACTATTGTTAAACGACTAATATTATCTTAATTAATAATTAATTAATATTAAATCATCTATAATGAAGTTTATGAAACTTAAAGAAAATAAATGTAAATTTTTAAATAATATAAAATATTTCTACTAATATATAACAACAACAATAATAATAACAACATGTCTTTCAACAATACAAATACTTCAACAATTGATACTTTTGTATTAAATATGACCACATTTTTATCRCTGATAAGCGATTCAACAATTGAAGGGAACATAAGTGTTGACACAAATAATAATAATAATAATTCACACAATAATTGTAATCCAGAATATATGGAATTCAGGTATTATTTATTATTATATAAACTTTAAAAATATTATAAAATTAATAATTATTAACATTTTAATATACTGTATATTACTTTGAATGTTAGAAAATAATACTTTAGTACTGTTTTTTTATTCAATTACTATAATTTTGTAAATGACATTCAATAAAAATATAATTTGTTTTAAATATATATAATTATATTAACTTCGTTTATATAATTATATGTTTCAAAATATATATATATATATATATATTCTTATAATATGTGATATTTAATATTTGTTATACATTTATATTTTGCCATTAAAAAATAATAAAAAAGTGCATAAATATCTTTCGTAAAAATWWTAAAAGTTTATAAAAGTTAGAAAATTATTGGATAATTATATAAAAATTMAATTATTTTTTAGTTATTTCAAAAAAATTGCAWTTTATTTTATAATTTAYTTTACATAAAATAATATAAYGTTATACAGTATTACAAATTAAAATTATATGTTAATTTTGAAAATAATTTTTTATATATTTTAAAATAGAAAAAAATAATAATGTGAATAATTTAATTAGTAAATTACACGTGTACGTATTTACATTTTTACACATTTTAAACGTTTATTTACATARACTAAAACAATTTATGTGAGTATTGTTTATTAATAAAGTTAATTATCTATAATAAATTTTATGTATATATAGRTAGTCTAGAATTTCAATGTTAATTTTGCTTAAATAAYTGCATATAATTTTTGTTTATTTTAGTTCATAAAAATACATGATTTYTGCATTAAAATATATGTTAATTTTTTGTTGGTTTTGTTATAAACCATTAGTCTAGAGGTTTGACAGATTATTTAGTCATTTATCAACAAACAAACAAAAAATAATATATTTTTACTAAGAATTKWKTACAATTATAATAAAAAWKTTTGCATATTTTAGTCTTATAGTTAAAAAATACATATATTAATTACTAACACCAAACTCATTATAATTTTTACTATAGTATTAATATGCATTAAATTTTATACCAAAAAATGTCATTTTTAACCGCTTAATACATAAACTAAAGTTGCATTTTGTAGTAAAAATAAAATTAAARCAAATTAAAATACAAATTTATTAATGCATTTTATACATTGGTATTAAAAAAATAAATTAAAACTAAAGTCAAAWACTATAATAATAAACTGTAATTATAATCATAATAATAGTCATAATATTTATAATTAAACCGAAACACTACTGATGTTTGTAGTATTTAATCCGAGTTAATCTCTTTCTCATGTGTTGTCATAAAATTTTTGGACACCCTTGAAAAACGACTGTCCTTTAGTAAATGTCATGTTTATAAATGAGGCATTCCTTATGTGTTATGCCATACATTATTCTCCCCTCAAAAATGAGAGTCAGATTTAAAGGATTAATGGGTTATTCATTGAAAATAGAAATTTTCATATATAAGTCACTTTTGTATATATTTAATATATCAAAACTTATTTAATGAAATATTTTTCTATAGTATATATTATATATATACAGTATATATATATTATTTATTTATAAATAAATATAATAACTAWATTTAATCCAATAATTTAAATTTTTAAATTTACAATTTTAATTAACAACAATGATTAAAGTTAATCTACTATAAGCTGTTTGTTAACTTTTTTTTATACAATAATTTTTAATATATTTATATACACAYACTTGAAAAAAGTCATAAGACAATAAAAAACTAATTAATTTTGTTTTTSYTGTTWGTTTTTGTTAACAAATTGAAAATTAGATTTAATAGATAAAAAAATGTCTATTTCTCTAATTTTTTATATATATATATAACATTATAATGACAAATTGCAATGCAAATAAAATTGAATGATAAATTAATTTTGATAAAGTTTTTTTTCAACTAAAATATTATTTTTAAACTTTATTTTGTTTTTAAAATTACAGAAATAACTCCCGGTTTTGGGTTCAACGTGTATTAGTGCCAATCATTATGATAATCGGTGTAATTGGCAAYAGTATAACAATAGTGATTATGACTCGCCGTAAGATGCGGTCGTCGACCAACTCKTATTTGGCCGCTTTGGCCACATTTGATATGTTGTATCTTATATTTATATTTGTATTGTCACTGTCGGCCTACCCGAACATACGTGACCTCCATTACTATTATTATTGGTATTTTTGGCCGTTTGCCATAATGATTGCCGACGCCTCGTCCAATACATCTATTTGGTTGACCGTTACGTTCACTATTGAACGGTAAGTACCACTACTAGAGCGAGATATAAAWAGTTAATTTGAATTATTATACATYAAYTGTATATACAGTATATATATTTAAAATATTGATTAATTTTTTTTKWAAATCTTAGAAAACATTTATCTATTATTATTATTAATCGTTGTATATCTAATAAAATAAATTAATATYATTTTTTTAAAAAAATAATATSCATTTAATTAGGATACTATATATATTTAATCGACATATTCTGTATACWACAATATTTAACTATTGTTGAAATAAAATATAATATTTAATATATAATTTTTTTCCCGACACCTTTGCCTTTTATGTTATCTAAACCTAATATACAGAAATTCATTTATGATATAAATTATGTGGTCAACAAACAAATATCATATATATATATATATATATATATATATATATATAAAACAACGACGTAATCAATAATTTATAAGCAATTAATAGCCGGCACTACTGTGAATAGGTATGTGTCGGCTCTTTATTGACTAACCAGTCATTAATAATTTCATTTGCCAACAGTATTATTTATGAGTTAATATTACCGATTTTGTTATATAAATGTTATATATATTATAGGGTATATACTTGTATATATGTAACATAACACTGTTGTTAATCAATATAATCTTTAATTTGTGTAACATTTTTTTCGCCACAAATTAAATGAATGACAAAAAAAATAGTTATCATCACTTTATTTATTATAAATTAAGTTTTTCTATAATTAAATGAAWTAATGTTTTATTAATTTTGTTATTACTTTTTTTTATTTAGCACTTTGTYTTTAACACATAGTATATTATAAATAAGTTTATGTTATATGAATCATATATAATATGATTATAAATAGTATTATTGATAAATTTTTTATACAATATATAAATAAGTTATATATTAACAAATGAAAATTGATTATTTTATTATAAATAATTTATAAACAATGTTATCTTACAATAATAATAATAATAATAATAACTCTATCAGAACTTGATATTATTATTTTAATATATTTGAAAATTTCAAATTAATTTTGTAAAAACAAAATATATWTATTTAATTAAAATAATCTATTTAAACTTTATAAATCTAATAATATTATACAAGTAGTCTTTTTCTCATTTTAAGGCTAATAATAATAATRATAATAATTTTTAGACACTATTGAAAATGACAACATAAAGTACTTTTTTCTCTAAAAAAATATTACTTATTTGATACACACATACAGTACATGCAGACACACATAATATATTAATAWATATAAATTTATATTACGTATATACAGTAGTTTTTATATATACTGTATACAAATTATGTTGTTTGATCTAAAGTTGTTATTTTTTAATAAAGTTTTTTAGATTTTATTAAATTTTTATTCTCAAGAGAYAAACTTTGTCAGTAAATATATTACACTTTAATATCTCTTCAMTAAAAAAYTTATTTTATATACAGTAAACAWATATATATTATATATACTGTATATGTATTGAAAAATATTAATAATTAATATATATATATATATATATATATCTYTCTTTCTTTYTTTCCWTAATCATATAAATCATAAACCAAATTGAAAAAACAATCCAAACATCAGATACATAGCTGTATGTCATCCGATCAGAGGAAAGGTGTTGTGTACGGAAAGTCGTGCCAAACGTGTTATTCTGTGTGTGTTTATCGTGTGTTTTACGTTTACACTCCCGACCCCTTTCGAGTGGGTCATACTGGAGAAGAACTCGACMACTGATGGCAGGCCATACCTGGTGGCYGATTTCAGTGACCTGGGTCAAAATGATCTCTATAGGACTATATACTACTATTTGAATGTTATACTATTTGTTTTGATACCGTTCCTATTGTTGGCTATTTTCAATGCATTTCTCATACGRTCTGTGCACGTGTCGCGCAAACAACGTTCAGCTATGTTGCAGGGTATGTATACYTAAATCAATTATCATTAAATAAAAAAATATACATTTTATRATATTATTTTATTTATTTTTGTAAAMAAATTATTCTACATTTATGCTAATTTTATATTTATATATTCTAATTATATTTAGTGTAAATTATTAATGTAAAATAATTTGATAATTAATGATAGTTTAGTAAAAGTTATTAATGAATATACAATATGTTAAAYAAYGCTATATATATGCGATTRCATGCATGTAATAGCATTGATGATAATAATCACAATTAGCCCAACAATTGAAAACTAGTACTAYTACTRCTACTACTAGTAGTAGTAGTCGTAATAKTATTATTATTAATAATATTATATATAATATGCTAAAATMAAAAATAAAAATAACTTTCCTAATTAATAATTAAGTTATACAGTGAAAAATATGAGTTTTATCATTAATTTTTCGTTGTTTTTTATCATGAAATTTAAGCCAAAATATATACATATGTAGGTTGTATTATACTGTATATGCATTTATTTTTATAATAGTAATTGTTTAATAAATTATCTATTTTTAATGTRTAGCAGACATTTAAATAACTAATAAAGCGTAGGAAAAATGAWAATTTGTTTTTTAATTATAGTACAAATTTTAATTTCTAAATTAAATATATKYCTGTAGTATTGTATTGTAKTATTATAATAATTTAATATTTATCAAATAAATATACTATATTTGTAATTTTAATCTAATATAATTTGCATATAATTTTAAATATAAAAGTTGAATAAATATTTACTAGAATAAAGAGTACAAGTTTTTTATTTAAATAATTTGATTTATTATTAATAGAATACTAATAATATTCACAATATTTTAACAAAAAAATAAAAATAAAAGCTTTTAATTTTGTTAACTCTCATAGAATTCATTCAAATAAATGTGATTTTATTTAAAAAATAGTATTTTGTTGTTTAAATTGATTAATAGCTAGCTTTTCATAACTTTATAGTACATTTGTAAGGGCATATTGAGACAAAAACTACAGTAGAAACTATTGACAAATACAATTCTGTATACACTTATTATGAATATTATAAATCATTGAACTATTTATTAAGTTTTTTATTATCTATTGATATTAACTATTTTCTATTATAATATATATTGATTAATTTTTTGAACTACTATAACTTATAATACATTTTTTGAATTTAAGGTTAAAATAGYTATTAATTTACATTCAGATATTAATAAATAAATTTTATAAAAATTGTATAAAAATTGTTATTTTTAAATTAATAAAGAAAATTCATATATTGAACTTTAAAACTAAATAAATAGAATTTATATATTAAAAAAAATTATTTTATTATTATATTATGATAGACACATATACAGTATATTGCAATTAAAATATACAGTTATTTTCAATAATAGATTTAACACAATACTCTACACTTTAGCAGTAATAAAATTTTTACTTTAATAAATAAAATGTTAGATGCAATAAAATTATTTAATAATTCAATTTATATTAAAACACTTAAATACAAATTAAAGATATATATAGAAAATATCTGAAARTAAGACAAAACATATTGATTTTCTAAAAMTATTGATAACTAATAATATAATAATAATAATAATAATAGTATATAACTSGAAAACCAATTAAAAGAAAATAAAAATAACATAAAAAGACAATATTTCTAAATTAAATTTTAAAAAAGTAATAATTATATAAAATTTTAAGAATGTGTTTACTAAATATATCCTACAATAAAATATATTTTCAGTCAACTATTTCGATAAAATTATTTTAAATTATAAAATTATTTTAAAACAATAAAATATTTTTAAAATACTATTTTATTGATTAATATCAAAAACTACTTATTATATTTATAATTATGTTTGATATAATTTAAAATGTAATAATTGGTATTATTTAATTTTAAATTCATATTTATGAAATACATTATTTTTTCTTACTAATTATCCCTTAATTTGAATTTGTTATATTWGATTTAAATATAGATTTATTATTTAAGTGCTAATCTGTAAATTAGTTTTTAATTAAAATATTATGTTAATTGAATTATTACATTAAATATAGCAGTAATTATTAGAAAAAATATTTGAATTCATGCAATAATTAAAAATTAAAATTTATGTTACATTTACTAATAGCAGTATCAACAAGAGTTACTATTATATATTTATAAATAGTWTTATAATTTTATTATATTAATTGCATAAATAGTTAGTAAAATTTTTTAATGTTTTATAATGTGTTTAACTATTTTGTAGTCTTTATTGTAATCAACAATTGACTTAAATTCAATGATAATTATAAACATTTTAAAAATGATTTAAGGAATTTATAAAAATATATTACATTTTTGTTGTTAATTTATAACTTCATATGATAAAAATAAACAATTTTATATAACAATATGTAACAAATACTATATAAATAAATAATTGAAAATTTTATTAAAATATTTGTAAACTTATATAATAATTATATATATATAGAAATAATAWWATATATTAGATATTTTGAAATAACCATATTTTGGACRAATAAAAATAAATCTCAATTCTTAATTATATTTATGATAAAATAATTAGTGTCAGCAAACCTGTGGGCGTTTAGTTTAACAACACATATACAGTACGCATATATATATATATACAATACAAACTAACAATATTGTGTGACTAAAAATTGCATCCTAAATATAGACTAAATAATCATTATAATGTAATTTCTCTATAATTTCTAGATAATTGATTGACTAATATATGAATAATAATGCTTAGGTATTAGTATCGATAAGCCGAGCGACACATTAATTTAATAATAATCAACTCATGCAATACSTTATATCATATTATTATATGTAAATTGATTTTATCCAAATACAAAAAATGAATAAATATTAATCATAAGTAYATAATATTATTATTATTATCTAAGATTAACAATATCAATTATGTTTTTTGTTGTTGATATTAATGCTCAGTTGACATATTTAGTTGTATTTATTTAAATTTTTTTTATTTATAAATAGGCGAAACATCAACCAAAATGGATCCGACAACCAAACAGGAGTCCCGTATAACCATAATGTTGATCGCAGTCGTCATACTGTTCCTTCTCTGTCAGTTACCCACAGCATCGGTACTAATATATACAGTGTTTTATACGGTAGAAAACGACACTAACATCGGATGTCTGATCCGAGGATTGGGAAATATATTTAACTTTTTGTTGGCCATCAATGCTACGGGAAATTTTGTTTTATACTGTTTGCTGAGCCAAAAATATCGGCGAACATTTTTGGCCATATTTTGTCCATGTCTTAAAAGTAATTATTATTATTATTATTATTTATCTAGCTTAATTTAACTAATTAATTGTATATAATTTAGCATTAATTATTTTACAAATTAATTTTTTTTGTAAATTATTATTTTTAGTAGCATTTATTGTTATTTATATTTTCTATATTATTAGAATGAAAAATTTGTTGTCATTTTTTTTGTTTTTAAATTGTTTTTATTTTCTGCAAAATTTTATTTTTAGAAACAATTGTACAGCGAATGAATAACATTTGAATTAATGATTTTGTTTTGTGTAAATGACTAAAAAAACTAAATTTTTTACAATATATTTATATACTAAAAGTCTATTTTATTTTTTTAAAGAGTAATTTTTTATGTTTTTAAATAAATGATTTTTTTCAGTTGTTGAGACAACTGTGTACAGCTATTTATGACTAGTAGTTAGGGTAACAAATATTTTATTTTATTATTTTTTAATGTTTATTTGTTTGGATTTTTTTTAAATTTTTATTTAAATTGTATTTCACAACTATATAATTGCATATATTTTTTAAATTTTATTTTTTTAAAAAAAGTAAATTACTATTTATTTATAATTGCATATTTTCTTTTTTAATATTTGTCTAAGCCTAATAAATATTGTTTTATTATTATTATTATTATTTAAATATTTGTTTAAACATTTTATATGATATATAGATTATGTACAAACAGTATATAAAATTAATTAAATTTTATTATTATTATTTTTTTGGTTATATTTATAGACAAATTTTTTATCCATCAAAGCGGTGGATATCAGCGCACATTTTATACACAAGTGCCGAACCATATGATGAACAAACTGTCGGACAATGAGCTTAACATACGGTTCCGTTTTAATGACGGTTCGCGCCGTATGTCATCTCCGCGTCAAAAGATTTATCTATCAAATCAACATATAAACACTGGCCGACTCAGCACCGGTAGTCTTACGCCATACATGTTAGACAATAGACGTTCAATGAAGTGTTCGTTGTCAGCCAATTATCTACAGGTGCCCATCACTGGAAGCAGTACTTCGCGACTGATGTACGACAACAGTATAACCAGTAGTGGCGAAGAGGACGACGTGTCCACTGCAGATGTCGACGATACGCACCGGCAGGTTGTTAATAGTGAGACCAATATTGATAAATCTATATCAATAGATAAGATTAATAATATTAGTACCGATGCTATGATTAATATTACAATTAATGAAAATAATATCAATATTAAAGAAAATATTCTGTCAAATGAACGAACTTTAAGTGATGAGACTATGAATGTCGACTCAATTAATGATAATATTGTAAAAAATAATATTAATAATAATAATAATAATAATAACAATAATAATAATACTAATAATAATAATAATAATCACATTAATAATAATAATTTTAATAAATATATCAATATTAACGATACAAACAAAATGATTAATAATAAGACAAATAGTGAAGACAAAGATAACAATGATATAAATATAGCCAAAGATATGTCGACTAGTGATAGCTCTACAGTGGAAACTCCTAAYMACTGTATCGATACTACCGGTGCAACCAAAACATCACTACAGATCATAAATAATAGCCAAAATTCAATCGATGTCACAAATAATACATAGCATATATACTATAGAGAAAAAATTATATAACAATTTATTGTAAGAAATTATAAAATATATTGTTTTAATATTTGTAYTGTATATAAATTTATGTTTATATTGTATAATATATTTAATAATAATAAAGTTTATAAATGATAATTTATAAATTTAAAATAATTTTTTAATTTAAAACTATATTTGTTTTTATAATGTAYATATAAAATTACATACAATATATGTAATTATACTGTAATTGAATTGTATAATAAATATAAATGTTCCAATGTCCAATATGTAATTTTATTGAATTTGAAATAGTGATTAAAAAATGTTAAAATTTATAATATATTTATTTTTTTATTTATTTTATTATAGAGAATTTATTGTAATATAAATTAAATATATAAATTAAATTTTATTTTTTATAATATTATTTAATTATTGACTTTAGTTTTAGAGCCGACAACAAAACCAGCGACAACTCCGGACTCGAGTTTATGTTTGTCAACCACTACTTGAGCACCGGTAGCTGAACCGTGAGCTATCAATACACCTGTTTCGTCATCTCTTAAATGTTTATGTGTGTTGAGATCTGTTTGCAATTCAATAATTAGTAAATTATATTAAATAATTATTAAATAATAAGTATTACTTTTATCGTAAATATTTTTAAGGAAGGGATCGACAGGTTTGTTGTCGCTATCGAGCGGTCCATTCAATGCCGTATATCTCTGTCCGCCATAAACGGCGACTCCACCTAAATATTGTGACGAAAGCACCAATTTTTTACCATTTCTTTCGGCATTCAGTTTAAGAGTGCCTTCAAATGAAAGGATGACTTTCAATGAGTCCGAAGAATTGGCGGATAACTGATGACCTGTTTTTAGACAAAAGCAATAGTTATTATCACATAATATTACGACTGATTTGAAACAAACCATTAGTTAATTGAAGAAGAAATTCATGTGATTTACTATCGACTCCACTCGGGTTTAGTCTTTGAAAAAATATTTGAATTAATGAAAAAGTTTTATTAATTTGTTAGAAATATAACTTACAATTGAAGGAAATTCTGTGCCAACGCTTCCAACTGTGGATCAGTTGTAGCAAAGACTGCTGTCATTACTGACAATACAATAAGTGTATTAAAAATTAAAGACATTATTTAATATTTAAATCAAATAAATATAATTATTAAATGTAACTTTTATTTAATTTATTATTAATAATGACAATGAATTTATTTAGGTTTATTTATATACTTTTTTTTATAAGTTATCACAATAATAGTTAAACACAATGTAGTTGTAATAAACACAGAAAAAATGTTTCATAATAATTTGAAATTTTTTAATATTGATAAATTTTATCAAGTTTAATAATTTTATAATAATAGTTTCTAATACTAAATATATAATTTTTATATCATTATTGAGTCATTAATCCATAGACTATAAGATAAAGTACTAGTGTTGGAAAAGCGAGAAAATATAGAAATTTTTGTTTATGATATTTCAATGTTAATTTTTCTATAATTATTTGTTAAAAATTAATTATAATTATTAGTAAAAATTAAATTTTATTATTAGTATTAGTATAATTCAAAGTAAAAAATGATCTGTTTAATATATTAAACTAGAAATATATGTAAATGATAAATAAAATTTTACAAAAACTATAATTTTAAGTTAATTATAATTATATAATTAGATAGAGTATAATAATTATCATTTATATATTTTATATAGGGATCTCATTTGTATAGTATATTAGTTATAAATTATGTATCATTGATATGTTAAAATAACAATATATAAATATGGGTATCCCTTAGTATAATAATAAAGCAAAATTTCTATAGAAAAGATATTAAAATATATTGTTATATATATATATTGAATATTTTAGTCACCAAATTATGACATATAACTAGTAAAATAAATAGTGAAATTTTTAAGAAATTTACCGGGAAAATTTATTAGAAATTTCTATTTGTCCATCTCTAAAAGTGCACATATTATAAGTTTAAATAAAAATAGATATATTTATTATTTGTAAACACCTGATTATTACATTGTTTTATGTAATTATTTTTTTTTGCTTTTCTGGTACATATAGGTCGCAGAAATCTTTCAAAAGTTATTTACTTAAACTTTAAGATAAATTCAGAAACTTTTGTTAAAAACAAATGATTCATATATAGAGTGRCTAAATATTTTATTACTATGTTTAGAATTAAATTAGCATAAATTATTATATTGATATATAATTTGTAATCATATTATTATTATTTTTTATATAATTATTATTTTATTTTATGTGTGTAATAAATTTTAATATTTAAATATTAAAACAATTATAAAACATTATGAACATGAAAGCTGAACATGGCCACTCTATAAATATAAGTATATTTTATTTAAAATTTACTATTTTATAATTTCTTTTGTTTTGCATTTTTTTGATAACAAAACTGCACTAAAATTTAATTAGTATAAGTAAATAATGTTATCATAATAGTCACAAATTATGATTAATTTAATCTATAGTATTTATATTTATTTTTTTTTTTTTTAACAAATATTACTTATTGTCAGTAATAATCTAATAAAATACAATTTAATATCTTTGTTACAATTGATTAATGCAATAAATTTTGTTTCTTAAGTTAATATAGATTTGTAAGATTTGAAGAGAAAAGTATATAAAGATTTGAAATGTCGACTTAAAATCATTATTTAAAATAACTTAATAAAAAAATTTTAAAAATAAAATATTTATATAAAGTTATTATATAATTAAAAACAATAAAAATGAAATCAATTGTATGTCTATTACTGGTCTCTGCATTAGCACTGACTTCAGGCAATGATTTAGAAGAGACCGCAAAAAGTGTTATTTCAAAGTAATTTAATTTAATTTATATTTTATTAATTTAATAACTATTATAAAGTTTTATTTATTATTTTACAGAATTCATGGTTCATTTGGTGGTCAAAACCAATTGAATGCATTTCTCGATAAATCCAAGACATTAGAGACACCAAACAATAATGAGATCAACAAAAAACACGGTATTCTTGTCGCTGAAGGTATCGGTAGTATTGGTGGTACGTCTGTAATAGTGGCCAGAGGTCGGCGCAGTGTTGCCGTATCGACACAGTATGGTTTGGGTGCCGGTGTTTTGGCAGATATTTCGGGTAAACATCAYTCAAATGCATTGAATGCAACTGAAGACGAATTGAGAAAACAAGAAATGACTTCAATTCAAAAACCATTTTATGATAAATGTATGCATTATTTGTTAATTAAATAATTTAATTAAGTTATTATAATAATAATAATTTTTATTACATTAGTTGTTCAGCCAATCGTCGATAAGAAATCCAAATCAGATAAAGCATTTGTTTTGGTTGAAGGGCTGAGAGGACAGGAAAATGTATGGATTAATCAAAACAATGAATTAGACGTCAAATCTATTTCTGGTTTTGCTTTGGGAATCCTAACCACTGTTTCACATAAAAATAATTTGGAAGAAACCGCTGATAATGTTATATCAAAGTATGCTTTTAATTAATATTTAATAATTCAATTCATTTTTAATAATATAATTCATTTCATAGTATTGGCGCTCATTTTGGTGGAAAAAGTGGACAAAACTCATTACAAGTCAAAGATTTTATCCATGATTTAGACAACAAATCACATAAAAAGTCACAAAAGGGTTATTATGGAGAGGGTGTCGGAGCAGGAGGTGTMCTCTCAGTAAAAGTWTATTACGACAACAAAAATGTGAACATAACTAGTTTGTATGGTTTAGAAGCCGGAGCTTTGATTGGCTATAAGGCTGAACATAACAGTGCCGACAATAATGATGATAAAGAGTCAACAATTAAACAAATGAGTGAAACATTATATGATAAATGTATGCAAAATATTATTAATTTGTTATTTTTAGAAATTTTAATAATTAATTAAATCTTTTTCATAATAGACGTGAAATCAATAGCCGATAAAAAAGGATCGGAAGGTATACTGTTTGTTGCGGGCGGTGAAGGAAAGGGWGAGTCATTGGTTGCCACTCGTGACGGTTATTTAGCTGCCGGTGCTTTGGCTGCATTCAAATTGGGTTCTCTCACTAAAGTCCAATGGAAATAATTATTTTCTTGCAATCTTTAATTTATTAGTGTAATAAATTTATTTTTCATATATTTTATTTTGATTATTATGTATCTTTATTTATCTTAGCAATTATTATAGTGTAATGTAAAAAAATTGATATTAAAAAATTAAATGTTTAAAATTAATTACTGATTATTGTTTTAATAATTATTTGACAATTTATTATTTATATTTGATTCTATTAACCATGTATTTAATTGTTAGTTTTTTTATATTAGCAATTACAGTAAGTAACTATATTTTTTTAGTAATCATGCAATAAATAATTAATGAATGAGTATATTACAATATTTAATATTTTCTACATATTTTAATATTTTAATATGATTATATGATTTTATATGATTAGTAAATATTAAATTAATCTTAAATACTTTTTTTTTATTATTTTTGTCTGTATTAGAATTGTTATTAAAAACATTTATTTAAATAATACAATGTTTTAGTAATTAATCAAAAAATTTCTGTCGATTTTTAATTAATAATACCAATATCTGGATAATAAAATATATAATGTATATGTAGTTAACAGATGATGTTTTAATTTTGTGGTTTTAATAATAATAATTGCATTCAAACTTAAACTATATTATACAGTACCTGTACATTACGAAAAATATTGTATATTTCATATCTAATAATGTCATTACCTATCAATACTACAGTTTAATGATGACAATGAGAGATATCAAAAGTTAATAAGTAATGGGAAATGAAATTTTTAAATAGTTTACTATAACTTAATATTTAAAAAAAAATTATTTTCATGTAATTTTTTCGATTTATTAATTTGTAATTTGAAAGAAGATATATAAATATTAATTTTACTTTTAAATAATTGAATTGTTTTGTTTACAAATTAATGATTAAATATGTTTCTTGATGTTGAAAATAATGCCAATGTTATGACTAAAAAGTATAAATACTTTCTAACATTTGTCATATATTTATGTTATTTAGTATATGTAAGTTTGGATTTAATTATAGCAATAATTTTAATAAAAATTAGTTTAAACCATTTTTAAAAAATAATAGTCTGAAGTTTTATTTACTTTTTAAAATATATATCAATATTTAATTTTCAAAAAAAAAACTTTGAAAAAGTTTTGTTTACTGAAATCTTTTATTGAATATATTATTTTAAAAATCAAATAATTACCTGTAATATGAATTTTATATTAAACCTATTAATAGGCATCCAATCTATACATAACTGGTCCATCGCTTCTGGATCTCCAGCGTATCTACAAAACAAGTTTTTCCCAGATTTCTAACGTTAATACTATTCGGTCGTTTGCCTACACTTTCGGATCGTTAAGTATGTAATATATAAACGAATAAATAAATTTCTTTTATAAAATAATATATTATTTTTGATTAACTTTAATATTCATTATGATTATATAATTATAAAAAATTTATCACAATTTGTTTGTTCATAAACTCTTGCAGATGGCTTCGCCTTTCAGTTTATCAACAAACAGATTGGTTTTATGGTAATGCTGTTACTAATTGCTATAACAATGGCACTGACGCCGCACTTGTCATCGCTGAACCTATTGTTCTTCAACTTTGCAGTGAATGGCTTCGCCAGCGGTGGCATTGAGTCGTCGGCCGACGTATGGATTGTCGAGATGTGGCAAAAGGATTGCGGACCATATGTACAGGCGCTGCACTTTGTGTTTGGCATCGGATCCATTGTGACACCGCTAGTGGTTGAACCATATCTTGTAGAAGTTGTCGCAAAACCGGACAACGAATTAGTGGTCATTTCAAATTTGGGTCAAAATGGTACCGAATCACTGGTAGTTATCAATAACACAGCCATTACTACTGTCCTAAATGACAGTCAAATCATTACCGGACTAAACACTACACTACTGGAACAGACGTCACCGATTGGCAGTGAAGACATGTTTATATCGCTTGTGTACATACCATACAGTTTTCTGTCGGTTATTGTTGCCGTTTGTGGTCTATTTCTCGGTAGTCTCTTCTTCTATAAGAGGTATGTGCCGCCGGCTCTACCAAAAACACATCAAACATCACATAACAAAACTCATAACAAGACTACCCGCACATCAAACAAGAAGCCAACAATTTTTCAGAAGTTAAACAACGCTTTTATTGAACAACTAATGCCTACAAAACTGATACTATTATTGATAGTAATGTGCGGTTATCTAATGTCTGTCTTCCTGTCCCTCGAATGGTCACAATTTAATTACTTTCCGTCATTCGCTCACTTTTCGGGTCTACATCTCAGCGAAAAGCGTGCGGCCATCATATCGACGGGACTGGCCATTGCTTTTACCGCTGGCCGTGCCATAGCCATACCTGTATCACATTTTGTTAGCCCTAAGCTAATGATATTCTGTAGTTTACTTATATTGTTGGTCTCGGAGATACTGTTCCTGTTTTTCTCCAATAACTCCGAAATATTTATGTGGATCGCAAACATTTTGTTTGGACTGGGATTGTCACCAATATATGCATCCATCTATCATATGGTCGAAGAGGTGACCCAGTCACCAATCTAATGGGCGTATTGTTTATATTTATGAGTGGACTGACCAGTGCGCTCACACCTATTATTTTAGGCATATATATTGAATCGCAACCATTGATATTAGTTTACGTAAATCTCATTTGTGTTATTGTGTCCATAGTTCTCATAATTCTCATTCATTTTATTATTAAAAAGTGTATCATTGAAAGTGAAAACAGTGTTACAACTGTTACACAAACTATAACTACCGGTACTACTAATGGTGACACCAATAGACCAGTAGACGACACTATTGAAAGTCAATTGTAAATAAGCGATAAGTCATTAAACTAATTAAATACTATATTACTTATAGTATTCATGTCATTGAATTGAATTTTAACTGTCATTCAATTAATTAGATAAAATAAATAAATAAATAAAATTATTTGTCACACATTTAATTATCACTACWACTACTACTAGCTATACATTCAAGATTAATGAGGAAATAAGTGATTCATTGTAAAAAAATAAATAATAATTAAWATWAATAAAATAAYTTCTTTTTTATCTATTAATATTTAATTGACCTAATATTTTAATACATAAGTAGAGTTTAAAGATATAGTTCACGTTTTTATTTTTTTTCAAAGACACAATTTTCAGATTTAAATCTTTTGTAAATAAACATGAGATATAAGCAGACAAACAGGTGTTTTGGTCAATGATATATAATATAATATAATAATACTGTAATAYTAATGTTCATACAGTATTAATATTTRAKTTATTATAAAATTAATTTTAATACTTAATAAGTATTACTTATTATTAAATGTCACCAAAAAAATTAATACATTATATAAATATTAATGTACTTTCAATAATTAAGTTTTAAATGWTAATTATTTTTTGTGTTAATTCTAAGGTATTGTTAAAYAATTATTTTTATTAACATATATTTTATATATATATATATATATACATATGTTAYATAAATTAAATATATAATACAGTATACTATTTGACAATTGGATATAAAAATACAATGTTTTTTTCGAGTGATCTACCGTTCCTTCGATAACTGTACAGTTCAATCAGCCATTGTTCAAATTGACTATATATTGGATGATTACAGACAACTTCATATAAAAATACGGCAATTGATAAACAATAGAAAAGTAGTTGAATAATAAAAAACCGTTTGAGTCCTTTTATACTGATAGACATATCGGCGTCCAATCTATAGTCGGCCAAATTGGCGTAACTTTTCAAACAACTAAGCAATGTATGATTGACCGAATAGGTCATCCAATAATCGAACAGTCCGGCCGAATGTATGACCGAWATGTCCGAATTGATCTGTTTTTTAACATTTARCGGAACCGTTAGTCTCGAAATGCCGAGTCCTCGGGGAGTACTAAACACTTTTTCTTCGGCCACATATAGTTCCTCTTGTGGACGTATTTTGCAGATATTCATCGCTAATATTTTAAGTCTAATCTCTGAACTAACAAATGCATAATTTTTTTTGTCTAACAAATTAAATATTTGTCCATCGATTTCATTACTTTCGTCAATTAGCCCAAACGTTTGCCAACAGTTTTTATATGTATATTAATTTCTGATGAATTACTGAAACCTGCTTGCTAAATAGTTAGTAATAATAATAATAATTAGTATTATTATCAATTAGTTAAACTAAATATTTAACATACAATAAATTTGGTTGAACCCAGAGTATTTCTGAAAGCTACTGGATAGTAGTTATCCAAACTAGCCAGGTGCTCAAATGTATTAATGGCATCGCTATCAAAATTGACAATCAATTGTACRCCAATCATCGTATTGGCAATTATTGATAAAATAGATGTACTAATTATTAATGTGGCACTCAATACACGATTTCTATTGTAATAATTTGTATATATTGATGCTGGATTTTTTTTWTATAAACAAATATTAAATCAWAATTATTATTTAATATATATATATATTWATTTATTTTACAGTATTATAGTGTAAATATTATAATATTTAATACAATAAATTTATAATGAAAAAAATCATACTTTTAGAGAAAATCCTTTCAGTAATTACAATAAAATAATCGCTAATATATTGTAAGTTAAATGTTTTGTTTAATAGCCAATCATTATASAGRTAGACAATAAAAAATGATATCACCGATAGACAGATCATTATCCAGACCATTGTATTAAAACATTTAGTATAGTTAAACATTGTKGACGGRTGTATGATTGAAAATCGGCTCAATATAGTTGTCTGGTCGTACATCAACATTGACGAAAAGTCCATAATTGTGAACCGGGTCTCACTCATCAACGGCGGACCCAACATAATATCACACTCATTGCGCTGCATAACACCCGTCATACCCGACCACTGACCACTTTTGATGACTGTTCCGAAATTGTCTCGACTATATATTACATCGTAGGTAATGTTTCGYCTGTCAAACATACTTGCAATAACTTTCCCATTACTCCTCTAACTATTAGTCGTCCATTAACTTTGTCTATTGCCGACATTGGATCCCACTATTAATAACAATAATTAAAWGTTAATTTAAATATAAMTTWTATTCTTAATAAATGTTATATTGTTTTTTATATACTGTATAAATATAWATATMTTAACTTACATTGTGTGCAATTACACGTAAACGCATAATTTTTTTWAAAAAATATTATATTAAAAATTATTTATTAAAAAAAGATGATATAAATAGTCTGATAAATCAAATATCAAATAAAATAAATTATTATAAAATTTAAATATTTAGAATAATTTAAATATTCAAATTATTTTCAGGTGGTGTTGAAATGCATAAATTATCAATGACAATCAATTATTTATAACATAGCAAAAAATATAAATAAAAAAGGTAAGTATTAAATATATGTTACTGTAAAAATTATTATTATTATTAATATAATTTTTTTTAATGATGTTGTACTAACATTGAAATATTTGTAAAAATATTTTATTTAGTATTATTTGTTGTCAAATAATATAAACGATTGACGATTATAATTGCAAATTACAAATAATAATAATAATAATAATTTATAAATATGTAATGATATTCATGCGTTGATATTATATATTATATATGAAATAGTTTTGCTAATAGTTTTATTGATTGGCGTATTTATCATTAACTTGTAAGTAAAGTTTTTTTTAGTAAAACCATTAAATTTTTTATACTGTATTAATTTATAAATTGTATATTTATCTGGTTTTAGTAAAAAACAATAAAATAAATRAATGCAATTTTCATATAAACTTTTACCCCAACAAAAAACAATGTTTTGTTAATTAATAAAATAATTTCACAATATTGAKTTTACAGTATATCACAATTTCACACAATTAAAATGATAATGTATTCAATAATATATTGATATATTTATTGGCATATATTAATTGTAACAAAATAATTAAATAATAATATTGATAATAGAATTACAGTTTGTAGTGTAATATATAAATTATAATTTTAAATAAATACAATATATTTCATATAATTAAAATTTGTTATTATTAATAATTATACACTTAATTATAAAGTAAACAAATAAATTATAATTAAAAACAAATTTTTGATATTTTTAAAACTATTGAAACATAAATGATTATTATTTATTTTATTTATATTATATAAAAATAACAACATTTGCTCTACACGTTATAAATAATAACTTTTATATAACACAAAAACATTAAAGGGAAGTTGAATGTAAATCATATGTATTTATACAATATGTATAACATGTATAAAATAAAACTTTGGTTATCATTATATTTTACCTGTACAACAAAAAAAAGTCACATCAATAATATAAATTATAGACTGATTTTATTATACTATTTTATATTGAAATAAAAATATTTTCTTTTATTATTCATATAATATTTTAACATAAATTAGATTTAAATTCTATTAAACATTAATTCTTTATATATMTATAAAATTATAGTTTATTTTATAACTACTGTATATAATATGTATATTAATTGATTCATATTGTATATAAATTTTTGATTAATATAACCTATTTAATTTTTATTTACAATATATTACTTAATAAAAAGTTTACTTAATAGATTCAATACCTGCATAAATAAATTAATTAAGTATTGATTATATAATATACAAATATTTATTATCCAATAGCAAAAATTATTGCATAATATATTTTTTCTAAAATACATCTAATATATTAAAATGTAATATTATATTAATTCTAAAATCAGTCATATAATAAACTAACTATTTTTATAAAAATTATACTAATTTAACAAATTTAATTATTACATTAATATTACACGATAGCTAAAACTATAGTGTTTTATTTATACTAATTTATATGAGTTCATTAAACTGATTTTTAAATTATATTTCTTACCATTAATATACTAATATGAATAAGTATATTAAAAATCTGCTTATTAATACAATCCTTAAAATATGTTTTTTTTAATAATTTAATTTGTATATAATATATATATATATATATAAGTGCCATGAGCAATTTATGTTTTAACCACATTTTTATATTGCAAATTTTAATTACGGGTATAAAAACTATATTACATATTTTAAAAATTGAGTTTTTAAATTTTGTAGTATATTTTTAGCTGTATTATTATTATTTAAATATATATATATTTTTTATAACATCCAGACCAATGTATTTAAAATTTTTGTCAATTTTATTAACCGGACTACTTGTCCAGTCAGTGACGATGACATCATCGATGGACGAGTTTTTTGACAAATTGGACGAATTTGAGAGCGAATTCAAACTGAATCAAACAAATTATAATCAGCCAAAGTATGGCGGTATGAGTGGCTATCAGGGCCCGCAGCCCTGGCCCGCAAAAACACCCTTCTATATCAATCATCAGGCAGTTATCGACGACTGTGTCTGGGAATCGCTACAAAATCTACGGTTCCTATTAGTCTGGACCACAACGTTTCTCAAACAATGGCAAACGTTTACACCGTTGATTGCCGTCGATATGTCATTATCTATGTTTTGGAACCGTTACTTTTTGGGCGCCAATACACCCTTTTCTAACATAGTATCGGTRCTCAATCGTATGATTTATATCGAAGAAAACTATTGGAATAATTATATTTCGCAAAAACCTTAATAAATATTTTCAATTATTATTATTTTTATTGTAATTTTCATTTTTATGATTCATGTTTTGTGTTAATTAAAAAAAAATTATTTACCAAAAAAATTAACATCAATATTTTTTTTTAWTTTTTAAATTAGCATTTTTTAATTGTTAATCTGTATACTCTACTTATTTATATATTTTATTGATTAAATGAAAAAAATATTTAAWTGTCTATRTTAAATATCAGATMAAAATTAATTTAACAAAATAATTATTTATAAAGTAGTCAAAAATAGGTTTTATTTTTAAAAATTGCATTAAAAATTACAAWATTGCAATAATATAATTAGYTATATAAATTTTATCTAATTGTATCACAAAATTAAAAATTATAATTAYTTTTATTATTTTATAAAAATATTTAAAATATTGTAATTCAGTAAAGTTTTATACATTTTAAAAAATGTTTTATGTGTTTTAAATTATTATTATCTATAAATTTGCATTTATTGTAATTTTACTACTRTATATCTTGCTTTTATTTTTAAAAATTAATTTTTGTATTATGTGTTTAATAAATTATGATATATTTGATTTACTATAATATCTAGTATAAATAAAATATTATTCAATATATTAAAGTTCATTAAACTATATTATTGTAATTTAAAGTTATAATTTCGTAAAATATATAAATTATTTAGTTAAATATATAAAGTGTACTAATCACAGATAAAAAATGTGTTTCTCTAAAAATTTTATTAGCATTTTAAATGCAAAATTGAAATTTTAGTGATTGTAAAAAAATAGTAATTAACTTTTTATTGTAGTATAAAAGCAAATTATTGCCATAAAATTAGGTTTCAATTCAGGGTTTGAATTCATATAAAACATATTACAATATTTTTTTGAAACTTATTTTTAAAAAAATATGAATTATTTAATAAAACAATTATTACTTGTGTTGGCCTTAATGGCTGTTACGGTGTTTTGCGTGGAAGTGGAGGACAGCAATAATGTGCCGGTGGTTGTGGACAACACAAGAATTAACAGCCAATTGTTAGCATACTTGGCCTCACATGGAGTCAAACTCAACGATACTGACCCGACTCGATGGGCTGGTGGTTGGGCCGAACCTGGACCAGGACAAGGACCAGGTCGACCTGTGGGTCCCAATCCCACTGGTCCGGGAAGTCCATTGGCAACCGTTGTGATAGCTACCATCCAGACACTTAACCTGTTCATACCGGTGCTCACCACATTTTGCAGTAGTCTGCAGTCGTGTGCGGGACTGGTCGGTCCCGAAGCCTATTTGGGCCGATTCTGGTCGACATTCCTCAGCTCACAACATAATCCTATTCAAGCCTTCAAAACTACACTCGAGACAGCCATCGGTGAACTGGTAGCCTATGCCCAGTCCAATGGTATTCCAGTTCTCGCACCCAGTAGTTATTTTATGTAAATCAAGTGTAATAAAAAATAAATTTTTATAAAAAAATATAACTTGCTTAGTTTTATTTTTATTGTTTTCGGTGTATAAAAATTATATACAGTATATATATTTGTCATAAAATATTAATGATTTATAAAATTAAATTAAATTAAAAAAATTATTTTTTGTTGTTTAACTTTTGTCCACAAGAGGTCAGTRTAAACACACAATAATGCTATATTAAAAATGTTGTTTTTTTGGTACTTTTCAATAYAATTGATTTTATATTAGAATCTACTATWTTCTGTASAATAAAAATAGTCGAMAAATATTTTGTTGTTTTATTTCTACTGATTTATTGACTACTATTGATGACTGATGTCTCACATGTGATGTAATAATAATAATATTAATATTTACTGTTAAATGTGTGGACAATATTGTAATCATTTATAATAATTTCATAATAATTAAAGCCGTGATTACAGTGATTGTAATAATTGATTACATGTTTTACTAATAAATAAATAAATAAAACGATAAAAACAATGACAAAACTGATGCAATGGTTGTCCGCTGGACTAATGTTTGTTGGATTGTGGGCACCGATACTACTCGGTTGGACACCTGTCCCCGTGACCACCAATGACACACTTCGGCTACACGTATGGCTAACGCCGGTATATCTTGTGCTGGCCTTTGGTTTGGTGTCGGCCGCTATTGTCATGTATCGGGTAATGACATTCAACGACTGTCCCGACGCTTACAAAGAGCTTAAACATCAGATCACTGAAGCACAGGACGACCTCAGGAGGAAAGGCTTCAAATTTGAATGACTGTCCCATCGGTTGCTATGTGTTTGGATAAGACATTAATTTTTTWWWATTATTTATATGATATGTTTTTTATAAATTAATTAATTAAAACAATTATTTTTTTATAAGACATTCATTGCCATAATTTAATTATAATATAATTTATAATTTATTATAAGTTTATAAAAATATTTATTTATTTTTTATAAAAAATGAAATTAAATTTTATTAAACAAGTGATACATATATTTAAATACTATTGTATTTTATTTATTCAAATAATTTAATTGATAAACTTTTTTTTGTTATAATGTTTTTATTGGAGACGGGGAACGGTAAGCTAATAGAGGACTGGTATGTTATGATRATATTTATAATTTTATTWTAAATTTTTCTGCTTGATCATCTGATCTGAAATGTTTGTTTGTTTGTTTTAAAGTTATATCATTATATAACTTTGAAGATATAACTGTTTCAGTTATTTATACAATTTTTTGTTGTTTTTGCCGTTTATCAAAGTCAATGTACTGAACAAAAAAATTGATTGTTATTTTAAGTTAAGTTACGTAACAATTGGTTTTCATCCCCATTTGGTGTCTGTCCCTTAATAATGTGTCATTAGATTACTAGTCAATAATTTTTGTATCGGTAGTATGTTTTCCATATATAAGTTTGTTTTATTTTAAAAAAAGTAATGACTAGACATTTAGGAATGAAATCTACAGTATATTACTGTACTAATGAATGACAGACCATTTGTTTAGACTATTAGATAATATTATAAATATTTATTTTATGATAATTTCGGAGCAAAACAAAAAAAATCAGCCAATATTTATGTGAATGCAATAGATTTTTTTTTTGGATAGTTTAGTTTCATTTTAAATTTATATAAAAATTRGATAAATAAATAATATAAGTTTATATATATATATATATTGTGTATATACTGTATATATATTTCATTTATTGTGACAAACTTATTTAATTTTATTATTTAATTAAATGAATATAATTTTATTAATTAAAAAATGTCTACCATTTGGTTAAATATCAAACTTTTTTATGTACTCTCAATATTGTTTGCCATAATTTTTGCCCTTCAAAAGTCTTCCGAAGCGGTCAGAGTCCGAATTGCCGACAATATCTATATCGGCAGCGAAACAAAAGTTTTAAACGACCATAAAATACTATCATTTACCGGTATTCCCTATGCGGAACCACCATTGAGGGAATTAAGGTTCAAAAACCTTTACCCATCAAAAGGAAAGGTACTTTTGAAGCCACTGAATGGCCTAAAGCATGTCCACAACTGAACACGAAAATCAATCAAAGCGAAGACTGTTTATATTTGAATGTTTGGACTAAAGACTTGTCTGATTCTCGACCAGTTATGGTCTGGTTTCATGGGGGCGGGTTTAGTACCGGTGCCGCACAAAATGGCMAAATACTGGCAGCTGTTGGTGATGTAGTAGTTGTAACTGTTAACTATCGATTGGGTGCACTCGGCTTTCTTTATACAGACAGAGACGACGCTCCGGGAAATCAAGGCTTATGGGATCAGGTTTTGGCACTCGAGTGGATCAATGATAATATCAATTATTTCGGTGGAAACCGAAAACAGATTACTGTTTTTGGTTTTAGCGCCGGTAGTCGTGCTATTAGTTTGCATTTGTTGAGCCGACACTCGAGACAATTGTTYCGAAATGCTATTATGATGTCCGGMTCTGCCTTATCATCACTAAGCAATACTGATCCCACTTATGTCGCCAGAATATATCTAAAGTTGGCCCAACATGTGGGCTGTTTGGTTGATGGCAACAMAATTACCGATAGTGTTATGTCATGTTTAAGGGAATTACCGTACGAACAGTTAGTTAATAGCCAACACTCTAGAGAAGTATTGGAATCAAACTTTGCTTACTTTCCTAATATAATATTCAATGACGACTTTACTGGTGGACATCCGAAAAAATTGTTGGCCAGTAGTGACCGAAAAAAGAAGATAAACCTATTGRTGGGCACAACTGAAGACGAGGGCAGTTGGATATTGAATAGAGTGGATGAAAATCGGTTCCCATTGTCGAYSACACCGTCAATAACGTTGACCAAACAGATGGCTAGTAATCAACTGCAAGATATACTGAATGGTCTAAAAACGGATGCCCTAATCGATAGTCACACAATTGCCAGATATTATTTAGAGATATTACCCGATAATAATACCGATTTATTTTTGAAGACTATGGGARTAGCAMTGGGAGATCTATTTGTCACTTGTCCAGCACTTCGGTACGCAGACATGRTCTACAAAAGTGATCCGAAACATAACAAAATATATCTATATTATTGGACGTATAAGTCAAATACCTTATGTGGTCAATGGGCCGGTGCTTGTCATGGATCGGATGTTGAACCAGCTCTGGGCATCTCTTATGGTACCACCGATACGGACAGTAGGATATCGATGAGTTTTATGAARACGTTGGCCTACTTTGCAACAAATAAGTGAGTTATTACTATTGTTAAAAACAATTTATTGTATATTAATTTTTTTATTATGTTATGTTAGTCAACYTCCTCCTCAAGATGGTATAGACTGGCCAAAAGTCTATGATATTGATGGTCAAACCATTACTCCATATTATGAATACTCAATTGATATAAAAAACTACACAAACTTTGATATTGGCCTCAAAACTATTGAATGTGAAAAAGTTTTCTCAAACGAAAAGTTGTTTAATTGATTATAAAATTAAAACATTTGTTATAAAAATTAAAACATTTGTTATAAAAATTAACAAATTTTAATACTGTGCGTAATAGTCGCCGTATAATATTGTAAAGTGTATAAAATTATCAATTACTATAATTAGAGAGTCTRTACAATTAATTATAATATATTARCTTATTTAACTAATTAATTGTTTGTTAGTTATTTTATTTAATATAAATCAATAATTTATATTTCAATATATACCTGTAGTGTAAATGACTATTTTTTATTATATAATTTTATTTAATTATATTATAAATAATATGTGTGTTTATATTAAATAAAATATTATAATTATTTAGAAAAAAATGTTATCCCATCATAGATGGTATTGGTTTGAACGGTCTTATGGTCATAGGTCTGACAGGTCTACCTATTTGTGACATTCCCAGTCCCGGTAAACGTGAATTTCTAAGGCCTGGTCTATAGTCTAGTATGAATCTKCCGGTGCAAAACACTTCACAATTGCCGCCAGTTATTCGCAATGTCGAAGTTGGCGACTCTATATGTGTTAAGCCCTTCGGAGTGGAACAGGACATCGGCTCACGGCTACGGAACCAATGGGTGAGCACTACTTTACCMGACCGACACATTGGACCCTCAATAGGACCGCTTTGAGTGGCTATTTGTTCACCTAATGATTTGTTGAATATAAATGATTWCCATTTAATTCATAGCTTTTACATTCACATCATATCTTACATACCATTCACATATAATGACACAGTTTTCAGGTCTTTGACCAAAATTTGATGCACTTTATTRCCGGTGACCGTCATATTGAAGACATACTTTTGGATGAGACTCTTGAGACCCGTACACGGGATGAACGTCTGAGATATGTTGAACTTTCCGGTAATGTCTTTGACATAGAGTCCCGAWGTTGGGTGACATCTGAAGTCTGCCGTCACAGTTGTGTTAGTTGTTGTGCCACTTAATACACCTTTTAATATATAAATATATAATTAAATTTTAAAAATATCTATMTTTAAATTTAAKACCAATATATTAAAATCACTTACTTATGGCCAGTTCAATGGGTTTACTATTTTGCGCACCATTAGCTTTACATACGAGTGCATACCATATAATTGTTATTATTATTGGTATGCTATTAAAATGATGCATAATTATGAATTKCTAAAACTATTGTAAACAATTTRATTGCAAAATTAACGTTAAAAAATTATCCATAAAAATTAGTGTAATTATTTTTTCGCTATAATGATTAATGCAATGGTTATAACGGTGTCAATAATTTTGTTATTTTTTAAAAGTAAAATATAGGTGTTTAATCACAGGTGCTATTTTTGGGACAATATAAAAAAAGTGTTATTTTTATATATTAATATTAATTTTTGTTTAGGTCATTTTAATATATATATAAATATAAATATAAAATCTGAAAACTAGATTAATTATAGAAATCAAGATTATTAAATAATGTTTAAAATATTAGAAAATGAGATTAATTAATAAAATTGGATATAAATATTTTAATTAAAATAAATAAATTATTTAATWATTATTTTTTTATTAATGAATTTTATATAAAATGACTATATAAAAAATTTATCAATAATTTGGTAATAAGATTTTTATTATAATTTTTTTTAGTTTTTTATCAATGTTATACAGTATATTATTTATATAACATTAATATACATTTTGTATATTATAAAGTTTATATATTGTGTTTTTCAATGTTAAATTTATTTTATGACAAGGCTATATATATATATATATAATATAAAGTACAATATTAATGGCACATAATTTRTCATCAAATAAATGTTAATTGAAATCACTGGTGAATACACTTTATTGAAATCTTTAAAAAAAAWTTAAATAATTTAAGGTCTGTTTGATTATAATTGTTTTAATATTCATATAAATTCATAAAATTTTAAATATATTTTCATTACATTTATAATACAATGATATAATAAAAATAGAAGTGATTTTTTTCTTTATTATAAATCTTATGTATTACTCTTTACATTTGTTTTGCTCACAAAAATATAATAATAGCTGTCAAACCTATTAGACCATAAATTATTTGGCTATTAATTTGTATTATATATATATATAACATACACGTACTAAATATAAATATAATAATAGTTTCATATAATAAAAACTACTGTTTTATTACATAATGTTTATAAATATTAATGTCATATTAAATAAAATTACAATTTCTTAAAGTAAGATAAATTGCTTTGTTTTATAATATTAAAATTTATATCACTATACAATAATAGCGATATAAATTTATTGTGCTAAATGTGTGCAAAAGTTTTATAAACAATAAAAATATTAAATTTATTTTTATAAATTCTACATTTTTTTAATTTGATTATACATATTTTTAAAAATATATTTAAATTATAATTAAAAAAGTTTTCCACATAATAAAACTATTACTACAGATATTGGTTTAATTATAAGATATGAAATAAATGTTATAAATGTTTTTTTATTCTTCTAATTAATTATAAAAATATTAAAGTCTAATCAAAATTATGAATCATATTTCTAGAAAGAAATCTTGATTTTAATAACTTTATTATTATTATAATATATATCTGATATAATGTAAAGGTACTGATTTTAATAAAATAGTCCTTGATCCACATAAGCAATTATAAGCAAGCTTGTTTTATTAAATGCAAACTATAAATATTGCATTAAAACTTTATATATAAATTATTGTAAGTCTAAATTTGGTATGAAATCTAAATTTATAATTAGTTTTTAATATATATATATATATATTAAATTCATCACAAATTGCTAATTATATTTGGCACAAAATTACAGTTTTACTATTTTGCCGATGATTTTGATGATACACTAGTGTCCCGGTTTTAGCACTCATGTAATGCAAAAAGTCCACCCAATTTCCATGTTTAGGATAAGCACTGGTAGCTAGAAATACTGTATGTCCAAACATGTACACTTTTAAAAAAAATCTCATAAAATATTATATTAATGACAGTATTATATCAATATTATTATTATTATTATTATTATTAATTATTATTATTATATYAATTATTATTATTATTATTATTATTATTACAACAAAACCAATACATACTTGTAGTACAAGGAAGAGGTGGTCCAATAGAAAATGTGTTTTAACGCCCGGAGCTAATTACACTGGTATTAATACAGTATTATATTAGTAGTGTAACTAATGTTTTCCATGTAATGGAAAAAAATCACGAAAAATAATAATGAAAAAAAAGTTTTACACACAAGAAAACTAAAAGCTAAACGTTTTTTTTTTTTTTTTTCTCTCTCTCTCTCTCGAAACACGATATAAATCTGTGTTTTGAAAGAGAAAATATTAGTAAATTTAATACTGTCTTAACCTTCATTTAAATCAAGTAGTCGTGTGTAAGAAACAGTGTTTGTGAACTGAATTTGTTTYAAATTATTTAATATATAAATACTGTTTTTAATGTGAATATAAAAACTATTGGTTAGTAGTTGTCTGAAAATTAGTATTTGCCTGTTTCTAACAGTGCTCTGTTTGGTGTCTCTCAAAAAGCATCTAAAATTTTGTCACAATTTTTTCATTWTTTGGTGAGAAATTTTGTGACATTTTTTCAGAAAGAGAGAGAGAGAGAGAGAGARATTGGTATTTAGTTGTCTTCAAACTGTTTCACACAAATACATCATAAAAAAAAGTTTTTTCCTCTATTGTTTTATTTGAAATATTTTTTCATATAAATAGTTTTATTATTTGTAATTTTAAAYTATTATTATTAAATAATAATCGGCAAACTGTCAATTAAAATAATGAATCCAATAATTTTATCATTTATCTTCTCAATTATTGTCTATACCTCATATGCTAATGAAAGTCTATGTAAGTAAATATATGTTTGTTTATATAAAAAATATTAGATTATATTAATATTTAAATATAATAACATATTTATGATATTTATAAAACTTAAATATTTATTTATCTATACTTTAATATTTAAGTATTTACAACAACAAAAATATAATTTTTTAATATTTTATTAATTTATTTTTTTTCTTCTAAAACCTCTGAACAGTCCTAACGCCTGCAGTGACAGCAAATGTAACCCAATATCGTTACTTTGAGTGCAGCGGCGGCTCTGAACTGACACAACTGCAGTCCAGTTTCCGACTCGAGTCTAACCTACTGTCCTGTAATGTATTCAACTACGAGGCCCTTAACAGCACCTACTCTATCAAACTGGGCAATGATACTCACAGTATGAATGTCATATTGAATAGYTATGCTGTCACATTGAATGGTAGGTTCTGGAAACTCATAAATTAACTATTGTATGATATGTTAAATACTTTATATATTCGGTAATATTTTTTTATGAAATATAATTAGGAAACTCCATATATATGCTAAACGGTGAGATAGAGGACGGTGTGTGCGCTGGCGGACACTTCGATGAATTAACGTTTTCCGTGGCCGACGACCAGAACGGCTGTCTTGATCGGGGACTCAAACAGGCAACTCCTGTATACTCGATATTGAGAATCAGTGGCGGCCGTTGTCAGGCCGAGTGCTCGGGCGGTGTGACCACTATGTATGACCCGCCGCTCATTAATACGGCTAATGAGATATCGTTTAAATCATGCGATGCCACTCACGATAATCCTAATACTAATCCCAATCCTAGTGCTAATGTTAACGCTAATGCAGCCAATAATAATAATAATAATAATAATAATAAAAATAACAAAAAGAAAAACAACAATTAATGGGTTGTTTTTATGATAGTTTTCAAACATCATTGTTATTTTATGTTATAAATTATAACAATTTGTAATTACAATTTTTATTTTGTAACAAATTATTATGTTTTTGCTGTTATATGACAACTATTAATAATATGCTTTTAAAATATTATTTTTAAATAATAATAATAATAGTGTGAATTTTTGTCTCATATTATTATCTTTTTGACATAATTTTTTAGTTTTAGTTTTATTTTTATTTTTCTTTAACTTTTATTATTCAATACTAATATATGCAAAGAGAAAGCCTTCAATTATCATTAATATTGAAAACAAAAGCTTAAAAAAGTTTTATTTTATTTTTATTGCTTAAAAATTTACGGAAAATTTTATGCTGTTTTACATATAATAAGTTATATTTAAAAAACACTTGACTTTATTATGCTGTAAAAGTACAATATATACTGTAAAACTTAATCATTAAAAAACAATTTATTTATAATTATTAAATATAAAAATAAAGTTTAATACTTTTATAAATACTGCTTTAAAATTAATTATGCAAAATGTAGGTAATAGTGTAACTAATATTATTATTTAGTAAAAAAACTAATCTAATTATACAAAAAAACAATTTTTAAAATTGGGTTAATTCTTGCTCTGGTAATAGTCGACTAATACTTTCCATGCCGTCGGTGCCATAAATCCGTCGGGCGGTGTGACACCTGTTTTGGCAAATGTCCGCATTTTGGTACCCGATATGAATTCATAGTCAGCATTGTTGGCCGTATCGTAAAAATCCATTCGTTTAAGTTTCTTATTATAAGCGGCCACTCGGAAAGGTATAATTTCCAGATCATTCAATCCCGGAGCCATTTGCAACACTTTGCGACCGTGTGTCGGCTCATATAGATCTTTGCCTGTTTCGGGATGAGGTATTCCGGCCGGATCTCGACCGACGATATAATAGTTGGCACCGCAAACTTGACGAGCCTTTGCATGCCATTGGACTTCGCACGGGCCGGCGTAGGACATCGGTGACGGAAATATAGCCATTAGTGTGGTTCGCGGATCAATTACTTCCTCGTCAAGTACCGCCCGGTGCTGTAGTATTCGTGTTTTGAGTGGCACGTCGTCATCCTTAGTCCAACCGCCCAATGGATGCAACAATAGCACCGGATTTCGGTATCCTTTGGCCAACAATTGACGTCKGGTTTCTTGCATCAACAATGCGTGGCCATTATGTATGGGATTTCGTAATTGAAAAGCAAACACTGCATCCGCCTAATGATTGAAGTATTAATAAAACATTTGCTAAAAATTTTCAAAACTAAATCATTTACTCTTACATTCATATCATTAAGTTTCTGACGGATCTCTTGAGGTGTCAAACGATATTTGTCGAGTCCGTCATTCCATTGGATTCTGCGAAACACCCGTAGGTCACCACCTAATAGCCAGTTCCCCATTTGCATAATCATTTTGATATAGGGATGACCCGAGTTAGTCGTTTTGAATACCGACGCCACTCGTTCCTCCTTTCGGTGTTCATAGATCTCGATATCTTCRATAATGGCCACCAATTGATCACCGTATTTGAGTGCTACTTTTGTTTGGCCAGTTAGATTTTCTTTATCCTCATCGCCAATGGCCAACACAATAGGTATGGATTGATTTTTGATGCCCTTATTGACTAACAAACCAAAGTGAAGGCACTGTAGRTATTCAGTTTCGCGCATAAATCCCTAACAAAAATTGTAGCAATTTGTAACYAATTTATATAAATTTATAAAAAAATTATGCTGTTTTTTGTATTTTTACTTTTAAAGGGGGCGCCCAACCCTCGGACAGTACTTGTATCCATTGCAAGTCGAGCTCAGTTATCTGAATTTGTGGTAAATTATTGCCTAAAATTTTGTAGTCTTCTAACTTCGAGTCGGCTATAAATAGATCGTCGATATAATCTTTTGATAGCTCTTCGGAGATAACTTTCTATATATATATAACAATTAATAAATTATTTTTTAATTTTTAATTATTTATAATTGAGTAATCAATTTTAATAACAAATATATTAATGACAATAACTTTTTTTTCTCATTGTTTGACGCTAGAAATTATTAGCATATGTTTATACAAAAAATATTTAATAATGAATTAGCATTATTTTAAATTTTCAAATCAATTTTTAAATGTGTTTTTAATAATAATAATAATAATATAGTAATAATGATAATGATAATAATACCACTAATAATGATGATTATTATTATCATTACTTACGTTTTCAATTAGCATATCAACAATCCTGTGAACGCACTCATCGACCGACAACTCATTAGTCAGAAGCCGTAAATCTGGATTCACGGGTCGCTCGTAATCACTATCAATGCCAGTAAAAGCTGTTAGATGTCCGGCCCGTGCCTTCTTATAGAGACCTTTTACATCCCGTTGTTCGCAAACATCGAGTGGTGTATCGATAAACACCTCGAAGAATGACAGACCGTCTTTCTTATGGATATAGCGAGCATTATCCCTGTCCTTATAAAAAGGACTGATAAAACTGGTCAAAACTATGGCTCCGGAATCGGCAAAAAGTCGGGCCACTTCTGCTATGCGCCTAATGTTTTCAGTCCTGTCCTCAGCACTGAATCCAAGATTTGAATTGAGTCCRTGTCTGATATTATCCCCGTCCAGTGCATAGGTGAACACTTTGTGTTTGCACAGGTATTCCTCCAGTTTAAAGGCAATAGTAGTCTTACCGGCGCCAGAATATCCTAAATATAAAAATAGTTAATATTTTTGATATATAAATACAATATTATAATTATATAGCAATTATTAGCTTAACAAACCCTTTTACCTGTTAGCCATATAGTACATCCTCTGAAACCATTGCCTAGTATTTTGGCACGTTTTGCACGTGTAACCCAATTATCCTGATAAAATACATTATTTGCCTTTAAATAAAAAATATAAGGATATATTAAAATACAATAATAATAAAATAGTCATAATTACTGTATAATTATAATTAAAATAGTGTACTTACTTGACTGATTTTAGCACCATTTATTTCATTGCTATTTATATCAATAGGCATTTTTTTTWAATTATTTGCTGTATAAAAAAAGTTATATACAGTACATTAATTTTTATTCTAAATAATTGACTATATTTTAAAATTCACTTAAATTATAGAAATGTCACCAATTATAATTAATCAACTTATATATTTTAATATTTTATTATAATATATTATAGCTTAACTAAAGTTAGCTATGTTATATTCTATATTTTGTTAAGATAAAAACATATTTAATAAAATAATTAATTAATATTAAGATATTATATTAGACCTATGAATTWTTAAATATGATAGCTAATTTTTTTCATAAAACAATATACTGTACAGTATTTATAAGATAACTTTGTCAGTCATCACAAATTTTAAGTTTCTTAAGTTTGTTTGGCTGTAAAAATATTATACTATTGTATTTCATATATGAATTTATAAATTTTAGCATGATAAAACATTTTTTTTGTAGAAATATATTTAATATACGTTGACACAGGTAATAAATAGCTTTATAGTAAGTTATGTAGCCTTGTTATATACTTTATAATATTTTACTACTGCTACTATTAAATTAATAATAATAATAATAATATAAATATTGTTATAAGTAAATGTTAATTTTTATATAATATACAATAGGATATATACTTATTCAATGTTTAATTAGTTAATAAAACAGTAGTTTGATTTGTTAAACTTATAAATCAATAAAAATAATACATTTTATACATACTGTACTATACAATACATATACCGGTAAAACTTTATTTCAATAAAATGTATTTGATTTTAAAATCAAATTTTTGATGTTTATCATTTTTAAAATTTGTATTAACTAATATATTTATTTAAAATAACTATATTACTTATTTTTTAATATGTAAAAAATTAGTTAAGTTTTACGGCAATTGTTTATTAGGCGCACCAATAGATTGTTTTTTTAAATATGAAATTGTATTACAATTTTAGTTTATATGTTGCAGTCGTGAAGCACAGGTATATCTAAGCATAAAATGTAAGGTCAGTGCTGACCATTATATAGGGATTTTAGGCAATACTTGACCCATAAAATAGTTGGCAGTTATTGAAAAGTAATAAAGTTATAGAAAGTGAATATTTTCTATAAATGGCATAAATATAGATATTAAGTAAATTAAAGTGTTAATTAAATTATTGTTAAAATTTAGTGAAATATTCCTATTTTTAAGTTATTTTCAGATATAAAATATTTATAATTTTATCGGATATATCTTATTATTCAAATGTTAATAAAGTTAATGTAAGTATAGCACAGTGTAAAAAAGTAAAGTGATTTTTAAAATTTGTTTTAAAAATAAATATTTAATTATAATTTTAGTGATAGAATATTATTTAATTAGTATTCAGTTTATAAATTTCTAATTTTTACAAAAGATTTAGCAAAATATTGTTTTATTTATTTTTATAAAGTGTTGAAATTTCTAGACTATTATCAATATATGATATCATAACATATGTGAGGCGCCACAATAATTTGCCGGCAAAATATATTTTAAAATACTAATATTATAAATTTTTGTGAAATCAACTATTATTAAAATTAACAATTATAAACAAATATTATTATTTAAAATAACTAATTAATTTAGAATAAAATAAAATTTTTAATTTAACTTACATTTTCAACTAATTAAAGTTTAACGATATACTAAATAATCATTTAATTTTTAATAATAATTAACTATAAAATAAATATAACTTTTATTTTTAAATATATTTTCTGTATTAAAACAAAGTAAAATAAAATTTAAACTATTGTTTAGAAAAAATATATTAAATATTTTCACATTTTATTTATTTATTTACTATACTCGATATTTTGATATAAATTAGTTATTTATAAAAATTATTATTTTTTTCAGTACAATGTTATCAACTTTATCTAATAGTACATTATGTCAAAAAGTTTTGTATATTAAGAAATACCAATAGAAACAAAATATTTAATAATATTAAGATCAATGTTATCTTTTTAAAAAAATCTATCTTTAATTATGAACACAAAATGATTCATAAAAATACATTAATTTCGATATACAGGTGAAATAAATGTAATAATAAATATATTACTAACATAATTGTTATTTATCTAAACACATTTTTTTCAATGTTAATGATAGACTAACAACTATTTTAGCTAACAATTATAAGTAGAAAATTATCTATTGATATTACATTTTTTATGAGTACATAAATTATATACTACTGTAATACTTGTTTTTCAAATGTTTGTTTATGTGTTTTACATTTTTTTTCTTTTACTTAAACAGTAATAATTGTTTTAATATCTAATTTGTCATAATCGTCTATTAAGTACTACAGTATATAGATTTTTATTGTTGTCATTTTTATTATAATTCATTTATTATATTAAATTATGTATTTTACTGTATGTTAAATATTTATTTGACATTTACAAATAATTTATAATCTCGTTATACAAATTAAATTATATTGAATTAAATAGCAATGTCAAAAGTAATATTTAGTTTTATAAAAAAATATTTATAAAGTTTAGATTGATTTTTTGTTGTTGTTATATCTATAAATTAAAAAAAACATTTATAAAAATCAATTAACTAATAAAATAATAAAATCATTGCATAAAAATTTTAATAACTAAATATTTTTTTTTATTGAACAGTTATTTATTATATCATATACAGTAAACTGAACTGTATTAAACAATTTATTAAATTGTTAATTATAAAAATGTTAGTAATTTAAAATATTTTACATTTAATACAAAACAGCATAAAAAGTGCGTCAAAATTACTGAAATTTATTGTTATTAATGTTGACTCAACAAAAACAGTTATATTTATTAAAGTCGTAAACATATAACTAATAAAACCAACTAATTATTATAAGTAAAATAACTAAACTCGGGATTTACATAAAGATTATTTCATACAATTCATACAAACTTTTATTATAACTATAAGTTAATTATTTTTTTTAAATTTCTAATTATTTTTTATAAATAAAATATTTTTAAATTTTTCTAGAAGTTTATTAAAACTTTTATAATAAATTATAACCATACATTTCTGTATATGTTTTTTTGCTTTTACATTTTCTAATAATAGAAAATAAAAATCAATATATTAGACTGTCCTAATTAATAAAATAGTTAACTATAATAATCATATAAAAATTGAGTTAAATTATTCTACTTTTGGTTTGTAAATATTAAAATATATTTTTTAAAATCAAATAAAAAAAGTCTCATTATAATCTAGTAGTTAAGTATATAGTATTTTAATTATGAAAATAACTTATTTGAATTTAACAAAATTCAATTTTATACAGTAGTACTTAAAGTATTTTGTGTATTCAATATTTATTTTTTAAATGCCTAAACATGATTTTACTAATTTATTAAATTAATACAATATATTAATAAATTAATAATACATGTCAATCTCAGATTTAAACATTAATTTTAATAATAAAAACTGTATCCAAAAAGATATAAAAATTTTAAAGATTGTAGAAATGGACAAGTAGATATTTCTAATAAATTTACTTATGAAAATTTCTATATAAATTTTACTGTATCATTATACTATGTGACCCCCGTATACAATATATCTATAGATAAATAATAACATATACCAGGAGTTGCTATTTGGGGAGTAATGTAGGCTTATATAAAATAAGATTTAAGTTATATTTAATCTAAATATAACATTATTTTACATAAAATATGAAAAACTAAAAACTTAAAAATAAACTATATGTTTAAAAAACAATCATATTTTTGGTAGAATAATATTTTAAGTTAGTTAATATAATTATAAAAAATTATACTGTGAATATTAATGTTTTTCAGATAAAATAACTAAAAAAAATTATAATTTTAATGTTAATTAATTTTTTTATCATAATATAGACAATACTATTTGAAGGAATTGGATCCCTATTTATAAATTAATATATAGTTTTATAAGCCATTAGTTTTAATGAATATTTTTTACTTTTTTAATTAATATATTTAATTTCTAATTAAATTGATTTATTAATTAAAATCATTTTGTTGTCAGAAATTTTCTTTAATTATACCTTAAATAATATGATATGACAACTGTATAACTACTATTATAAAGTGATAAATATTATCTATTAACTAAATCAGATAAATAAAATAGTTTATACAGTTAATAACTTTATTAATTTAAATAAATTTAACAGTGAGTGTAATTATTGAAAATTAATTTTTTTTAAATAGTAATTTTATTTGATATATATACAATTTTTTATTTTATCATTTTAATTAAATTAAAAGAGATCATGATTTAAAATGGGCTAATAATTAATAAGTATAAAAACTGCATTTTATTTTTATATAGTATTATATTTTTTATGTTTAGATTATTATTTTTACTTAACTTTGTTTTTTCATTATTTTTAATGTATTTTAATGATATATTGTATTAATAATACTAAAAATATCGATAATACAGAAACTCTATCTATAACTATCATAATCTAAAAATCTATATATTTTTAATTATATAATAATATTAAAATCTGAGGATATTCTAAATATTGTAATTGTTTATTAAATATAAAAATTAATTAGTAATTGAGTGATACCCAAGGCAAAATCATTAATTATATTTTTGCTAACATTTTACATGTACTACATTAACATTAATATTTTATATATATTGTATAATTAAAGACATAGAGTTTAGTTTTTTAAAAAAGCGAAACTAATAGTAAAAAGCTGTTAATGATGGCACCGGTATGTGTGTGTGTGTGTGTGTGTGTGTGTGTATGTATGAGTGTGTGTGTGTGTATGAGTGTGTGTGTGTGTGTGTGTGTGTGTGTGTGTGTGTGTGTGTGTGTGTGTGTGTGTGTTTATGTATGTGTTGGACCATATGTTAGTTTAACTATTTTTGTAAGACATCGCTTTTTACATCTATTTTTAACTGCTTAGACGTAATAATGAAATTTATTGTTATTTATAATAAAGTGACAAAAAAGTTTTTTATCATTTCATTAACACGTATAAGCAATAAATTTGTTGCTAAAAATTATGTAATAAATAAATATATTTTTTAAAATACTGTTTTAGTTAAATAATACGTGACGTACTATACAATTCATTAATAATTAAAATAAACATTTGTTAGTTTTTGAAAAATGTATAGTTATATACGGTATTAATGTAAAGAAAATTATTAAATATAGTTCATATAAAAGACTAATTAAAATCAGATTAAAAATTATCTAATAAATGTTTAGTAATCAAAAAAAATTATTAAATATTGTATTATATTATTATTGATAATTTACGAATCATAAGGGCGTAAACATATTTAGAGATTTAAAGTTTTTAATCAAAATTTTTAATTAAAAATAATTTCAATTCATTATTGATTTATATTATAATATTAGTAGACTCTATATACTGTATAATTCATACGTTAAAATTTATATGAAATTTTTAAAAATTGTTTAAATTTAGATGATATATATATATTTTGTAATATTATTATTATGGTAAATAAGTTTGTTTAGAAAACTTATGTAAACATATGTTGCAAATAAATTATATTTTCTAACAAAAATAATCTGATAAAGTAAAATTCAATATATTTATTTAGAATATAATCTTGTTAAAAATATACACACGATTATACAATTGCGACACATTTATTCAATTTATAATATAAATATTAAAATTTATTTAATCTATAAATATATATATATACTGTATATATATTTTAGTTATGAAACTATTGGTTTTTCAATAAAACAGCAAAAAAACAAAACATAAAAAATATATATTTCATAATATTGATGATACAATATAATGGTATAACTTAGATGTATGATAATGCATATATGTACTGTATGTATAAGTATGTGTGTGTGTGTGTATGTGTGTGTTATCATTGTTGAACACACATACATACATATATACAACACACACACACACACACACACACACACACACAACACAACACATTCATATAAATATAAATCTATTTTTTCTCTCTCACTCGTTTAGACTCATATACAGTATATATATATATATATATATATCCATCAATGGATGAATGAAAACCAGCAGAAAAAACAGACATTCATGTGATATGTTGTATCGGAAAAAGTGTTTAACACAAAAAAATATAATAAATGCCGAAAAAAATCTCTCGAAACACATATAGTTTTGAGGAGTGAAAAGTGAAACACTGAAAGACGTGTCTTTGAATTTGTTTTTGGATTTTGCTCTCAAAAAAACTGCTCTCACTTTTCAATCACTTACTCTCTCTCTCTCTCTCTCTCTCTCTCTCTCTCTTTCTCTCATTCTCTCATTCTTTTACTGTCGGCATCGGTTGTTCACTATATTAATGTTTGAGATATTATAAGTATAGATATATATTATATATTTATATATCTATATAAACGACTGGATTCACTCAATTGTCTATTAAATGAGAGCTGAAATGTTTGCCAATTACATTGTAATACTTCTGTATTATATTTATATATGATATATAATTCATTTGTATGTGTACTGTATGTGTTACACAACAAACCTATTGAACCAAAGTGTTATTTATATATATATATTTTAAATTACAAAAACAAAACAAAAAATTAATATTTATACAAAAATCTGTAATTGTGCTAATCATTACTATTTATTTAAATAAAATTTTAGTTTAATCAATGTGTATGAAAATATTTATTTTGATTTTTTAATATTTTTTAATTAATAAAGTTTTGTGCAATTTTTTCATCAAATAATCATTTAATACCAGTCCAATTATTAAAAAATATATTATCAATTATTGTTTACTTTTATTTCAATTTTGTCAACTATTATCAACTAATATCATAATTAGTGTATTATATTTTTTTAATATGAAATCCAACTAAAATTGGTTATATTCACCGCATTGATTGTTGTGATTTCACACCCAATAATTTACTTATTTTTTTCTAGGTATGTTAAATTGGGTTATGTTGGGGGTAGGGTGGGGTGGATGGGTAGGTGTGTGTGTGTGATTAATAGGTTAGGAATCGGTAATTTGAAAAAATAAGATGATATTTTTAGAGATTGTTAGTTTAGATTTTTTTTTAATTATGATTGATTTTAAAGTGCGAAAAATTACACCAATTAATTTGTCCCGCAATTTTTTTTTAATTAAATTGTAATATTTAATGTATTTATTAACTAATAGTTTAAAACTTAATATATTTTGTCATTAACGGAAAACAATTATCCCAGTGTCTAAAAAATATTTATGGCAAAAATTCAATTAAACAATTTTCTAATTATCTGTAAGTAATGTTTACTTTTTATTTTATTATATAAAACTCATTTTGTATGTTTAGTATCTGTTTTATTTTTTAACCAAATATTTTTTTTTGTATTTAGTAATAATAATACCCGTATTTACTAAATAAAACTATTTAAATATACATAATTATTACATAAATATATAATAATTGTTTAATTATATAAAATTTATAGTATTTTTGTTTTTAAAAATATAATTTTAATTATAAATATTATTATATGTTATATATAATTGTAAAAGACAAGTGTTTATTTAATTTGATTTATCTTTTTAAAGTGTTATCATTAATCATATCAATTGTGCCATTGGTTTCGTCAGGTGATAGTCATCACTGGTCGTATACATGTAAGTGATATCAATGTATAGTAATGTTATTATAAGTATTATTATCGAGTCATAAAATATCTAATATATTAAAAGATTAATAATAGGATAAAAATAATATTAAAAATTATTTTAAACAATATTTCATATCTTAAAATAATTACTAAAATAATTTTACATAACTTAGAAAATAATTATAACAACAAATTTACTTAATAACTGCATAAGTTTCAGTATAGTATAAAAATGTTTATAATAAAACAATTATTTTATTAATACTGTAATTTCAAGCCTAAAATGTACCGTAAATTTAGTGTACAAAAATAGTTTTTTTTTAATGTTTGCTAATTTTCTTATAGTCTGGTTGTTATTTTAGGTAATAATATTTATTTTATTTTAGTTTATTTTTATTATTATTATATTTTTATCTACACTACACAAATACATTTCATATGTCTTCATAATAAGTAATCAAAATGATTATTAGTTTTTTAAGTTTTATGAAATATATTTCTAGTTTTTAGATGAATCTGCACTTTTATTTTGACAAATCGTTTTCTCTCTTTAAACACACACACACACACATACACACACATAGACATACACATACACATACACACACACACACACACACACACACACACATAGACACACACATAGATGTTATATAATTATACATAAGAATCTATAGAGATTTTGTTATATATATATATCTATATCTAAATTCTTTATGAATCTAAAGTAAATTTTAAATATAATTTATTAGATAAATTATTTTTAGATAAAAATATTTATTAACTAAAATACATTTAATGATTTATTGGAGCAAATTCCTATAACGAAATCAAGTGTTAAAAACATAAATTATATATCAAACATTTTAAATATAAACATTTACATATTTAACATAAAATACAACATAAATTTATGTATTAAATATACTAAATGTTTTATTTTTAAGGGATTTTATTTTTAAAAAATATTATAAATAAAATATAACAGATTTTTAATATTAATAGTATATAATTTCATGTACTATTTCAGGGCTATATGTAATAGAAAATTAAAGTTTTTAAAAATCATAAATTATAAATATGACATTTGTGGTCAATATCTCAATAACAAATATTTATATAATATTAATTGCTTATATTAATGATATATCAATAAGGAAATCCTAATTATTAGTTATTATAGTAATATTTTATTTAATATAACATATCCTAAGTAAATGTGTAATTTTTAAAATCTAAATGTTTAAATAGATAACATAGATATTATACACCAAACAAAAGGGTTAAACATTTTCAAAAAAAATTTCAGCGGAAGTCATTGAAACTATTTTTTTGCATAATTATACTGTAATATATCAACAATCAATTTAAATATATATACCCTATATTATACAATCTTTATCAATCTATCATATTGTTGTTATTATAAGCAAATAAATTGAATATATGGACTGTAATTACTAATTCATTAAATACTTTTTGGAAAAAATTGTTTTTAAAAAAAACTTAAGCATTTGTTATTTAAAAAGCAATCGATCATATAATTTGATTGATGTTAATTTAACTGAGAACATAAAAACAATAATATTAATTAAATAAATATTAACCTTGATATATTTGACCAAAAATTTAACATTTTAATTTTGTATATATATATAATATTTATCTAATCAAATTTTTAGTGTTGTCATAATAGGGGAAAACTTTAAAATATATACACATTATTTAATTTACACAGTATTTGATTTTATTAATAAAAAATAAGTCAACATAGGTCATTTAAATTAAACCCTAATGTACAGTACATTAGTTTTTTTAAAACCATTGACCTACAGTATTATAATATTATACATTTTCAACAAAATAAAACAATGAATGTACAATATTTGTTTGTTGAAATAAATATCTGAAAAATACAATAACTATGTTTTAGATGTGAAAATAGATACTAATAAAAAAAACAATTGTGAATTTAATTCAATTTGAAAACAGTAATAATAATAATAATAGTAATACTAAAATATATTTATAGCTCAAAATGAATGGCCAAAATTATGTGCAACCGGTAGCCAACAGTCACCTATCAATATCGACTCTCATAATGTTTGGGTCAACACAACTATAGCCATAGATTTTAAACACTACGAAACAGAGTTTCCAACGATAAAGATCTCAAACAATGGACACACCGGTTGGTTAAATGTTACGCCAATAATCAATAGTCTATTATAATGTATAAAATTATTACTATTACTACTATTAAAATTATAAATCAGCCGTTTTGACAATTGACTGGTCGTCCGATGAGACCACACAGCCATACATAACTGGTCCGGCACTGGCCAACGAGCTATACTCTATGGCACAGTTGCACTTTCACTGGAGTGACAATAAGGGACGGGGAGCTGAACACACTATTAATGATCGACCCTATTCTATGGAGGTATGTCCTAATTAAACTTTAAACATTAATTTATAATTAAATAATTAATAAAAGTTGAAAATTGTAATTAAATTTTGTTTTATTTGTTTAATAGATGCACATAGTACATTTCAATAGGAAATATGATAATATCAGTGAAGCCATCAACCATAAGGACGGTCTGGCAGTTTTGGCCGTACTTTTTGCGGTATTTCCATATAATTTAATTTATTATTATTATTATTATTATTTTATATTAGTATCGTTATAACAATATAACTATAAATTACAAAATGACTTAATATATATTATTATAACTGATACTTTTTTGTTGTTGATTAATTATGAAATTTGTGATTAACCCAAAATATGACAATAAGTATATTATTATTATTATTWTTTTTTATTAAAATTAAAGCAAAATAACTTAATAAAATGTAAATTTTAAGAAATATAAAGTGTAAAAATGCTTTACAATTGAACTACTTTTAATACAATACGTATTAACACAATATAAATAGCATATACTCTTTAAAAATTGTAGATAAGTATCGTTATAAAAAAAGTAGAGTAATATAAAAATACAATAAAATTGTATTGAATATAATGGGCTATAATTTTTTTTATATAACACTAGACTAGTATATTATTGGTCGAGAAAATAGACTTTTAATCTAATATTTTATATTCAAGTCGATGTCTAAGATAGACAATATACAGTATTGTATAATGTAATGGATTGATATTATTTTTTTGTTGTTGAAAAAGCTTTTATTGTATTGTAAATATAAAAGTATATAAACATATAAAAAAAGTAATCCAGTGTTACTTACATATCTATAAATATCTATAACACATAAATAATATTGATTTTGTTTGTGTGTGTCCTATATAATTGTTAGAACAGTATTTTTGGAGTATTAAACTGCATTTTTATACATACATCTATATTATTAAAAAAAATTATGATAATTTTATACTAAAAATACATGCATTAATAARTTAATTAGTATTACAAGTTATTTATTATTGATCAGTAATAGTTAATTTGTATATTTTTCAATTTTGACCGAAATATTATTATTCACTAAATTTATTCATTACAATCGTATATTAAATAATTTTTCAGTAAAAAAAATAATAATAAACAATTACATTAGTAGTTTTGTTGAGTTTGTTTTTAAATTAATTATTGTCATATAAAASTCCTGATATTTTATTAAAAATTAAATTTCACAATAAAATTGTTAATAACTTTCTGKTATTGATTTCATAACCCTATTAATTGATACATTATTGTACATTTAATTTATTTGTTTTTAAATATTAATAGATAATTATTATTATAAGTCACGGACTTTTTTTTAATAAAAGATGACATTTCATATTATATTTAATTATAATTATGACATTTGTCTAATAATATTAGTAACAGTAAATTATATTATTATTATTTATAATTAATAAATTATAATTTGTTAGCTATTTTTATTTACTGTATTATTGATTAATATTAATTTTAGAAATTATATATAAATAATTTATATGACATATTTATTATTAATCATTTCTTTTAATTATAAATATTGTTTATATTTTATGGTAATAAATTTTAGGTATAAATATTGTTTATGTATTAAATTAATTTCATATCATCAGTTTATATATAGTTTTTGTGYTATCATTTCATATGATACATCTATATATGCTTTTAAAATATCTTATATTTAAATAAACAAATAAAAATTGATTTAATAAAACATTAATTGACAACATATTTATAATTTTATTTTATAATTTGAAACAAAACAGATCACCCGTAAAGAGAACCCGCATTTGTATGCCATTATTGAAGGCATAAAAGCTGTCAAAATCGAGGGCTTAGCTGAGTATCAGTCGGCGGCACCGTCTGAAAGAATACCGGCTCTCAGATTAGAAAATTTATTGCCCAACGATCTGACATTTTTCTATAGATATAAGGGCTCACTAACTACACCTCCCTGTTCAGAGTCAGTCATTTGGCTAGTGTTTCATGAAACCAATGAAATTGGACTCAAACAAGTATATCATTTTTTAAAACTATATATTAAGTGAGTGTGTGTGTGTGAGAGAGAGAGAGAGAGAGAGAGAGAGAAAGAGAAAGTAAAGCAATAAAACTGTTTATATAATACTAAGGTTTTAAAGTATTAAATGATAACTTTTATAATTATTAGATCCAAACCTTCAGAGACTTAGTGAACAGCCATAAGACACCACTGGGCGATACATTCAGACAATTGCAGCCATTAAATAGTCGACGGATCGAGTCGTCCAAACAAATCAYGGCTAGTGATGGCATACAATTGACTAGTAGTCAAGTGTTGACACAATTTTTACTTACAATGTCTAGTCTAGTGTTTATTTTGCGGTCAAAATATTAATAATTAATATATACACAAATTTTAATTTTAAAAAAAACTATAATAAAATATAAACTTACAGTAATCGAGAGCTTATAAAGAAAAATTAGAATTTATTAACAATAATAAATAGCTATCAATTTTAAATACATTACAAAAGTGAGATTTTAATTTAATTATAATACAGTTCATTATAAATCAATGTTTGATTACATAATTTATAAATAGTACATAATTATTRTAACATTATTATACACAATATTATTATAAGTTTATATAGTAGTTGAGTTAATTGACTTAATATTTACTATAAAAAAAACTAGTCAGTACATTTTAAAAACTATATTTACTTAAAAAATATATAAACATTTTAATTATAAAGTTATATGACTAGATTTTTAACTATAATTTTAATGAATATATTTTATTAATTATATTTTAACAATGGGCCAAATATATTTTTACAAACTGTTACATAAATTGTGTCAAAATAGGGGGACATATAAAATATAAAAAATATTTTTATCATGAAATTTATCATTATTATATAATTTTAGAGTCATTAATAATACAATTATTTTAAATAATAGTGCAATATATTTTAGATATATTTATAAATATCTAACAAATTTTATTTCTTATATATTTATCTTATTTTTATTATACATTATATAAGTAGATATATTATTATAATATATATATATAATTTATATCTTATACATAAAATATTTTGTCTGTTTGAATGAATTTTAACTTTAAAATAAATAATTATATAATATCTATTTTAAAAATTATTTTAATCAATAATAAAAATTATGGCAATGTTTACACTTTTAAAAATATTGTAAATATATTAAAATACAAACATTTAACTGCTTTTTAAACTTAAGATTATATAAATTTAAATAATAGTCAATATATTGTTCATAAAAACTTGTTTTATGGCCGTAAGTCGTGACCAATTGATTCATGAAAAACAAACGGTGCTCTCGAAGGACTCGTCATATATATTGTATTTGAAGGACAATATTTGGCCATTTATTTCAATTGTAAAGAAAAAAAACAATATCTTAACATTTAATTAGGTATTTATTTGAAAGCTGCTGATTATTACCTGTAATTAAAGTTATAATAATAATAATAATAATAATATATCATAAAATTGAAGACAATGTGTTGAATGGGATGAACAACCAAATTATTTGCAATATTTTTTTTAGTCTCATTCCTTATATGTATTTAGACAAAAACACAATACAGTATATACAGTAGTAATACAAATAATAATAATAATAATAAGTTAGAATTGAAATCATAAAAAAAACTTTGTAAAAGTTAAATAATAAAATTGTTGTTATTATTAACACTGTTTTCACAATATTTTATTTTTTGATATATATATATGTATATATATTTATTTAAATTAAAAAAATAAATACAATATTTACTAATCAATTGTGTAAACAATATGGACACGAGATATGCTGAATATGAGGACATTATTGAAGAGGTCGGAGGTTTTGGCAGATATCAGAAATGTTTGGTCGCTTTGTTGATACCCGTGTCGATTGTCTCAGCATTTCATCACAATATTATGTAAATATTAATATATTGATTTTATTGATTTTTCATATAAAATCAAATTATTTATTTTTATATTTTTTTTATTAACAATCTATAAATCTTAAATTTAATATTATAAGCGATAATCAATAATATCATATAATGTTTAATAATAAATATTTGTTTTTTCTGTTTGTTTTTTAATTTACGATGAATTTACGGAACAGTCATTTTAAGCTAATGCCTGACCATTGGTGCGCTGTACCCGAATTGGCCAACTTTTCGCACGGCGAACAGCACAGACTTATACGGCCAGTGGTCATTCAGGCGACCAACAGTGGCATCAATGGTCACCAACAACGAGCAGTACGAGACACTTGTCTAATGTTTGACATAGACTACCAACAGGTGCTCAATGAGCTACGACTACCTCCCGTAAACCAAACTAAATGTCACAAAAAGCTATCGGTTAAGCCATGCAATAGGGGATGGCTTTACGATAGAAGTCAGTATTGGGATAGTTTTGTTATGAAGGTAACTGTTTTTTGTTTGTTTGTATTTTACTTCAATTTGTTAATTAGATTTGTTATTTATGTTATTCATATAGTTTGATATTGTATGCGAAAATAGCCATAAGTTCAATGTTATACCATTTATAAGAACAGTTGGATCGATATGTGGTACTCCTCTGTTTGGATTGATTGCCGACTTGTAAGTCATTTACTAATATTGTAAGAATAATTTGATCAATGAATTTAGTGATCAACTAATAAGTCAATAGAAATGTTATCTATTTATATAATGATTAAGTTGTATAAAATTTTTTTATATACAGTAGTAATATAATACTGAATAGTATATTAATCTTTAGAAATGCAACCCTTTTCTCGTAGGTATGGCCGCAAAGTCAGCTATATATCACTACAGTTAACCAGTCTTATCGCATCAATATTATCGCCGATAATATTACAAAATTACTATATATTTCTAGTTTGTCAGTTCACTATTGGTCTAACTTATCCATACAGTCATCTAATTGTTTGTATATTAAGTAAATATAAAATATTAATATTTTTAAACTGTTAATTGAAAATTATTATATACAGTATATATATAATACAACGCTTTATATGATTATTATAAACATTTATCTTAATATTGTTTGTTTGTTTAATATCCCATAAATTATTAGTAATAGAGTTTCAGTGCCCTAAAGACAGAGCCAAATCTCTGGCGATGGTATGGATTGGCCTATCATTGGGCGCAACCATACATACAATCATTATTTATTTGATTCCTCACTGGATTTGGATGACTATCTTTAATATTGGTTTAACGATACCATTGATTTTGGTTACTTTAAGGCAAATAACAAAATAAACTTTTTATATATTTGTTTATTTATCTAAACACGCAAATATTGATTTTACTTTTCACTTGAAATTTTCATTAATATCTAATTAATTTTTTTAATCAACAATAAAAAAACGTCTCAACATTTAAAACTAATATTTATATTGCATTTTCTATTTGCAATTAATAATTGAATATAAAGTAAACTAATTATTTATTTATTTGTTTGTTTGCCTATTTGTTTAGATGGACACCGGAATCGCTTCAATGGTTAATAATAAAAAACAAATACAATTTGGTTGAGACAACGTTTAAGCAAATAATGCAAATAAATAATCAATTAATTGATGAGGACTTACTTTCAATGCAAGTTCAGGTTTACATTGATTTTATTTGATGGCATATTTGATTGCTATATAAATTATTAAGACTTAATTATTTTAAATAAAAATAATTAATTTAGTACATTTGTATATTAGGTATCTTTTATTTTAGTTAATTGTAGTTATATATTAGTTTTGTTTTAGTTTATTATATTATTATTATTTTTTTTTAAACAGAAAATAGGAAAACCAGTTACAAGTGATGAACCGGTAGATGAAGAAGAGATATTGCAAGCAATTATACTAAAAGAGTCGCCACTGAAACGGATCCACAAATTAGTGATAAAATTTCTGAAAGAGACGACACTGTTTCAGACATTATTTATATTATCACTCAGTTTTGTCATCAATTTCATGAGTCAACATATCTTTAACAAACATCGCTATGTTTTCGCTAAACAGGATATACTTCTCAATGATATCATTTGGTCGTCGCTAAGATTGCTGCCGATACTCGTCACGTGGTTTTTGATACAGAGACGCACCGGTAGACGACTGACAAACTCATTGATCATTTCACTGATAGGAGTGACAGTACTTAGCCTTTGGCCAACCAATACTTCAGAGATTAGATTCTGGATATCACTGTTTGGCGTAATGCTAAACACCGGCCTATTTATGACAACATGTTTGTTGGTTATTGAGTCCAGTCCGACATCTTTCCGGTGCTCAGCATTGGCCGCTACTCTTTCATTGGCCAGACTAGCCGTTATGGTCATCACAAACATCTTTAATATTGTAAACCAAATTTAGTATATATAAAATCATTTTAAGAGCTATAAAATATGTATTTTTAAAGGATAATTATGATATTGAATGGTGGTGTTTGGCTATCACAGCGGGAATAGCCCTAATAACCGGCTTTTTGGCCACTTTTCTAATGGAAACACTGAGAGAAAATATGCCGCAAAGTTTTGCCGACTCTGAGAGACTACTGAATGATATGAAGTACTGGACATTAGCCAAGAGGAGGTGCGACCTCAAGAGCTATGTATTTAAATCATTGAGCAAATGGTCGATCAATGAGATCGACGGACTCGACAACAGTTGACAACAAATGCAATACGTGTCCAATACTTGAGTTTTGTTTAATTTGTTACTAAATATATAATTTTACTAATTATTTATAATCTTATTATTTACTAATCATTTTATTTATAAAAAATAATGTTTAACATGAATATAAAATTGTTTTTTTTAACTAATATCATATCTATTGTAAATAAATATTTATATAAAAAAATAAACATATGCAACAACTAGACATAAAATATCATAAATATAAAAACATTATATAAAAAATAGTTTACATAATTTAACAATAGTTTGAGCTTTTCTAAATCACAACAAAAACAATATCATATAAACAACAATTAATTTATGTTAATAAAAATCCAATCATAAAATATATCTAATCAAGCATTTGAATTATGGACAATAATTTTATTTTTAATTATAAAGACACACATAAAATATTTATTGAACTGGAAAACTTTAATAGTAAAAAAAATAATTAATTTTTATCATTTTATTAAATTTATTATACATAATATGTTGCAGTTGTCTTACTTGAATACACTGTCATTATTAAAGCCAAAGCCGGCAATCAATATATTAACAATAGTGATGGCAAAGACAAAAATTGTGGCCAAATTGTTCATTAGATTTAAATTTTTTTGACGCTTTTCATCATTAAAGTTAATATAACCAACAAATACAAATATACCACCAACCAATACCTATAATAATAAATTTAAATGTAACGTAAATTTTAATAATTTTTTTAATTATTTAATAATATCAATATAAAATAAATAACAATAACATTGTTTTATGTATAGTATATTTATTTAATAAATAAAATTTTCATTATATAATTTATGTAATTATTATTATTTTATAAATTGTACGTTTGATTTGATGAAATAAATAATCTAAAAATATTAACTAAAGAAATATAACTAATATAATAATACTGTCTATTAAATACATAATAAATTTGCTAAATATTTAATTTTATTTAATCGGAGCACTCGGTTGATTCAAATCAAAACCAAACGCCGATATTATTATATTAATAACAGTTATGACAAAAACAATCCAAACTATAGTATTGTTATAAAATTCAGCACTTCTTTGGTGATGATCTTTATTTATGTTGAACCGGGACTTCAATATTATAGCCACTCCTAAACTTATCTATTATATTAAATATTTGGGTATTTTATAAATAAATTGTTTTTTAAAAATTTATACTAAAGAGTATATCTATTTTATTATAATCTTAAATAAAATTATATAACATATAATTTACATTATAATAGAGTACTATTGTATTTATGACTTATATTTATAATTATGCAACATATATATATAATTATATGAATATTATGAATTAGTTATAAATATACATTATATCAACAAATTTTTAATGTTATTGTCACTATTTTAATTATAAACTAAAGTAACTTAATAATGATTAAAAAAATTTTTACCTGTAATATGATAGACGAGCTAATTAATGTAACCATAAAATAATAAAATTTACTTTTTGTACCCAATTGAAGGCAATACTTTAATTGACTTAAAAATAATAAACAATAATCATTATATTTAAAATGTAATTAACATTTGCTTAGATTTTCAAGGAAATAAATACCTGGCATTTGCTGTCAATAGAGCCACATCAAGCATACCTACAATTTATTTAAATATTAGATACCGTATTATATAAAAAAAATAATATTAAAATTTTAGGACATATCCTATTGAAAATTTATTATTTAATTCATATAATAATTACAACAAAAATACTGTATTATATTATTATTATAAAATTTATTATTAATTTATCTAAAATTTAAATAATTGCAATAAAAAAATAATAAATACCCTGGGCAATTGTCTTTTTTGTGGCGTAGACATTGGCATCCAATTGGTTACCAACTTTTAGATTACCCTTTTAAAAAATATAAACAATAATATTTAATAAGTTTAATACAAATAATATAATAAATATAATAATACAACACATTATTAATATTATTTACTGAAACTTCATTTTCAACATTTTGGTCACTTTTGTTGTATCGTACGGTTGTCTCAGACATTGCATTAATTTTATTTTTAAAAATATTTTTTTTAATCAACAATTTTACAATTATGACTAATATATAGTGATTTTTTTAGTTTAGATTAATAACACACAAATTTTCAAGTCCATATAAAACATGATTACATTATTACTGTTACTATAATTGGTTAACACCTGTGTGTAAATTCAATTCACAAATGAAAACAACAATTGTGACAGAAATTGAATGAAAAACTAAAAACTAGTTTTTGAATTACTATTTACAGTATATTTAGTTAGTATTACTAACATTTATTACTAACCCAATCATAAAACTTGTTTGCCTTTAAAAAAAGATTATCAAATGAGTGAATTGGGACTTAAATTCAAACATAATGTATAAAATATAAAATCATTAACATTACTTTTGATTGTTTTTCAATGATAAACAATTGCAAAGTTTAGATATATTACTAATACTGTGTATAAATTTATATACATATTATTTTTGTGTGTTTTATTATCCGCTCTAATAGTAAAAATATTTGGAGCACACATTCAATTAGTTTTGTATACAATAAATAGCAATTTGTTGGTAAACTTTAAATAGCAAATACAATATTATAATTGGATTTATGGTTTCATTTGAGTGAGTGATAACACTTATCTTTAGTTTATATAGCGATTAAATGCTATATAATGTGTTTCATCTATTCAGCAATTAAATGGATTTTTGAATATTAGTGTATTTACAATAGAGTTTGTTATAAAAGTAAACATCAATTAATAAACAACATTATTAGCTAATAATTATAAAAAATTATATATATATTAAAAGTTTTAATTAAAAACATGACATTAATTTATACATAGATTTACCTCAAATGGCCGTATAGTTGACATCATTTGGTCGGAGAAAAATGAAAATTTCTGTTAACTTAAGAATATTCTTATAAATATTTATTAATTATATATATATTATTACTAAAATAACCAGAAAAACATAATTAATTTCATTTAGAGCTATAACTATAATATTTATGCAATTAATGATATTTATTTCTTGTGAATTTTGGATCAATTGAAACTATTATTGCAATTATATTATTTGTTGTGATTCAAAACAATTTGGTTACTATAGGAATAAATAATTTTATTTACAGTAGTAGTGTTAAAATGTCTCAAACAATAAGCAATAATATTGAAATATTATATCATTTTTATTAGATTCGTATCTCTAGTATAAAAATATTTTTCTTATGTATACAAAAATATAATTTTATAATAAAATAAATTATAAGATTATTATAGAAATTTATTAATTTCCGTAATATTTTTTTTATTATTAAATTTTTTTATATTATAATTTATCTATATTTTATAATTATAGTAATATTTTAACTTATTTAAGATAAATAAAATAATTTAAGTTATTTAGTCGAAACATCTGTGAGAGCACCCAATTGAAAGGCACCGTAAGTACCGGAAGCTAAGTATCCGTCACGAGTGGCCACCAATGCCTCACCCTTTGCTTCGCCCTCAGCGGCAAATAGTATACCAAGAGATCCTTTTTTATCAGTTATTGGATTTACATCTAAAATAAATCAAATATAATATTAGTAAATATAAATTATATAAATTATTTTCTTTTACATACATTTGTTAGATAGTGTTTGACTCATTTGTTTTGCTTTTAACTCTTTATTTTCATTACTGAGAGCACTGTTATGTTCAGACTTATAACCGCTTAATCCAACAGCTCTTAATCCATACAGACTGCTAATATTCACATTATTATTGCCGTTATATACTTGTATTGATAGGACACCTCCGGCTCCGACACCCACTCCATAATATCCAGAATTTTGAGATTTCTTATTAGAATTATTGTTCAAATTATGAATAAAATCATTAGTTTTCAAATTGTTTTGTCCTTTCTTTCCTCCAAATTGACAGTCAATACTATTATATTATATAAAAATATATTTTTAAATATGATTTTTTAAATTAAAATAAACAATTTTATACTTTGAGAGCATATGATTAGCAGTTTCATTCAAATCATTATTTAATGAAACAGTGGTAACGGTTCCCAAAACAAAACCAGAAACGGCTTTAATGTTTATTTCCATATTATCGTTAAACCAAACATTTTCCTCGTTATTCACATTTTCAACCACAACAACAACTGTTTGATCTGATTTGGATTTTTTGTCGACAATTGGCTGTACATCTGAAGTCATTGAAAATTATTGTTAATAATAAATATCAGATATATTCACATAAATAATATAATATTAAATACATTTGTCATAAAACGGTTTCTTCATAGAAATCATTTGTCGTTTTCTCAATTCAGTGTCGGTTGCATTCAAAGCATTTGAATGATAATCAACCGAAACACTGGCCAAAACCCCGGCACCTAAACCATACTGTGTCGATACGGCGACACTTTGTCGACCTCTGGCCACTATTACAGACGTCGCTCCAATACTACCGATACCTTCGGCCACAAGAATGCCATCACTTTTTCTGACCAAATCATTGTTTGGTGTCTCTAATGTCTTGGATTTATCGAGAAATGCATTCAATTGGTTTTGTCCACCAAATGAACCGTGAATTCTGTTAAATTAATTTTTAATTTATATATAAAATTATTAATTTGGAAAAAAATAATAATAATTACTTTGAAATAACACTTTTTGCGGTCTCTTCTAATTCATTGCCTGAAGTCAGTGCTAATGTAGAGACTAGTAATAAACATACAATTGATTTCATTTTATAAAAATTTAATTTATTAATATTAATAATAAAAATAAATATTAGTTTTTAGAATTAAATTATTGAAAATTTGTAGATTTACTTATTATAATTTAATTAAAGTTATTATTGCTTATATACCTTTTCAAATTATAGATTTTATGATTACAAAATTTATATGTAATATATTGCTAATATTTACAGGTTATTAAATATTTTATATACTTACCGTTAAATTGTGTTATCTCTCCCATATGGAAATGTCAAAGTCATGGGGAATAATGAAAAGTCATGGTTTTTTACCATATGAAAAATATAGATTTTTACTTTCAATAATAATTTCCGCCCCCTGTTTTTTATATATATTCAATATGTCCCACCCCTTGTATTTGGACGTCTCTAGTTGTTTCAAACCCTTTGAATATGTAATCTATTTACCGATTTATAATATATAAAAATACTGTAAATGTATACAAATATCATTTATTGTTAAACACTGTTATAACTAATTAATTAATGACCGGTAATATCTAAATATACCTGTTTTAATATATTATTGTTAATTATCGGTTATTACAGTTTCCTATTCCTCCAATTTTGCTTTTTCCCACTGACTCGTTTAATTTACCAGGTGTGGTAAAAAATGCAAGTTTTTTAACGTATGAAAATGTTATTTTTCATTTTTTTTTCAATTTCATATGGGAAATAAAACACGATTTTACGGTAAATAAAACAAATAAAACTGTTTTTGTCTATAATGATAAGTTAATACAAGTACTATTATAATTATTATCATTATTATATCATTATTATTGTTATTATTTCAGCATGATTATTATTACCTAGTGCAATTAATTAATATCAGTTGTTTATTAACATAATATATGATATCAATAAATCTTTAATTAAATCGATGAATCATTTTATTTGTTTTTTATAACTTATCTCAATGTTTAAGACGACCTAAATGTACGTAAACTTGATATTACAAACTACTACTGTATTAATGAAACATAAAAACATAGATATTATACACCTATTTATATATATTTTATTGTAATAATTTATTACTGTTTTAATTAAATCTTATACTAATAATGTACATGTTTTTAATTATCTCATAATTTCTATTTTATATTATATTATTTTATATTATATTATTTTATATTATTATTATCTAGATATTTTAATTATTACAAATAAATAATGAAATTATGCCATTAAATGATTAGAAAGAGTAATAGGCCAGTGATTTGAAATTGTATATAAACTGAAAACAATTGGACAAAATATAAACAATTAATTTGAGAAAATACTAACTATTATTAAAATATTAATAAAGATTTTATTAAATTAATAAAAATGTCAGTTATATTCAATGTTTTATTTATATTGTCTACAATGACTGTGGTCTTTGCCACAACTGATCCACAGTTGGAAGCGTTGTCACAGAATTTCCTTCAATTGTAAGCTAATTATTAATAAATTATTTGTATTTATAGTTAATTTATTTGTTTTTTTCTAAGACTAAACCCGAGTGGAGTCGACAGCAAATCACATGAATTTCTTCTTCAATTAACTAATGGTTTGTTTCATGAAATCTATTGGTTTTCTTTAATCACTAATTTATATGAAAATAGGCCGTCATTTGTCCGCCAATTCTTCCGATTCATTGAAAGTAATTCTTTCATTTGAAGGCACTCTCAAACTGAATGCCGAAAGAAATGGTCAAAAACTGGTGCTTTCGACACAATATTTAGGCGGAGCCGCCGTTTATGGCGGACAGAGATATACGGCATTGAATGGACCGCTCGATAGCGACAACAAACCTATCGATCCCTTCCTTAAGAATATTTACGATAAAAGTAATGTTAAGAATTAAATTAAATTGATATAAAATTAACTTTTATTAAAATTTTCAACAGATCTTAAAACACATAAACATTTAAGTGATGACGAAACAGGTGTATTGATAGCTCACGGCTCAGCTACCGGTGCACAAGTAGTTGTCGATAAAGTTGGAAAAATCGAATCCGGACTTATTGGTGGTTTTGTTGTCGGTGCTAAAACCAAAATAAATTATTAATTTTTAAAAATATGATTTAAACTATTTATTTTATTATTACTGTTAAAATAATTTATTAAAAAATAATTAATTATTTAAATAAATATAGTTTAATAAAAAATGCTAATACTTTTTCATTTATTAATAGATAATTAATTAAACTAATTTTAAATTATTAGTAAAGTAATCAAATTTCAAAAGTATATATAAAAGTATAAAAGTGTAAATTAATAATTTTATATTGTATTGTACTAAAATACAGTATTTTATACTATACTTTAAGTAAAATTATCTCTTAATATTATAAAATTAAATCTAATTTGAATAAAAAATATATATTATCATATTAAAAATTTAATTGAAGAGCATTTAATAAATAATACATTTTTATTATAAAATAATCAATTAATTTGTATTTCTATTGTTTTTATTGTTATAAAATTATTGCTTCTTAATTTCATTATCTATAAATCATCAATTTATATTACTATTATTGTGCTGTAAAATAATTAAACTAATAATATAGTAAGTTATACTAATTAACAATACAGTAATAAAACAATATATATTAATAGATATTAATTATGAATTTCAGTTGTTAAGTATTTTTATTATATGTGTTTTTGCAATAGTTATTAGTTTATTTTTATTACTATTATAAAATAATTTTATAAAATCTTAAATTATAATTTGTAATTATAGTCATTATAATTATTGTAAATTAATTATTTATTTTATGTTAGTTAGATAAACTTAAATATAATAAATTATTTTATTTATAAATGATATTTAAACTAATTCAAACAAATAAAAATTATCTATAATGATTATTAGCTAATTATGGTAATTTAAAAAATATAAATTTTTATTTAAAAAAATCAATTTTTATATTTAATTTGATATAATAATGTTTTATATAAATGTATTTAAATATAATTAATTATTTCGATTGGACTTTAGTGAGAGAACCCAATTTAAATCCACTCAAAGCACCGGTAGCTAAGTATCCGTCACGAGTGGCAACCAATGACTCACCCTTTCCTTCACCGCCCGCAACAAACAGTATACCTTCCGATCCTTTTTTATCGGCTATTGATTTCACGTCTATTAAAAATAAATAAATAAATTCATTATTAAAGTTTCTAAAAATTAATAATATTTTTCATACATTTATAATATAATGTTTCACTCATTTGTTTAATTGTTGACTCTTTATCCTTGTTATTGTCGGCACTGTTATGTTCAGCCTTATAGCCAATCAAAGCTCCGGCTTCTAAACCATACAAACTACTAATATTCACATTTTTGTTGTCGTAATATACTTGTATAGAGAGTACACCTCCTGCTCCGACACCCTCTCCATAATAACCCTTTTGTGACTTTTTATGTGATTTGTTGTCTAAATCATGGATAAAATCTCTGACTTTTAATGAGTTTTGTCCACTTTTTCCACCAAAATGAGCGCCAATACTATGAAATAAATTATTTTATTTAAAATGAATTGAATTATTAATATTAATTAAAAGCATACTTTGATATAACATTATCAGCGGTTTCTTCCAAATTATTTTTATGTGAAACAGTGGTTAGGATTCCCAAAGCAAAACCAGAAATAGATTTGACGTCTAATTCATTGTTTTGATTAATCCATACATTTTCCTGTCCTCTCAGCCCTTCAACCAAAACAAATGCTTTATCTGATTTGGATTTCTTATCGACGATTGGCTGAACAACTAATGTTATAAAAATTATTATTATTATAATAACTTAATTAAATTATTTAATTAACAAATAATGCATACATTTATCATAAAATGGTTTTTGAATTGAAGTCATTTCTTGTTTTCTCAATTCGTCTTCAGTTGCATTCAATGCATTTGAGTGATGTTTACCCGAAATACCGGCCAAAACACCGGCACCCAAACCATACTGTGTCGATACGGCAACACTGCGCCGACCTCTGGCCACTATTACAGACGTCCCGCCAATACTGCCGATACCTTCGGCTACAAGAATACCATCTTTTTTGTTGATCTCATCATTGTTTGGTGTCTTTAATGACTTGGATTTATCGAGAAATGCATTCAATTGGTTTTGTCCACCAAATGAGCCATGAATTCTGTAAAATAATTAGTAAAATAATTAAAAAATTATTAAAAAATTATATGAATTTATATTACTTTGAAATAACACTTTTTGCGGTCTCTTCTAAATCATTGCCTGAAGTCAGTGCTAATGTAGAGACCAGTAATAGACATACAATTGATTTCATTTTATATTTAAATAAAATTAGTATAAATTTAAAAGTTATTAAATTATAATATTAGTTTTAAATTAATATTTTAAATAATATTTATTTTTATAATATATATATTTTTAAAGTCTTTATATACTTTTTCAAAATTTATCTTTCAATTACAGTATTAAAGATTGCAAAATATTTATGTAATATATTGTTATAATTTACTTATTGGGTACATATTTTAAATAATACATGTTTTAATATGTTATAAATTAGAGTGACCATTGACACGGGTTCTGTTTGTATTTATAAAGTTTATAGTATAAGTCTAAGTTTATATTTATCTTTAATATAGTATTTAAATTTAATAAAGAGTATATTGAATCAGATATAATTTAATGAATATACTACCTCTAGTTATAATCCAAAAAAAGTTTAAAATAATTATTATATTTATTATTATAATTATTAACAATTTTATTTGTGGGTATTAAACATAATAAACATAAATTATAATAGATAGAGGGATAGCCCTAAAATGATCAAAAATCACTATTCAGATTACTATACAGACATGAATATTTTTTATTGTTATTTCTAATTATTTCTAGATATAAAACAACTTAAAATAAAAACAATTAGCAAAATTTATAAATATTATTATTACTTTAGACTAAACATTAAATAAAGATTTTTTTTAAATTTATAGATGAGATACAAAAAAATAATTATGAAATTATTGGGTTTTTAAAAACTTTAATTGGTAAGCCTAGATTAAATTATTTTTATTTATTATTTTAATACTGATTATTATTATTAGAACAATAGTGTTTAATATATAATAGTATATTACAAATTAATAATTTATAACTTATACTGTATAAGTTCAACATTACACTCAGATAAGATAAAAAAACTATAATATTAATACTAATATAATACTATAATTGTATCGATGAATCATTTGTTTTTTTACAAATTATCTAAAAGTTTGGACCATAGTGTAAGTAAACTTAAACAAAATGTCATAAAATACTTTTTGTACTGAAATACTCAGGTATTATAATATAATATTTGTGCCAAACTTGTAATACTTATCTTTTTGTTTAAATAAATCTTACAATAATTTATAAATTTTTAATTATCTGACAAATTTAAACTATTAAGTTTAGTATACAGTAATATACTTTAATATTATTTTCTAAAAAATAAATACATTTTGTTATCATCTTTCAAAATAATTATGAAATTGTTTTATTTATTGATAAGACTATTAGCCAGTAATTTAAAAATTGTATATAAAGTAGAGTTAAAAACGAATACAATTCAGAAAAGAAAATTTTATTAAATTATTTTTAAAAAAAGATTTATTAAAATTAATTTTAAAAATGTCAGTTATATTCAATGCTTTTCTTATATTGTCTGCATTGACTGTAGTCTTTGCCACAACTGATCCACAGTTGGAAGCGTTGTCACAGAAGTTCCTTCAATTGTAAATTATTTAGTAATAAATTATTTATATTTATAGTTAATTTATTTGTATTTTTCAAAGACTAAACCCGAGTGGAGTCGATAGTAAATCGCATGAATTTCTTCTTCAATTAGTTAACGGTTTGTTTCAAATCACTCGTAATATTATGTGATAATAACTATTGCTTTTGTCTAAAAACAGGCCATCAATTATCTGCCAATTCTTCGGACTCATTGAAAGTCATTCTTTCATTTGAAGGCACTCTCAAACTGAATGCCGAAAGAAATGGTCAAAAACTGGTGCTTTCGTCACAATATTTAGGCGGAGCCGCCGTTTATGGCGGACAGAGATATACGGCATTGAATGGACCGCTCGATAGGGACAACAAACCTGTCGATCCCTTCCTTAAAAATATTTACGATAAAAGTAATACTTATTATTTAATAATTTTTTAATATAATTTACTAATTATTGAATTGCAAACAGATATCAACACACATAAACATTTAAGAGATGACGAAACAGGTGTATTGATAGCTCACGGTTCAGCTACCGGTGCTCAAGTAGTGGTTGACAAACATAAACTCGAGTCCGGAGTTGTCGCTGGTTTTGTTGTCGGCTCTAAAACTAAAGTCAATAATTAATTTGATTTCTAATTATTTATCTTAATAATCTTATATGCTTTATAATAATTATATTTAAATAATGAATTAATAAAAACAAATTAAATTGTAATTTCTATATATTTATGTGATTATTAAAAGTTCTAAAATTATGATTTCTGAAATCATATAAATTAATATTGGTTTATTAAAAATATTAAATTTATACTATAATTATAAATTGTATAATAATATAAATTTACATACCAGTTATATTAATACTATTCTATTTATTATCATATAATTTAAACAATAAAACTAAAATCGTATAATTAATATTGTTTTAAAAAAATTTAATTAGTTATTAAATTTATAAATTAAAGCAGATTTGTAATATATTAAAATATTTACTTTTACTATATTAACATTTTAATTTAATTTACAATTTATAAAAAAAGCGGTAAAAAAATTATATTCACGAACTCCTAATTCTATATGTCTTTATGTCTGCATTTTATTGAATGTTTTGGAAGATTTGGATTAAATATAAACACAAAATCATTTACAAACAAAATTACTACAGTTTATTATACGATTGCTTTCATACTATTATTATCAATACTATTATTAATATATATTAAAATTTTGATATCTCTTCAGATAATGGCGCCCAAAGTACTCACAAAAAATTATTATATTTAAGTTAAAAATTTAGAGTAATTACTGTTACCTCATATGACAAAAATTGAATTTATTTTGTCTGTAATGAGTCATTTGATACCGTAATTTATAAAAATAAAATTATTATTTAATTTGGATAAAGTGTTCGGATGAGAATATTTCTAGTATTATCAATTGGTTTTTATAAATTAAATTTCTAATATTAAAACTTCATTTGAAACAATAGTTTATTTTTCATTGTTTTTGACATTGGCAACTATAAGCCAATACGTTTAAGGTTATACATTACATAATATAAATTATTTTAAAAATAATATAAAGTATTAAAGAATAATTTTTAGTTCAAAATTAACATAAAATAATTTATTATAAATAAGTTAAAGTATAAATATTTAATAAAATTTATATATTAATTATTTCGATTGGACTTTAGTGAGAGAACCCAATTTAAATCCACTCAAAGCACCGGTAGCTAAGTATCCGTCACGAGTGGCAACCAATGACTCGCCCTTTCCTTCACCGCCCGCAACAAACAGTATACCTTCCGATCCTTTTTTATCGGCTATTGATTTCACGTCTATTATAAAAAAGATTTAATTAATTATTAAAATTTATAAAAATAACGAATTAATAATATTTTTCATACATTTATCATATAATGTTTCACTCATTTGTTTAATTGTTGACTCTTTATCCTCATTATTGTCGGCACTGTTATGTTCAGCCTTATATCCAATCAAAGCTCCGGCTTCTAAACCATACAAACTACTAATATTCACATTTTTGTTGTCGTAATATACTTGTATTGAGAGTACACCTCCTGCTCCGACACCCTCTCCATAATAACCCTTTTGTGACTTTTTATGTGATTTGTTGTCTAAATCATGGATAAAATCTCTGACTTGTAATGAGTTTTGTCCACTTTTTCCACCAAAATGAGTGTCAATACTATGAAATTAATTAATAGGTTAATTTCAATAACAAATTATTAATATTAATTAAAATCATACTTTGATATAACATTATCAGCGGTTTCTTCCAAATTATTTTTCTGTGAAACAGTGGTTAGGATTCCCAAAGCAAAACCAGAAATAGATTTGACGTCTAATTCATTGTTTTGATTAATCCATACATTTTCCTGTCCTCTCAGCCCTTCAACCAAAACAAATGCTTTATCTGATTTGGATTTCTTATCGACAATTGGCTGAACAACTAATGTTATAAAAATTATTATTATTATTATAATAACTTAATTAAGTTATTTAATTAACAAATAATGCATACATTTGTCATAAAATGGTTTTTGAATTGAAGTCATTTCTTTTTTTCTCAATTCATCTTCAGTTGCATTCAATGCATTTGAGTGATGTTTACCCGAAATACCGGCCAAAACACCGGCACCCAAACCATACTGTGTCGATACGGCAACACTGCGCCGACCTCTGGCCACTATTACAGACGTACCTCCAATACTACCGATACCTTCAGCGACAAGAATACCATCTTTTTTGTTGATCGCATCATTGTTTGGTGTCTCTAATGTCTTGGATTTATCGAGAAATGCATTCAATTGGTTTTGTCCACCAAATGAGCCATGAATTCTGTAAAATAATTAGTAAAATAATTAAAAAATTATTAAAAAATTATATGAATTTATATTACTTTGAAATAACATTTTTTGCGGTCTCTTCTAAATCATTGCCTGAAGTCAGTGCTAATGCAGAGACCAGTAATAGACATACAATTGATTTCATTTTACTGTTTTAAATAAAAAAATATTTAATATTAATATTTTATTTGTTTTCGAAAATCTTTAATAAGATTTATTTATAATGAATTTAAATCCATATTTCAAATCTTTATATACGTATTATTTATCTACAATATATGTAGTATTGATCTAAGTATTGCAATATTTAATTGAAAAAATTGATAAAATTAAAGTAAAAAATACAGTATATTAAAAAATGATAAATACTTATACAATATATTATAGATTAATAAACTTATGTTTTTTTATTGTGATAAATTTTTAGTACGTAATACCAATGAGAGGTAAACAAAAAACATTGTTAACTATTTATGTTTTAGTAATACTTATATAAGTAGAGTTACCAAAAACAGCAATTTTTATTTGTTTTTACTATATAAATATATTATTAAAGTTTTGTAAAATTATAAAAACAATACAAATATTTTGAAAAGTTTATAAAATAAAAATTTTATTTATAATATTAAAAAATATATTTGTATATAATATTAAACATTTTTATCAAATATGTTTAAACCTTTATCTTATTGGAGTTGTTTTTCAAACAATTAATTTAAAATAAATACTTATGTCTTTCACTAAAATAATATCGTAAATAATTTTCCAAATTTAGTTATATCACAGTGTTTTTAATTAAATAGATTTTGATTATTTATTATTACAATATTAAATATTATGTTACATTTATAAAAATAAATTGTAAACTATATTTTCAAAAAATTTATAAAATAACACTTTATTTTAGTCACTCTAATTATGAATCATATGTTTTTAACATAAGTTTAAAAATTATCTTATATTACTTAATAGATTAATAATTTATGAAAGTTTGCTGCGACCTAGATGTACGTAAAAGTAAAAAAACAAATTTAAATTACATAATATTTTTGAAATATATATTAAGATATTAACAATTAATAGATAAATTTCTAATTATATTATTATCAATTATAGTTATAAAATAGAGCATAAATTTTAGTTACGTATATTATTTTATCATATGTTATAGTTTTATTTTAAAATTATTTCTCATTGAAATAATTACTTAGCAAATTAAAATATTGTGATAAAAATTTCATATTCACAATAACAATGAAATTTATTTTACAAGTTTCTTGATTATAACTAGTGTTACATAATTATAAAAAAGTATATAAAGAAACTCAACTAAACATATTGTCATTACAATTAAAATATATTTATATTAATATATATTTTTCATAATATTTAATTAGATTTAATAGTAAACAATGTCTGCAATTTCCAATATATTTATTCTATTATCAGTAATGACAGCAGTTTTCGGCACAACTGATCCACAGTTGGAAGCGTTGGCACAGAATTTCCTTCAATTGTAAGTTATAATTATTATATATAAAAATTATTAAATTAATAATTAAGTTAAATATTATTTAAAGATTAAATCCAAGTCTAGCGGACAGCAAATCACATGAATTTCTTCTTCAATTAACTAATGGTTAGTGTATTAAATCATTTGTAAAGTAATTTTAATAATAATTAATACCATTTCTAACAACAGGTCATCATTTGTCCGCCAATTCTTCCGATTCATTGAAAGTAATTCTTTCATTTGAAGGCACTCTCAAACTGAATGCCGAAAGGAATGGTCAAAAACTGGAGCTTTTGACACAACATTTAGGCGGAGCCGCCGTTTATGGCGGACAGAGATATACGGCATTGAATGGACCGCTCGATTCCGACAACAAACCTGTCGATCCTTTCCTTAAAAATATTTACGATAAAAGTAATATTAATTATTTAATCCAATTTAGTTGATATAATAATTAAAAAAATTTAACACATTTTAAACAGATCTTAAAACACATAAACATTTAAGTGATGACGAAACAGGTGTATTGATAGCTCACGGCTCAGCTACCGGTGCACAAGTAGTTGTCGATAAAGTTGGAAAAGTCGAGTCCGGACTTATTGGTGGTTTTGTTGTCGGCGCCAAAACCAAAATAAATTATTAATTTTTAAAAATATAATTTAAACTTTTAATTGTATTATCATTGTTAGAATAATTTATTAAAAAAATAATTAATAATTTAAATAAATAAAGTTTACTAAAAAATTATAATACTTTATCATTTATTGGTATAAATAAATATATACATCATTAATCGATTAATAATCAATTAAACTAATCTTAAATTATTATTAAAGTAATCGAATTTCAAAATTATTTAAAATTATAAAAGTGTTAATTAATAAATTTATATATACTTTAATACTTTAATAATATAATTTAGTTTAAATAAAAAAATCAGAAGTTAAAAATTAAAAAGTTAAGATTAATTTTATTGATTAGTAATAAATTAATTTTTATACATTTGAATCATTGGTGTCGATAATATAAATTATGATGTTTTTGATAACAGAGCGGTTAATATAGAAATTAAAACCTAATATATTATAGTATGTGATCTCAAATGCCGATCAATATTTATTCATATACTGTATAAGAGACTATTCATAGAAAATCACAAAATATTGAGAAAAAACTAAATAAAATTTATAAATGTAATAATTTTATTAAAATAACTTTTGAAAAATAATTTCTATAATTTTTTACAGATTTTTTTTTAAAAAGTAGTAGAGTATCATAAATATAAAATATTTTTTTTAATTTGAATATTTAATCTAATATTATTAAATATAATCTTTATTTATAAATACACAAAAAAGTTAAAACCTCAATAATTTAATGTAAAGTTTATATTAATAAATAAATTATTTTAAATTTGATTCAATAATGTTATTCTCCATTCAAAACCACTTACTTATACCATAATTTCATGGTTTAAAATTATTATTAATAGACAATGGGCTGTCTTTAATCGGTTAGTGGGGTATATCGCAATCAAATGGACGGCCATACAGACCAACAGATACTATAGGATGTGGGAAATACTGTCGGCTAACTTCGGTACCTATTTTACGATCACTTTTATAACTCCAATAATGTTTTGAAACTAATGAAAAGTCATTGGCTGTTACGCTCGGGTAGGTATAGTTAGTCGTGAATTGTGCACTCAATTTGATTGATTTAAATATCGCTTTATCAGATTTGGTTGCATAAGTTGCACAGGTATTATCGTTACATTTGGTGATACCACATGTTTCATCAGCCAATCCTACTATTCCCTGTTGTGCCGACCGATTGGCAACTATAAGCTAATACGATTCGTCACCGAATGACGGGTTGACCAATGAATACGACAATTGACAGCAAAAACCATTATTACATACATTTAATGAGTCGTTTTGATCTTTCAATTGAACGAATGCGATATCTTTTGTTGGATATATTAGATATGGTTTGTAATGACCGCTAACTTTGATTTCATCAAATGTTATGGTTTTGTTAAACTGTTTGGTTGTCAAACACGAAGCTCTACTGTTGTCACTCTTAACCGGTATATCAGCAATGAGTAACTTTCCGTTTCTATTATTTTGATCRKTAAATATTATGGGACCGTTTTCACCCGAATATATACCACTTCCTATAGATCCTATATATTGATAACAATATTAAAATAAATAAAATTATATCTATTTAATATTGTATTAAAAATACTGTATAGATATTAAGTAATTAGTAATTAGCTATTATAACTAATTAAATATTAATACCTATAGAAAGTTTGAGTATATTAGCTGCTAAAAAATTAATCCGATTATTGACAGCCCATCCTTCGTGAATCTGTTTGGCCGAAGCAAAAGGTAGTACATCGCCCCACTATGTTGGGTATGCCATTGTATTAATACCATATTTGGACACAAGTCCAGTGCCGGAATCACACCATACTTGATCAAAGCATATCATGATTCCTATTCTACCAAATGGTGTATCAAAATAGCTAAACTCTACAGTTGGCGGATAGTTATAGTAAATTTGTTCCCCGAGTCTGAATAGATGTCTTTTATGATATTTTGCTACTATTAAACCATTTGGATCAAATGCAACGGCAGTGTTGTACAGATAATAACCATCTTTAGGACAGTTTTTATCGGTGATTACATTGCAATCTATTCGATCGCCATAATCGGCAACAATATAAATATCATTGTCTTTAGCCAAACAGCTCAGGGCTACAGTTATATGCAGCGATTTATCTCGTTTATCACATCCATTATAAACACCTTTTCTGGGATCCGGTATTTTTTCAGTAACAGTGGATAAAATGGTGCGATTATAGGGTGGATCTATTAGACCATATTCGGGAAATACTAATATATTTGAACCCTATATAATTTAATATAATTAATAATTTTATTATTAATTTTATTAACATTATTAATCTTACATATTGTTTGGCTTTGTTGGCCACTTGTTTGAAAAACAGTAGATTTTTATTTATGATTTCGTATGGTTTGTCTACCATTGAATTTCCCAGAATCGGTCCCTCATAGACGGCTGCTCTGAAACAATCGGCACCAATAGATGGCTCACATATTACTGAATAATTATGATTTATTATTAATCAGGGTTGCTAAAGGGGGGGGTAGGGTAGGGTAAGACGTCTTACCCCCCCTGAGATCGAGAAATTTTGGCTTTTACCCCCCTGGTCTGAAGCCAAAAAGTTAGGGGGCCCCTACCAATTTTCGCCGAAGGCGCCGAAAATTTTTTCAGCTATGTAAAATTTTATATTAAACAGAAAAATAAATATTTATATTTATAATAGTTTTAATATAAATTAATCGCTTATGTATAGAAAATAAATATATAAAAATACTTAATTACATCAATTTAACATTATTTACACTAGTTGGGGCACTCCACAAGGAAAATAAATTCCCTAATAAATTCCCACCAATTTTCAAAAAAAATAATTAAATATATTTTATTTTATTTTTAGATCTTTATAAATATATATATATATATATATTATTTCATATTAAAAGTCGAAAACAAATTATTATATTTTAATATTTTTAAACTTTTTATTAAAATGTGTTATTTATGGTTCAATATGAAGTATTATATAAAAAAATATTCTTAAATTAATTATTTAGTTATTTAATAATTATTTCTGACATTATTATTAAGACGTTATAATAAACAGTAATAATTTATATCATTAATTTTTTAATTAAAATCAATTTTTAAAACTAAATAATTGTATTTTTAATTAATTATCATAATTATAGTTATATATTTATGCATTTCTTTATTTTTTATATTTTTGTAAAAATGAATATTTAAAATAACATTTTGAGTATTGAGAATTAAGTTGGAAATATTTTTATTAGTTAATTTATAGATAATTTAGTGGAAATTTTTTAAGAATTTATAAGGAATTAATGTGAATATAATGGAAATTTATAAGGAATTAGTGGGAATTTAGAATCTTTATATTAAAATTTTAGTTATGGTTCAATATAAAATACTATAAAAAGATATATTCTTAAATTAAATTAATTATTAAGAACTAATTAATAATTATTTCTGCCAATTTTATTTTTATTATTATTATTATTAAAACGTTATAATAAATACAGTACTATATCATTAATTTTTTAATTAATAACTTTTTTTTAAGACAATAATATTTTTATTTGATAATTATAATTATAATAGTTATATATATATTTATGCAATTCTTAATATTTAGAAAACATTTTGAGTATTGAGAAATTAAATTGAGAATATTTTTATTAGTTAATTTATTGCGAATTTATAGGGAATTTATTGGGAATTTATTGGGAATTTATTGGGAATTTATTGGGAATTTATTGGGAATTAATTGGGAATTTATTGGGAATTTATTGGGAATTTATTGGGAATTTATTGAGAATTTATTGGGAATTTATAGGGAATTTAGTGGGAATTTAAATGGAATTTAATGGGAATTTAGTGGGAATTTACTCAAATTTGGCAAAAATTGTCGTTTAAAAATGCAATAAAAAATGTTCACCCCCCCTATACCCCCAAGCTTTTTCGAAAATTTTGCCATTTTACCTCCCCCTATACCCTCCCCCTGAAATCGAAAACCTTTAGCAACCCTGTTATTAATATAATTGTTATATAAAAATTTAATACACTTAATGAATTTATTTTCACCATTATTAACTATTGATAGTTTTAATAAATAATAATTGTAACAAAATAATTTTTTACAATTTTTAAATGTAAAATTATCACTCAAAGAACTTATGTTAACTTAAGCTATAGTTTTATAAGTTAAATTTATACAATTGAACATTAATTAACTATTTAAGTATTTATATAATTTTGGTAGTAATTAAAATTACATTATATTGTTATTATAATTTTATTAACTATAACATTAGTAACATGTTTTTAATTAATTTCTAAATTATCTAATTGTACTAGATATATTTTAATAGATAATAGTATACCTTACCCTAAGTGTACTGTAAAAATGTTAGCAAATACTTAATAGCAAATACTATTACTCTATAATACAATTTATAAATCATTGTTATTATATTATTTCTTTACTACTAATAATTACATACAATATTCAGTACATTTGATTTAATTAATTACATAACAATCAATGAAATACCTGTATAACAGTTTGTTTGTTTGTTTCTAATAAATTAATAATAAATACATTATTATTTGTCTGACTATTAGTTAATAAACACAAAGTAAAGACGGATTTTCTTGTCGGCGCTAAAACTCAAATCACTAATTATATTATTTTTTTAAATATAGTAATTTATTAAAAATTTATTATTAAATCTAATATCAATCACCACAACTATATTATATTATATTAATTATTAAATAAATTATCATTAGAGTTACTGTATATACACTACACCAAAAACAATGATACATAGTATTACATACATATATATCAATTGTTTGCTATAATTTAATAAATAAAAATAATTATTTAATTGACAATTTTTCTTTGACTTTTTATTTTTATAATTAATATAATTAATATCTCATTTTTTGTTATATTTATTATTTCTATTTATAAGTGCTATTATTATTATAACGTAATTTTATAATTATAAGGACTAAAAGTATATAACATATTTAAAACTATTAAATCAATATTAAATTAATGTATTTTGAATGTCACATTTAATTATTATTTATAATATGTGAAATATTTAAATTTTACTTTTTATTTATTGTAATTATTATTGTATTAATTATTATAAATAATTTTTAAAGTTTAATAAAATTTATTAATAGTGTGTACTAGCAATCGATATCAATGCGATTATAACAAAATTATTAAATACTACAAATTATATTATAATTTACATTAAATTAAATTAAATAAACAAAAATTAGTCAAATATCACAATAAGAATAAGAATAATAAATAAGAGTTAGTCGGGTATATCACGATTAAATACCCGACCAAACAAACCAACAGATACTATAGGATGTGGGAAATCAGTGACCGATAGGTTCACTTCGGTTCCTATTTTACGTTCACTTTTATAACTCCAATACTGTTTCGGAACTAATGACAATTCGTTGGCCGTAACGCTCGGGTAGGTATAGTTAGTCTTGAATTGTGCGCTCAATTTGATTGATTTAAATATCGCTTTATCAGATTTGGTTGCATAAGTAGCACATGTATTATCGTCACATCTGGTGATACCACATGTTTCATCGGCCAATCCCGTAATTCCCTGTTCAGCTGACCGATTGGCAACTATAAGCCAATACGATTCGTCACCGAATGACGGGTTGACCAATGAATACGACAATTGACAGCAAAAACCATTATTACATACATTTAATGAGTCGTTTTGAGCTTTCAATTGAACGAATGCGATATCTTTTGATGGATAAATAAGAAGTGGATTGTAATCACTTGTAATTTTGATTTCATCAAATGTTATGGTTTTGTTAAACGGTTTGGTTGTCAAACACGAAGCTCTACTGTTGTCACTCTTAACCGGTATGTCAGCAATGAGTAACTTTCCGTTTCTATTATTTTGATCGGTAAATATTATGGGACCGTTTTCACCCGAATATATACCACTTCCTATACTACCTATAGAATAGATTATTTATTGATTAGATATTTATAAATTAAATTATTAAAAAAAGTAATATAATCTAATAGTATAATTATAATTTTGAAAAAATTCATCCATTTAATACCTGAGTGAGGACTGAGTACATTAGCTGCTAAAAAGTTAACTTTATTATTGACAGCCCATCCTTCATGAATCTGTTTAGCCGTAACAAATGGTTGTGTATCGGCCCAGTATGTAGGGAATGCCATTGTATTAATACTATATTTGGACACAAGACCAGTACCGGGATCACCCCATACTATATCATAACATATGATTATACCTATTCTACCAAATGGTGTATCAAAATAACTAAATTCTGTGGACGGATAGTCATATATCAATTGTTCTCCGACTCTGAATAGATGTCTTTTATGATACTTTGCTACCATTACACCGTTGGGATCAAATGCAACGGCAGTGTTGTACAAATAATAACCATCTTTAGGACATTTTTTATCGGTGATTACATCACAGTCTAAACGATCGCCATAATCGGCAACAATATAAATATTATTGTGTTTAGCCAAACAGCTCAGGGCTACAGTTATAGGTAGAGATTTGTCTTTCTTATCGCACGCATTATAAACACCTTTCCTCGGGTCCGGTATTTTTTCAGTAACAGTGGATAAAATGGTGCGATTAAAGGGTGGGGATATAATGCCGTATTCGGAAAACACTAATATATTTGAACCCTATATAATTAAATTTATAAAAATTAATTTTATTTATTGTTGGATTGTTATACAAATAATTTAATAAATTAAATATTATTAATCTTACATATTGTTTGGCTTTTTCGGTCACTTGTTTGAACATTAATAGGTTTTTATTAATGATTTCGTGTGGTTTGTCTACAGTTTCATTGCCCAGAATCGGTCCCTCAAAGACGGCTGCTCTGAAACAATCGGAACCAATAGTAGGTTTACAGTTAACATTATAACTAGTATTTATTATTAATATTATTGTTATAAAAACTTGTTTTATAGTATACATTATTATTTTTTTTAATAATAATAAATTATATAAAACATTAATCAAAATTACAAGTTTTTATATACTTATATAATTACAAATCAAATTGATAAATTAATAATATATGAAATAAGTACATTAAGTGAATTTTACTTATATAGTTTATAATAATTTAATACTTGAGTGCAATAATATCAATTTATCTTGTTCAGTCAAACAATTTTGGATGAATGATAGGAAATATTATTAGGCTTTAAATTGATAATTTTTAATAATAAAATATTTGAAATTTGCTTTAATTTAATTTTTGTTGATAAATATATGAGATTTTGAATTATAAAATAAACTTGAGATATGAAATAAATTATATTATGAATACTGTAGCGTTTTCTGCAATGTATTAATTTTTTAATTATGTAATTGCATTTCAATTGTATAATAGTTTAAGATTTAAACTTTAAGTTACCCTTATTGTACTACAAAATGCTAGCTTATTAATATTTAACGATAACAGTTTATATTATGATATTTAAAAGTTTATTGATTATTACAAATAATTTACTATTAAATTTTTATATAGTAAAAAGTAACTTATTTTTTAGTAATAATAGAAAATAAGTATTAGTATATGAAAATAAGTATAAAAAAAAGTTGAGTAATAATTATTATAAATATATTAAATAATACATTAATTAGTATATGAATACATGAATAGATGAGTAGTGTTTATTGAATGGCAATTTAGTTAATATTTGTTTAAATTAAATTATAATTAAAGAAGAAAACAAATATTAGTTTCAATATATTATAACTACAGTATAATTTATGAACAATATTTCGAGAATATGACTTCCGTGTCAATGCATTATCACTGTCAGTGGGCAACGGGTTGTCGCGATCAAAGCACCGGCCGTACAAACTAACAGTTATTATAGGATGTGGGAAATCAGTGACCGTTAAGCTAACTTCGGTTCCTATTTTACGTTCACTTTTATAACTCCAATATTGTTTCGGAACTAATGACAGTTCATTAGCCATAACACTCGGGTAGGTATAGTTAGTCGTGAAATACAATTAAAATGATTGAAACAATAGCGCGTGTAAATAATTTAAAAAACGGTGCTTACAACATAGATCGGCTCCAAAAATTTTTTAGTTTTAAAATAACATTTAATGTGTTATTTAAAAAAAAAATCATACGATATCTCGTGAGAAATAATTAGTGAATTTTTATTGACTGAATCATATGACCAAAATTAAAATTAAAATTGATTAAATACTTGAACGTATTTATTAATGTACAGAGTGTTACATAATGTAAAAATAGCACATGTTTTACATATTTTATTTGACATAAATAGTGATAATATCTGAAAATTGAAGATAAAATTGTTGTATCAATTGGTGACCACAATAGTCGGTGACAACAACAACAGTGATTTAACCGATCTATTGATGAGTTATCTCAACATTGAAGACAATTGATGTCCAAATATTGGCTGTTCTTTACTATAGCTGCCACGCGATTAATATTTCTATATATTTTACGTAAATATTTATTGTTTTCTAAGACTAAACCCGAGTGGAGTCGACAGCAAATCACATGAATTTCTTTTTTAATTAACTAATGGTTTGTTTCATGAAATCTATTGGTTTTCTTTAATCACTAATTTATATGAAAATAGGCCGTCATTTGTCCGCAAATTTCTCCGATTCATTGAAAGTAATTCTTTCATTTGAAGGCACTCTCAAACTGAATGCCGAAAGAAATGGTCAAAAACTGGTGCTTTCGTCACAATATTTAGGCGGAGCCGCCGTTTATGGAGAACAAAGTTATACGGCATTGAATGGACCGCTCAATAGAGACAACAAACCTGTCGATCCCTTCATTAAAAATATTTACGATAAAAGTAATGTTAAAAATTTAATTGATATAAAATTAACTTTTATTAAAATTTTAAACAGATCTTAAAACACATAAACATTTAAGTGATGACAAAACAGATGTATTGATAGCTCACGGCTCAGCTACCGGTGCACAAGTAGTTGTCGATAAAGTTGGAAAAGTCGAGTCCGGACTTATTGGTGGTTTTGTTTTCGATGCTAAAACCAAAATAAATTATTAATTTTTAAAAATATAATTTAAATTATTTATTTTATTATCACTGTTAAAATAATTTATTAAAAAATAATTAATTATTTAAATAAAAAAGTTTACTAAAAATGAGAATACTGTATAATTTACCTGTATATATTGATATATATATATATATATTTATTTATATATTATAATTAATGAAACTAATTTTAAGTTATTAATAAAGTAATCAAATTTCAAAATTATATATAAAAGTAAAAAAGTGATCATTTTATACAAATGTTTTGTAATAATATATAGTATTTTTATACTTTTCAAACTTTATATATTATACTTTAAGTTAAATAAGCGCTTAATATTATAAAATTAAATCTAATTTAAATAAATAAATTTATATTATCATATTAAAAATTCTTTCATTAAAAACTATTATTACTGTACAACATCTGATTACAGTATCTGATGTATGAATGTTTGAATATTTATTACATAAAGTTTCACTAAAATATCTCAATTCTCAACAAAAGTTATTCAAGAAAAACCAGTCGGTATTCAACAATTGAAACTATTTATATACTGTTTATAATAAACTATTATTAAAACAGGGAACTAACTATTTATATAATAATTAATAAAAATTTAAAGATATTTTTATTAATAATTTTATAAATTCTAATATTCACTTTTTAATTTATATATTTGCTATCATTATACTGTAACACTTAATACTTGGCATTAGTAATTGTATAATAGTATACAAGTTACCCTTATTGTACTCAAAATGCTAGCTTATTTATATATAACGATAACAGTTTATATTATGATATTTAAAAAGTTTAATGATTATTACAAATAATGTATTATTAAATTTTTATATACTAAAAAGTAACTTATTTTTTAGTAATAATAGAAAATAAGTATTTGTATTATTATTTGTTAATAAAAAAAGTTGAGTAATTTTTTTTTATTTGTTAATGATTTTTATTGAAATTGCAGTGAAATGAAGTTATTAATTATTAATTGTAAAATATTATAACTTAAATTAGTTTTTAAAAAGTATATTACTTTATTATTTTGCAATTTATATAAAGTTCAGTTTTTATTTAATACTAATTGTTGCAAAATATAGCAAATAATATTTTTTTTAAATAACCATAAAACTAGTATTCTATGTACTTATTAATGGCACAATGTAAATTTGTAAATTTAATTTTTTTTTAATTTGTTTTGTAAATAAAATTATAAAATAATATATGTTTGGACTTTTTTTTATACATTATGCATAAATTTTGAAAAATTACTTTAGTTTGTAATAATTTATCAGAAACTCACACTTGTTAACCAAAAAATGAACTTGTTTACAATAATTTATATTAATAAATATATTACTTAAATATTTAATTACCCTAATTAATATTAATTATGTACATTTAAAAATAATATGAGTATAATTTATAGTATTTGCAATATTGATTTATTTGTTAATATAAATATAGTAATTAAATTATAAAAAGATAAATTCACAATTATCATTATTATTATAAATATATTAAATAATACATCAATTAGTACTGTATATGAATACATGAATAGATCAGTTGTATTAATTGAATGTCAATTTAGTTAATATTTGTTTAAATTAAATTATAAAGAAAGAAGAAAACAAATATTAGTTTCAATATATTATAACTTTAATTTATGAATAATATTTCGAGAATATGACTTCCGTGTCAATACATTATCGTTGTCAGTGGGCATCGAGTGGTCGCGATCAAAGCACCGGCCGTACAAACTAACAGTTATTATAGGATGTGGGAAATCAGTGACCGTTAAGCTAACTTCGGCTCCTATTTTACGTTCACTTTTATAACTCCAGTATTGTTTCGGAACTAATGACAACTCATTAGTCATAACACTCGGGTAGGTATAGTTAGTCGTGAATTGTGCGCTCAGTTTAATTGATTTAAATATWGTTTTAACAGATTTGGTAGCAAATGTAGTACAGGTATTGTCTGTACAACTGATAAGACCACATATTTCATCACACATTCCTAGAAGTGTCTCATCTGCCGACCGATTGGTTACTATAAACCAATACGACTCGTCATTTAGTGATGGATTGACCAATGAATACGACAATTGACAGCACAGACCTTTGTTGCAGACATTTAATGTATCGTTTTGGGCTCTTAACTGAACTAAAGAGGTGCCGGTAGTCGACATAGGAACMGGMGATTTGTAAGCATCACTAACTCTCGTCTCAGGAAATGTTATTGTTTTGTTAAATGGTTTGGTAGTCAAACACAAGGCATTAGTGTTATCACTATCAACCGGTATGTCYGCAATCAATAACTGTCCGTTTTTGTTAGTTATATCATTAAATATTATGGGACCGTTAATACCCGAATATATACCACTTCCTATAGAACCTATAGAATTAAATATAATGTTTTTATATATATTTAATACAGTTTATCGTTTAATCTATAAAAGTTATACGGTATAACTTATATTAATAATAAAATACCTGTTTGCGGTACCAGTATATTAGCAGCTAAAAAGTTAACCCGATTGTTGATAGCCCAACCCTCTTGAATCTGTTTGGCCGTACGAAAAGGTAGTTCATCAAACCAGTAAGTTGGAAACGCTATTGTTTTTACACCATATCGGGCTACGAGTCCAGTGCCGGGATCGCCAAACAATGAATCAAAGCATATAAACAGTCCTATCCTTCCAAATGGTGTATCAAAATAACTAAACTCTGTGGACGGGTAGTTGTACATTGGTTCACCAATAATAAATAAATGTTTTTTATGATATTTGGCTACCAGTGCTCCACTGGGATCAAAGGCAACAGCAGTGTTATATAGATGRTAGCCATCTTTAGGACATTGTTTATCGGTGGTTACATCACAGTCTATCCGATCGCCATAATCGGCCACAATATACATTGCATTGTCTTTAGCCATACAGCTTAGGGCTACAGTTATAGGTAACAAAGTGTCAGGATTTTCACATGCATTGTAAACACTAGTTTTGGGGTCCGGTATTTTTTCAGTAACTGTAGACAAAATGGTGCGATTATAGGGTGGATCAATGATGCCGTCTTCAGGAAACACCAATATATTTGAACCCTATATTAAACATTTAATCAAATTTGTAAAATTAAAAAAAAATAAATAAATAATGTTTTTATATATCTCATTAAATCTAACATATTGTTTGGCTTTAGCGGCCACTTGTTTGAAGACCAGTAGGTTTTTATTAATAATATCGTGTGGTTTGTCCAATGATTTGTTTCCCTGAATCGGATGTTCATAAACGGCAGCTCTGAAACAATCGGTACCGATGTCTGGCTCACAGTTTATAAAATATTTATTATTAATTATTAATATTATAATTAAAATGAACTTTATTATAGTTAATAGATTAACGTAAAACATGATTTATTTGTTTTTAACAATATTTGATTGTCTTATATTTGTTAAAAATTTTAATTATATTAGATATATTTTAAATATTAAATATTTATATTTTATAGTTGTTAAAAATAAACTTTAGTAAAAATGTTGACTCTGACAAAAGTTTTTTAAATTTTAAAAAAATTTTAATATGTTATTTAAAAAGCATATATATATATATATATATATATATATATTTAATGATATTTGTATTTAATTTCTATTTATAAATAATAAAATATTATCTTTTTTAAGCAGTAAATAATTATTTATTAACTAATTTCTAATGTAATGTGTATTAGATTATATTATATAATAATCAATATAATTTCTAATATTTAATTTTTAATGTATATATTTGCTATCATTATACTGTAACACTGTTGCTGTAAAATGTTTTATAAAAATTTTCAAACATAAATAAAATAATATTTAATATCTGTAAATGTCATGGTTTTTAAACTCAAGTATTTATATTAATAATTAAAAAAAAATTATCAAAAGTTTTATCATATTAATACAATAAATCTATATGAGTTACATTATTTATATAATATACAGTATATAGTAGTTCTATCAACAATCTCRGGGGGGGGGGGAATTCCCGAAAAAAATCCCACCAATTTTTCCGGAAAATATTTACAAAATAAATTTCAATTCAACAAATTTATGGAAACTATTGTACCAATAAAAGTAAAAAAATACAGTTTAATGTAATTTTTGTTTTTCAAACATTATACTAAAATGTGTTGTTTAGAATTTAATAGGTAGTAACACAACGAAATATAATAGATTTTCTAGGAATTTCCAGATAGTAGGGAACATAAGGAACTTTTGGATAATAAAACGAGGGAAAGAATCTGATCTAACTCTAACTGTTTATAACATTTAAATTAAATGTCAGTCTAAGTCATTTTTATTTTACTAAATGTTTTATTATTATTATTATTATTATAAACATTAATATTAAATTTTGTTGACATTGAACTATACAGTAATGATAAGTCATTGATAACTGAAAATATACTGTAATATAATAAATAATAGCAATGAGATAATGTTTTCAATATGTTTTTTTAATTATTAATAATGATAATTAATATATTTAATATATCATAATATGATAATCATATAATAAATAATATTTTTTAATTTTGAACAATTAAAAAATTTAGCTTGCTTGATTTGTACATATATTATTAATACAGTATAACTATTCATTATATGTCTTGTTCAAAATATCCAAAATAAATTATTTTCAATAAATATTTATAATAACAATTAAAATCTATTACTTGTAAATTGTAATTATAATAATTTTTGAAATTTTTATTTAAATTAATTTAGTTGGATCAAATGTATTTTTAAATTATAAGTTTGGATATTATTATTTTAGATATTTTAATTTATCATATTTTAAATTAGATATTATGAGTTTGGATATTTTGGATGCGACCGATTAAGTATTTAGTTATTTGTATTGATATTTTATTAAATTTTTAAAAACTTTAATATTTTAAGATTCTGTTTTTTTTTTGAGAAATTAAACATTGAAATAATTTTATAAAATTTATAAATATATTTTGCTATATTATAAAAATAATAAATATTAGAGTTATGGCTAATAATTTTTAATTAATAATTATGATTTGCTGATAAAATTTTTTCGAAATATTTATTAATATTTCATTGTTTATAAATTTATAAACAGTACTGTATTTATTCAGTAGTTGCTAATTATCAAAACTAATAATAATAATAATTATTATTATTATTGATTGCATCTAATATGCACTTTAATGGCACCATTGATAGCACTATCTCTTGCCGTTTCAAAGGCTTTGATGCCGTCCTCCAGTTTGAACGTATGGGTAATCAATGGCTTAATGTCTAACTCCCCGCTCGACACCAGATGTATAGCCAATGGAAAACTTTTAATAATAATAAAATATAATAAAATAATTGAAATAATCTTATAAAGCGATTAACAAAACTCAAGTTATCTTACGTATTGAGATATCGTTTGATACCCAATAGGTTGACCTGACGTACTGCAGCACTGGATATGTTAACATTGACCTTATTGTTGGACACACCAATCAATACAACATCGCCGCCATCGCGGGTCACATGAATGGCCAGATTGATGCTCATCTCAGCGCCTGAACATTCGAGTGTCACATGCGGTGACTGACCACCGAATTTGTCGATCACCTGTTTGGCCAAATCCGACACTTCTGACTTACTGTCAATCAGTATTGTTTTGCTGATACCTAACTGTTTTGCAAAGTTTAGTCGACTTTCATTGATGTCTGAAGTAATGATTTAAAATAATTATAAACAAAAAATATCGATAATAATAAAGTTTTGTTGTTTAAAGATAACATACCTAATATGCAAACGTCTTGAGCACCCAACGCCTTGGCCGACATAGCGGCCAATAGTCCGACAGGACCGGCACCCGTAACCATAACTTTATAGCCACAACCGATGATGAGGTTAGCTCTTTTACAGGCATACACGGCTACAGCTAACGGTTCCATCAGAGCTCCCTCGGCATCACTAATATTATCAGGCAATCTATTGACAACATATTTAATTTATTTAAAAATTATAACTTATTTTTTATAATATTTTACTAACTTATGACAGAAAGCTGCCGTCAAATTAAAACGCCGAGTAAGCGAACCGCCCAATGGAGGCACTCCTTGAAACTGGACGTCGGGACAGATATTATAGTTGCCATCCTTACAGACCTGACAGTTAAGACAAGCTATGCCCGGCTCGATGGCCACCCGATCGCCTACACGGACATTGCTGACACGGGAACCGACTTTCACTACCACAGCGCTAGCTTCGTGACCCAATACCGTAGGCCTGTCCACAACAAACTTGTCAATACCTCCGTCCTTCCAAAAGTGAATGTCCGATCCGCACACACCAACTATAAGAAAATTAATTATTAAAAATAATATTTATAATAATTATATTTTTCTAATACATACCTATTTTAGAATCCAATTGTACCTCTTTATAAAATAAAATCAAATCATATTATTAGTAACATATAAATAAAATAATTAAATTTGTTATTAAAATTTATTTGATTACAAAAAAATTACCATTAGGTCCGGGTTCTCCTGGATAGTCGACCTCTTCTAATCTAAGGTCACCCTTTTTATGTAAAACAATTGATAGATTTCCCGACATTTTAATAGTTAATCTTTAATATAATAACAAAAAATTAGCTAATAAAATAAATTTTGTAATTTTAGACAATTTATACTTTTTTATATAAAAATATAATCAATAATGCTATATAAACATATAAATGAGATATGCTGCATTTTCATTTTAATTTTTGGCATTAATCTTAATGATTAAAAAATGTTTAAAGACTAAAAATTGCGAAATAAAATACTTTATATATCATAAATGACTATAATGTTACGTAATTTGATTATAATTAGAAATATTTTACTTAAATTTTTTTTGCACTGATATAAATTTTGTAAAATTTAAGCCTTAATTTAACTAAACTAAAAATATAAACAATATATTATTTATATTTACAGTATTATATACTAAAGTTTATTGAAAATAGCTATTTCTACAATCTAATATAAAATTTATTAAATTATAAAATATTATTTTATTGCAATGTAAAATCAATGTAATTTCTATCATAAATTGTCATATTTTAAAAATATTTATTTAAACTACTTTTCAGTATTTAATATGTTTTATAAATTAGATAAATTAATATTATTTATTAAAAATAAATTAGATATTAAATTATTTTACTTTTAACAATAGTCTGATTATATAATAAATATTTATTTTATTTACTAAACATATTCATTAAAATTTGCCTCTAAATCCTATCTGATTCTACAGTATTTATTAAAACTTAATGCAATTTTTAAAATATTTAATAATTATTCTGTAATTACTTAATACAAAACCATTTTAAAATATTTAATGTCTAAACTTTTTTTTAAAAAATAGGAAACAATTTTACTTTTAAGTTTGTTTTATAAATTGCTTGATTTAAAAATTGTGATAATTTATTACTATAAATATTATAATTATAATATAAGTAATTTCATTATTTAATTATGAAAATTTATCAAACATTATTATTAAATTATTTACATTATATTGAAAATTGGTATACTAACTAAAAATATTAATGAATATTTATAGTACAGTATATATTGTAAAGTATTTAAAATATTATTATAATGTTAGCAATTAATAAAATCAATAAATAATTTTTTAAAATTTAAATAATAATGTAATTTATGTTTTCATCATAATTTTCATAATTTTGATTTAGAGATAGATTTGATATGTAAAAGAAAGTAATTGAATAAACCAGAAAAACTCATTAATATTTTGTATTAATATTTATTTTTAAAACAATAAAAAATAAACATTTAAATAATTAAAATTGTCAAGATTGATTTTTATTATTATAATAAACTGGAAAATATATAAATAGTAGTAAATAAAATGGTAGAAAACTAATAGTTTTATTTGTAATATTATAATAATTGTTATATACAACTGAATAATTTTTGTTTTATCATTTATACATATTTTTGATTCATAATTTTTTTAAAAAATTTTATTATAATAAAAACTTATTTTTTATAACAAAAATAGATTTTTTTAATTAATTAGAAAAATATGACAATTATTTAAATAATTTGTTGATAAGGGCTTCAGTTGATTGTTGCCAAACTTGATATCCTTTTTCTTTGAGATGCACTGTATCTGACATAAAGAGATCAGTCTTTTGCTTTCCGTCGGCGGACTCAAAGTCCAACCACATGTCGTGCCAGAAGACGTTCTTCTGATTGTCCAACTTCTTGATCAATGTATTCAATTGTTTGCATTTAGTACCCAACGGTTCATTGCGGGGTAAGACACCCAACAATATAAGTTTGGTTTCTGGCATTTTGCCCAATAATTCTCTAACTGTCTCATTGACTCCGTGTGCGATGTCTTCAATAGTATTGTGGGCGATATTATTGGTACCTAAAATATCATATAAAATATTGATTTTGTTATTAAGAATATTACATATTATTATCTGTAATATTATAAGTTTGAGAAAATATAGCAAACAAACCAATCATGAGAACCGTTACTTTGGGTTTCAGTCCATCAAACTCTTTGTTCTGGATTCTGTAGATGACGTGCTCTGTTCTGTCACCACCGATGCCATAATTGTAGGCATGTCTCGGTGTGTAATGTTGGGCCCATACGTTGTGTCCATTACCAGCCCAGCCCTCTGTGATGGAATCGCCGACAAAAACCAACTGTTCATCTGTTTTGTGAAGTCTTGTCTGTTCGAGTAGTTTCTCGTGTTTTTTCAGCCAACCGGCATCCCTGGGCTGGGGATCCCACGGATGACTTTCGACCAAACATTGGCACAATAGTATAGATGCTATGACTAGTGTAAACTTCATAATTGTATTATATTGAATGGAAAAAATTATTTCAATATAAATGTCTTACTGTTAAAACAGGTGCTTAAATAGCAAAGAAAAAATGTTAGCAATGAAATGAAAATTTTCTTTTATCAAAATTTAATTAATACGGATTTAGGATATTAATTGCTGTTAATTTAATTAATTAATTAGATATTTTAACTATAGTTCATGATATAACAAATATGATTTAATATTATTATCGAAATATTATGTGAATTTTGACAATTGTTATTATACATAAAATATTAGATAACTAACATAAATCATACAATTTATAGTATTGCTATACAGTTATAGTATTTATTTTTAAAATTATCCTAACCTTGATTTATAAATTGATATTATTAAAAGTATTATTGTAATATCTTAATAATTTTTTCAATAATATGCTACTTATTGAAACAATATAAAATAAAATTAATTATATTTATTTAGCTAATAGATTATTTTAATTTATTAAAGATAAAGTTAAATATTAAATATTATTATTGAAACTTTTCCGTTTGCTTAAACAAATGTTTAATAAATAATCTAAACTTTTTTTATTGTTTATTTATTTTGTATTATTTTCGTTAAAATAATATGTTTAAAAATGATATAGTATTTAAAATAAACTAAGTTTTTTTAAGTTTATAATTAATGTTTAATTAAAAATTATAATGTTAAAATTAAGTTTATAGCAATATTTCAAAGTTGTTTATTGTTAGATAATCTTTAATCTATTAAATAAATACTTTGATCATTACAGTGATATATATTAAATTGACAATTAAGTTATATTATATTATATTGTATTAAATTGAAAAAAATAATTGAATAATAATAAAATTTATCTGTTTTAATTATCAAAATTTCATTAGATATATTTTTTCATAATTTCATAAATTCACTAAATATTTTTTTATGTTAAACATATTTATATATAAAATATAATTGTTAACAACATATTATTTTTGTTATAACTGCCTAATAATAATGTCAACTTAATGATGGCTTTAATTTATCAGTCAAAAATGTGTCTAGATGCAAACAACAATTATCCATTAATAGATACTCATGAAAATACAACAAATACTACAATAAAAATTATTATAATTGATTATAAAAACTTTAATTATTAAAATATTAATTGTAATATAATAAATAATGTAAAATTTGTTTATAAATACTAAAATTTTAAATTTAAAAAATACTATTTAATAATTTATATTGCATAAATTGCTAGATTTGCAATGAAAAATTTAGAAATATATAATACAGTTATTTCAACCATTTTTAAAATTTTTAAATTGCATAAAACTTTTTATGTTATTCCTTAAATTTTTAAAGATATTTACTAATAAAACTCTATTATATATTATTCAATATTTAAAATAATTTTTAGATAATACTAATTCTTAAATATATATTTAAATAAATTTTATTATTTTTATTTATTTAGTTAATAGTTATTTTGTTTTTACTCAAAATAATGGTCAGTTGGAAAGTAACTCTCATAACGTTTACTTATAAGTTATAACTTTTAAAGTAAAAAGACTTATTATTTTGATGTGTTTTAAGTATTAAAAAACTAAATTAGTTTAACAAAATTTAATTTAATTGCAGTTTAATTATAAACATTAAATAAATTTTTATTATTTTAAATTTAATTGGAAAAAACAAATAGTTTGTGTAAAATCATTCAAAAGTAAAAGATTATATGTATATATTAGGTTTAATTTGTTAACTAAATTATAAATTTTAAAATGATTACAATGCATATTATTTTTAGTTTTAAAATAATAAAACACGTATACAATTTATTTAATTATAATTTATAGTTACTTGTTGTACTACATAGATACTATACTATAGTTATTAGTATACTATAAATATATAAAATAAAATTTTATTTCAGTCATTTATAATAAAATATTTTAATTTTCATAAATATAAATATAAGTTAAAAATATCAATTATACAAAATCTCACAAAATCTTATTTTATTAAACATAATATGATGTTTAATAATATATGTAATTCTCTATTATGGGTAAGTTTCTATTATTAATGTTTTTAATTGAAAATTTAAAAAAAATTACAATTTTTTATAAAGTATTTAATTATTTTTTTTTTATTAGAATACTAACCAAATCTGGAATACAGAATCACCTAAACTCAGCTCATGTATGATTGAAACAGTGTTCGTATGGCTACCGGCGCTCACACTGTGGTTATGTATACCGTATCTGATTTGGAATTGTATTAAATCAAAGAAAAAGTCAATTCAATGGAATTACTATAATATCAGCCGTTTATTGATAGCCATTGTCTTCACTGGCGTTACATTAGTTGATTGCATACTATGTTTATGTCGGAGATTTCAATGGGACGACAATCCAACCACTGCTCATATATTGGCAACAATTATACAATTGATTACAAGACTAGCTTTGTGTTTGATTTTTTACTTTCACCGAAAATACGGTATTCACAGCAGTGGTTGTGTTTGGATATACTTAGTGTTGGACACTGTTTTTGGTTCACTATCAGTGATAACGTTTGCCACACAACAAGACATCCGACAATATTATGAATTCATATTATATTGCATCGAGTTTTCACTTACAGTACTATTACTTATATTTTGTTCATTTGCCGACCGATTGCAACCAATTAGTGATAACATTATATCTGACAATAATGTTTGTCCTGAAGAAAAGGCATCATTTCTGTCCAAACTAACCTATTTTTGGATCATTTCATTATTTATTCAATTTTGGCAAAAAAAGACACTAAATATTGAAAATCTTTGGTCTATTAGACCAAACAATACAGTATTATATAACTATAATTGTTTTGCTAAACACTGGAATAATAAGACTAAACATAGATTATCATTATTTTTTAAATTGAAAAATAAAAATACTATAAAAGAATCTGAATCTATGTCTAGTAAATTGGACTGGGTTATATTCAAAATATACGGCATAACATATTTATGGATAAGCTTATTGTTTATTATAGCTGGATGCATTAAAGTAACACAACCAGTAATTATCAGGTATACTGTTAACCGTTAGTACACATAATATGTAAATTAAATATTTAAAAATAAAAAAATATTTAGATTATTAATAGGATTCACAACAAATCATGACGAACCTCAATGGCACGGATATGTATACATTATAGCACTGATTAGCATTAATTTGTTTTACTCAATAATATATTGTTATTATTTAACAAAATCAAATGTTATCGGTATATTAAATATTAATTAATTACTTAAATCACAATTTAATATTTAAAATGTAATTTTTATTTTTATTATTATTATTTTCATATAATAGGACAACGAATACAATCGTGTTTGATATCAGCCGTATATCGAAAGTCACTGGTTATCAGCAAAAATAATAATAATATATTAACTAACGGTAAACTAATTAATTTAATGTCAATTGATTGCACCAGATTTTCAGGTATTTAATACACAAAGTGTTTAAACTATATAATAAATATTTATTTTAATATATGTTGTTTTTAAATTCATATTAATAAATATATTAAATATTTCATATATTTATTAATAATTCTTATGTTTTAATCATTGTATTTTAATTATTGTTTAAATTATTACCATAGATGATTTAACAAATATTATTTATATCATACTATCACCCCTACAAACATTGGTTATCCTATATTTGTTATACAACGAGTTAGGTGTTTCTGCATTTACCTCATTACCGATATTACTGTTAATATTTGCCGTAAGTTTTCTAGTATTCAAATATATTTATAAAATTATTGTCAAACAAATGACAATTAATGATCAACGCATTCATCTAACAAATGATTTATTAAATGGCATTAAAGTAACAAAAGTAATTATTTTTTTATATTTTTTTGCTAATTAATATATAGATTATATTCTAATTTAAAGTWTATATTTCTAAACATTTTTATTTTGCTAAAATAGTTTTACGGATGGGATAAAGCATTTTACAAACTTATAACAAAATTACGATCCATTGAATTAAAACATATGTTTGGATCCTATCAATTGCAAAATGTTTACAGTATTATGGCTTTATGTGCTAAATATTGGATACTATTAGTTATACTTATAGGTTACCGGTTTATCGGTAATACAAGCGGTAATTTACAATTGAATGCCAGCAAATTGTTTGTATCGTTAGCATTGACTCAATTTTTAAACAATATTTTTTTCACGTTTTCTATTGGAAAAACATCATTAATAAAGGTATGATAAATGTAAAAACAAATAAAATTTTTAATTACAAAAACATAATTTAATAACTTCTAAGCAAAAATGCATTTTAGTAAAGCTAACAATTATTTTGACATATAATATGACATTTCATCTCCATTTGAATTTAAATAAAAATTGTTAGCTAACTTATTTTAAAACTAACTTAAGTAACAGGTAATAATTAAATAATTATATTAGTTATTGATAAATAAATAAATGAAATGATATCAGTTTATTTATAATATTAGTTTAGTTTAAATTAAATTTGTTTAGAAATTTTATAAATTATTATCAATATTTACCATTTTTAAAATTAAAATAATTACAGTAATAATGATTATATTATTACTATTTAATTTTGATTAAAATATTTTTATTTTAGCTTAGGTTAGCAATCGATCGCTTAAATAATTTTCTCAATTTAAGTAATAAATGCAATTACTTGACCAGTGATGATGTGATTGATAATCAGTATGTGATTAGTGTAGAAAACGGGTCGTTCACATGGGATGAACTCAAATCTAACACAAATGAAATAATATTAAATAATATAAATTTGAATATTAGTGACAAACAATTTGTGGCAATAGTGGGTAATGTCGGCGCCGGTAAAAGTTCACTACTTTCTGCATTGTTAGGGGATATGGAACTGTTGTCGGGAAAAGTTAGCATTAATGGTAAAGGTATTAAAATAGCATACGTTTCGCAACAGTCGTGGATACAAAACGCTACCCTTAGAGACAATATACTGTTTGGCAAATCATTTGATACCGAATTTTATGAACAGGTTATACATAGCTGTGCTCTTAGACAGGATCTGAAACAACTGCCCGCTGGAGACCAGACAGAGATCGGCGAAAAAGGTATTAATCTAAGCGGTGGCCAAAAACAGAGAATCAGTTTAGCCCGAGCTGTCTATTCCAATGCCGATCTATATCTACTGGACGACCCATTAAGCGCCGGTAATTTTTTTTTTAGTTTACTATATAATCTATAACTAATACCAGATTTTTAAAAATACATTTTTGACTAATAGTCGACAGTCACGTTAGTAAACATATAATGTGTGAAGTGTTTGATTCAAAAACTGGTTTATTGAAGAATAAAACCAGAATTTTGGCAACAAATCAACTCTTTGTGTTACCAAATGTTGATAATATTGTTGTCGTCAATAACGGCACTATCACTGCAATCGGTTCCTATGATTATCTAATGAATGAAAACAAAGAGTTTTCAGATTTATTAAACAAATATATTATATCCGATAAAGAAAGCGATAAAATAAATGATTCAAATAATAATGATATAACTATAAGAAATGATAATCAAAATATTACTGAATTGATTAAAATAAAAAATAGACGACTTATTGATGATGAATATATAGAAAGCGGAAATGTTACAAAAACGGTATATTAAATCATTTATATTAAAAATTTTAATACACAATGTATTAATGTTAATAATTTTTTATTTAACTAAAAAAATAATATTAGGTTTATATTAAATATTTTAAACAAATGTCGTTATTGTATTTAACTTTGGTGATAGTGTTTTCAATAGTATCTATTGTTATAACAATTGCAATAAACATTTGGTTAAATCAGTGGAGTCAACAAAACAATACCCAAACAACCGATTATTATTTGTCCGTTTTTGGTGCTCTAATAATCAGTTATACCGTTTCAAAAGCTATTCAACAATTTGTTTTGGTTTTCGGTTCAATATTAGTCTCAAAACGTATGCATAAGAAGCTGTTGTCGGCTATCATTTGGTCGCCAATGAGTTTCTTCGATACGACACCTTTGGGACGGATTATCAACCGGTTTAGTAAAGATATCGATACATTAGATAACATTAAAACAATTTTAAAGTTAGTTATTATGAAATTTATTTGCCATATTATTTGCAGGTTTTTAAAAAATAATTTGTTATATTGTTGTTATAATTGTTATTCAATTTAGTCATATTTCAGAATATTCACAAATATGTTTATCAGGAATCATAACAGTATTAATTAAAACTCCATTATATTTTGTACCCTTTATTGTTATGGCAATTATATTTTACGTCACCCAGGTTAGTTTACTAAAGTTATTATTTGTTTGTGAATATAAAAAATTATTTTATTTTTATTTTGTAGCATTTTTTTACAATATTTTCGAGTCAATTAAAACGGTAAAATTATTATTATTATTATTATTTTATGACTATATTTTATTACTAAAAATAATATATAATTGGATAAATAAATTTAATAATAACTAAAAATAACTAAAATAATATATTATATAGTTTGGAGTCAATTACTCGGTCACCAATATATGCTTATTTCAGCGAAACATTAAACGGCTTATCAACTATTAAGGCTTATGGATGTAGTGATCGGTTCATTAGACACATGGAGTCATTGATCGATACCAACCAAAAGACTCTTTATGTCACTATTATTGCCAACAGTTGTCTTCAAATATTAATGGATATTATATCCAGTTTATTGATATTATTTGCTATACTTTTTGTTATATTAAAAAGAAACTTATATACCGGCGGCGACACCGGTATGTCGTTATCCAATGTAATCATACTATCATTTAATTTAGGTAGTCTTGTACTGTCAATTAGTAAACTTGAGGAAAGTATGGTTTCGTTTGAAAGATTAGACGAATATAGTAGACTCAAACCCGAAACTGATTTGAAATTACAAAAACAATTGATACCCAATAACTGGCCAAACAAGGGATGTATTGATTTTCAACAGTATTGTAGTCGATATAGAGATGGATTAGATTTGGTGTTAAATAAAATTAATTTTTCTATCAAATCGGGCGAAAAGGTTAAGAAAATTATTTATAATTTCTTTTTTTTAATAATTAGTTTATATAATGTAAAGCATTACATAACAGATCGGTATTGTTGGCCGAACCGGAGCGGGAAAATCGTCAATAACTTTGGCACTGTTTAGACTAATAGAGGCATCTTCTGGTAAAATAATCATCGATGGCATAGATATCAGTGAAGTAGATCTTCACGAGTTGAGGACACGACTAACAATTTTACCACAAGACCCGGTACTCTATTCGGGAACCATTCGCTTAAATTTGGATCCGTTAGGCATTTGTTCCGACGATGACTTGTGGATAGCTTTAGAGCACTCACACCTTAAATCGTTTGTCAAGTCATGCGATGGCGAACTGGACTATCGAGTGACTGATTGTGGAGACAATATAAGTGTAGGTCAGCGACAACTCATATGTCTGGCCCGGGCTCTCATACGTAAAACACGTATCCTTATCCTCGACGAGGCCTCGGCTGCAGTTGACGTCGAGACCGACGCACTCATACAGCAAACAATTAGACAACACTTCAAATCATGTACTGTCCTAACCATAGCTCACAGACTCAATACAATCATGGATTCAGACCGTGTGTTAGTGTTAAACGAGGGACGGGTAGCCGAGTTTGATTCGCCTATGAAATTGTTAACTAATAGTTCATCTATTTTTTATTGTCTATCCAAAGATGCCGGACTTATTTGAATTGTTAATTAAATAAATTAATTAAATATTTGTTAATTATTATTAATAATGTGTAGTAAATATATACCAGTAATAGATATACAGTTTTTTGGATTTATCTTAAAATCATACTATTATTACTCCATATTCTACTGCATTTCTACTGGAATTTTATATTATGTACATTAAAATGACTAAAATAGATAAGTTAGTGATATTATTGTAATTGTAATTATAATTTTGTTAGGCGTGGTTCACATATTACGTTCGCACTTTTTAAGAAATCTAGACCCCCTCCCTCCCCTATGTTCGCAATTGTTCGCATGTAGTCATTAAAAAAATTACGTTCACTTATCCCTAACCGCCCCCAACCACCACCACAAGAAATAAGATATCTAAATGCGAACGTTCTTAAAGTCTCTACCCCTCCCCTCCCCTCAAGTGCGAACGTAATAGGTGAACAACGCCTTATAAGTAATCGACTTTTATTTTTTAAGTCGAAAAACAATAGACAGTGTCGAATAATAGTCTGGTTTCAAGATAATGGGGCTGTTCACATATTACTTTAGCATTTTTAAAGAAATTTAGACCCCTCCCTCCCCTATGTTTGCATGTAGTCATTTTTAAAAATTACGTTCTCATGTCCCTAGAACGTAATTTTTAACCTGTTTTAATTGCTAACCCCCCCCAACCACTAAAAAATAAATTATTATTTAAATGTTCTTAAAATTTCTACCCCTCCCCTCGTTCGCAAAAGTTTGCTTTGACCGACCCCCTCCCCTCAAGTGCAAACGTACTAATGTTAATCACTCCTAAAACCTATTTATTTTTATCTTTAAGTGATTAAAAATTAATAAACTATTTACATACTGTAAATTACAGTATTTTATTTATACGTTAACAAACTTGATTTTATACAGTTTACAGTACAATATTGTTTATACTAAAAGCATTAAAATTAACAGTAAAACTGTATTAATAAGTTTATAATTGTATTTATTATAATCTGTAATATTGAGATAATATAATTACTTATAAAGCGATAAAATTTCAAACAACAAATCATATTAAAGTTTGATAAATTCAAAAAATTAAAGTACCAGTTATTATATATTAATATACTATTTATTAATAGTAGTTGTGTAAGCAATATTTTTAAATGTAATAAAATACTGTAATAAATATCGACATAAATTTTAATATATATAGCATATTATTCATACATATCTATGCATATAAACTATAGACAATATTATACAGTACTATACTAACTAACAATTTGTTTTTCATTCATTTATTTGAATTAAACACAAAAATATATTACTCTCTTTCATACTCTCTCTCTCTCTCTCTCTCTCTCTCTCTCTCTCTCTCTCTCTCTCTCTCTCTCTCTCTCTGCAGTGTTGTTATGACAACTTAAACCTGGATAATAGTCAACAGAATATTGAATTTTATTCATTATATTATTATTAGTTGTATTGATAACGACTGTATGTATCATATTATTCAAGTGACTATCAATCGTCTCATAAACAATGAGACAATTTTTGTTCACATTTTACTCTATTCTACAAATAATTACTAAAAATTAAATTTTTTATTTAAGTAAATAATTTGTTTTCATTGTGTGAGTAATAAAATTTTATTTAATTTATTTGTGTCGACAATGAAGTGTTAAATATAGTTAAATATTTTTCAGTAAATTATGTTTTATTAAAATTGAAATTAAAATTATAAACTTATTTTACATTTTTAAAATAATGATTATTATTGTTATGCGACATATGAATAACAAAACAAAATTTTTGATACTATAAAAAGTGATATTAGTTTCAACTTAAAAATTTTATTTGTTTTTTAAAATAAATATTTTTAAAATACAACTTTTGTATTATCTTTTGTCTATTAGTGTATGTGTGACTGTCTATAGTTAATTCAAATTGTATTTTTAGTTTTTTAACTATAAAAATAACAATACAATATTTAAATTATCAATTATATAAACATTTAATACAATACATGAAATATAAAATTTTAAATATAAAATTTTAATAATATTTTTTAAAAACAAGTTTAGTGTGATTTCGTTTTTATCGACACTATTTTATTAAATATATTATATTGTAACAAATGAATGATCCAGGTATTGATTTTTAATGATTGTGCAATCGCTAATAATTAAATTATTTTAATGATTTTGAAATTTTTTTAGATGTTAATACAGACATTGCTATTGATGAAACAGTTCCCTGTCCACTGTGTGGTCGCAAATTTTTGACCGACCGATTGGTAAGTTATATAATTGATTAATAGATAAACTGTATACTAAATTTCTATGTATTAAAGTTTATTGATTAATTTGATAAAATTATTAATTTATTGGAAAGTTTACATAAATATATATACATATATATAAATGTCATAATTAATAGTTGTGTGAAAGATCCATACATTTTTACATGTATTATTATGCAAATCATATATATAATGTATGCGAAACATTATTACAAAAAAAACAATGGATTCCGGGTTTTCAATGATAATAATGATATAATAGGGTTTACTTTGTCTATAGTTACACACACACACATAGTATATACTTTTTTATTATTATGTAATTATTATAATTGATGTTATATTATTATATAACAGACTTATACACGAGAGAGAGAGAGAGAGAGATAAAACAAAAAAAGGCATTCAATATAATAACTTAAGTTTTATAGACGATATCAGTGCACAAATCAATTATATATTTTTTGTGAAAAATTATTATTTTGTGTGATATATCATAAAGTGTTTGTTTTTTATTCAAGTTATTTATTTATTGCACAAAATGTTTGCATACAAACCAGTATATTGATATAGTTTTCAATGTCACTCAATCTTGAAATAACTAAACAAATTATATGTATTGTCTATAAATTGATATAAGTTTTTCTGAAAAAAATTACTAATAATAAACTTGTAGTTATAATGGAAAAATGTCATACATGTATTAATATATAAGATAAATATATTATTTTATTGTAAATATATAATAAATAAGAAATGATTTTTTGTAAAATAACGTAATAATATTATTAATATTAAAATAGAAAATCAATATAAAAGCAATGTTTTTCAATAAATAGTTTTTTCAATAGTTTCTCAATACTGTACATATGTACATGTATTATAGATTATTATTAATATTGTAGGTTGAAAACAATGTATTACTATGAATAGGTAAATATACTACAAAATACAATATAAATTATAAGGTACTGTATTTGTATAAAAGTTATTTGTATATAATTTTTTAAAACTTCAATAAAATAAACAAAAATTAAGCATTTAGATATACAGGTAGATATAAATTTATTCATATATATATATATATATATATATATATATATATATATATATATATATATATATATATATATATATATATATATATATATATACATATTAAATATGTATTTACAGGACTGTACTAATAAAAAATGTTTTAAAAAATTATAAAAATATAGTTTTGCTTAGATACAGTATATAATTACGGTAATAAAAATTATAAAATAGTAAAAATAGTTTGTAATAAAATTTAAAACGTATTTACAAATATAACTTTAAAAATGTTAAGTAAAACATATTTTTTGAAAAATAGAATAAATTTAAATATATGATAATATTTTAAATCATGTGATTAATATCTATTTAATTTACAGTATAATTACTACTTTAATTATTAATAAGCCAAAATACAATATAATATAATAAATTTCATTATAATACAATAATTATCAAACCATTATAAATAAAATTCAATACTTCCTGTAAATGATAGATGTGAATGGGAAATGTTATTGAATAAGTAATAGTATGAATCAGATACAGTATTACATTTTTATTGTACAAAATAATTTCATATATAATATATATATAAAAAAATATTATTATAAATATACATACATTCAATTTATATGTTAGTTTATATTACTATTTCTTGAAGGCAATTAAATTAATTGCATATTAACTCTTAAGTTATTACAAATAAATAATAATAAAAATATATTGTAGAATATTCTTTAATGATTACAAAATTTTAGTTTTTTTTCTATTTGTTGGCTTAATATTTGTTACTATATAGAGTGTTGTTATGTAATAATCATTAAGCACACATAATATATATACAAAAAAAACTTTACATGTATTGTATATATTTTATTATTATTAATGAGAGGTCATAATTAATTTTCTACTATTTCCTAGTAATTTACTTATTAAACATTATATACAGTACTGTTTTGATTATTAATAATTTATATTAACTATAAAAAATGAGTTATTCCAATTTTTTGTTATTTTATTATTAAATATATAATAATATTACTATAACATAAAAATATTTCATTATAGATATGCAATAATATATAAAAGATTATAATTTAGGATTAACTTTAATTATTATTTTGTATTCAATGAGTAATTTCATATTTAGATTACAGTAGTTTGAAGTAACTTGAATTGAAAACATTATTTTTAATTTAACACAAAATGCAAAAAATTTATTTTTGCTATTAATACACTTGAATAAGCTTACAATATAAAAATTTATTTAATTTTAAATTTCATACAACGATTATTAAATTTGATATAATAAAAAATTTAGAATTTAATTAAGTTGACATAAAAATAATAAATTATTTTCTATTAATATAATTGCTATTTATTGCAAAATCGCTTAATTAGTTATTATAATTAAATTAATTGAATAATATATAAATAGTATTTATTAATGTATTCAGTGCAATAACTATGAAATTAAAATTTATAACCAGGATATTATTGACAAAAATTATAAGGGTATATCATAATTAAATAACATATTGTGTGTATATTAAATTAAATATTTATTAAATGAATAGCAATTTATACATTTATATATTTATATTCCTATTATTATATATTATTAATTTATTAATCTATAAATTATTTATGATATGTAGGAAACCCACAAAAAGATATGCAACAAAACTCGCGAATCACAGAAACGACGCAAAGTTTTTAATTCACACAAACAAAGGGCCGAATTAGAGAATGTAAACGGCTTTCCCATTACCCCACCGTCCAGACAGACAACCAGCGAACCTAAACCAGCGGTGAACAAGAAGGCCGATTGGCGGGCAAAACACGAAGAGTTTTTGCGTACGGTTCGGGCGGCCAGAGGCGAAAAGGTTGACGAACCGGAGGCCAACGGTGACTTAGGTGCTCATCGGGTACCCGTCGGCTATATTGTGTGCGACTATTGTGGTCGCAATTTTTCAGAGAAAGCGGCCGACAGGCATATCGAGTGGTGCAAAGAGCAAAAGGCACGCATCCCGCGCAGTGCCAACAATGCTAAGGCATTGGAGCGCATGAAAGCACGTACTAAGGTATTGATAAATTATAATTGTTTACAAATTTATATTATATAAGTTATATTAGTACTATAAAATTAATCCATAAATATATTGATAAACAAAATATTAAGCAATTTAATGTTAAATTGTTTTTTTTGTTAGATTTCATATATTCATATTTTTTAAAAAATAATAATAAAATAATAATAATTAACACATATATCTAAAAGACATTGTTATTAATAATTATTATTTTTCCCAATAATATATCAATTAAAAGCTATTTCTTAATGATTTTTACTTTATGCTGTAAACAATGTGTTAGAATATCCAATACATTAATGATTATTATTTTATCGATACTTTAATAATATACTGTAGATATAATAACCTATATCATTGAAAAACAAAAAATATATATTTATTATTAGTATCTTTGTTTATGAATAAAAATTATCATATTTATTGACTATTTATTAATGACAATAATAAAAATAATTGCTTACTGACAAAAAAATATGATTAATATAAAATAATTCTATTATTTATATTAACTTTTGATATTTATTTTTTTCATAAATTAACGAATTTATAATTTTTTTTTTTTTAAATAGATCAATAAATTTACTTTATTTAAAGTAAATTCTAATTGTATATATTTTACAATTATAAATTGTAGACATAATATAACCTTGATCTTCAGTTTTACTAATAATATTATTTCTAAATAATTTATTTATAAAAATATTTTAATTATTTTAAAAGTTTGTTTTTATTACTAATGTTAATGCTATAACTTCATTAATCAAAGTAGTTTTAAATGTTTAGCGAATTAAATATATTTGAATTTAATTGCTTAATATAACGATATTTTTCATATAAACAATAATCTCCATAATTATAATTATAATATTATGCGCTCTATTAATAATAATAGGAAAAAAATCAATTCTTATATTTATAATTTTTATTATGAATAAGCATTTTATTAATACGATTAAATTAAACTACAATATATACAGTATAAGCAAATATAATTAACTAAATTTATTCATAATGCATTATTACTTAGTATAATATATTTTGCTTTTCAAATAAAACAACATATATATGTATATTCATAATACATAATATGTTGAAATGTAATAATATAAAAAATAATCATGGTCAGCTGAGTCTGACCATTATGATTAAAGTAAATTATATTTTATTGAAAACTGCATAGTATTATGAACACTGTATATAATTATTTGTTTATTCATTTATATAAATTTATTTATTATAAATGCATAATATTGATATTTATTAACTGTTATAATAGTCTACTATACAGTAGTATTGGAAGTACTGTATATATATAAATCAGTAAATTTTGCAATAATATTGATAGTTGACTAATGGATAATAAATGTAAATTCAATTGAATTATTTTGTTATACTTTTGTTATAAACGTCATATATTTAAGTGAATTATATCATACAGTATAAAAAATTAATTTGTTTCAGTGTAAAAGCAAATTTTTGAAAAAATGAAAGTTTAAGTAAAACTTATTATCAATTACAACAAATTATTAGTAATTGAACTAAAATAGTAACTCTTTTTTATTACAATTAAAAGTAAATCCTACACTACAGAGAGGTCATTGATATTAGAAAATATATTATATTATATTAAAGGGCAAAATTATTTTTCACAAATCATTAAAATACTAATTAAATATTTATATATATACAGCATATAAATAATATATTAATTATACCGGTATAATAATGAATCCCATATTTCCAATGCAGTATAAACCTACTAAAAATAATAATAATAAGGTGACATCACCTAAAACGGAATCTCCACCGAAAACAATGTTTACCGGTAGCCGAACCTCTTCATCGTCGACGGGCACCACAACCAGTATGTCTCGTTCCTATCCATCTCCTGCGGCCCCTAAGCGTCCAACGCCACCCAATTCACTGAAGACATCGCCGGTAGTTAAGCCGCGTAACACTCGGCGAATAACACCGTCGCCGCCATCGAAGTCCAAGTTTGACCAAAAACGTATACAATCGTTGTCGCGACCGAAAAACACATCGCCCGACAGTATAGGACATATGCTCAAACAGACGGCACCCGTCATGAAATTCAAAGAAAAGTTTCCCAATCATACCAACGCTACCCGTTTGGATACAAACTTTATTATCAAAAACGGACATTTGACCGAATTGATGAAAAAGTCGGAAAAAGCTTACGATAGTAGTCCGCGAACGGTGCCGGGAGTTAGGACGGGCGGTATGTCACCCGTCAAAAGTGAGATTCTAAGCAACCATCAAAATGGGTTAGTAATTCATTAAATTGAAACATTGGTTTATAATAATCAATTTAATTGATTTTTTAATTTTATTTTACAAAATTTTAGTTTATTATATATGTGTGTGTTTGAGTTGCTAATGACTTAAATACAAAACTTTATAAACTAATTAAATTACAACATATTTTAACCTCATTTTCATACTATATGTATGTCTATTGTTGATAACAAATAAATAATTCAAGTTTTTAGGACATACTGGGTATTATTGTATGGTACAATAAGTATAAATATTTTATGTTAAATATCAGTAGATCATTTATTAGATTTTTTTTCAAATAAATTTGAATAAATAATTTTTATTAAATTATATTGATATGTCATATGATATAATATTCATAATATATATTTACTAGTATTGTATATGCAGTAGAAATATCGATTAAAACATTTTTTTGATACTATTATGCAGATTAACATAATTATCTAGTCGTAGACACTTTACTATTATTAATATCATATTATTATCTAACTGTTTATTATTCTGAATTCAAATAATATTTTATAACATTTATTTTCAATTGTTATCACTAAAAATCATAATTTTATTGATTTATTATTTAGTATAATTTCAAAACAGGTCATTTAACTATTGTATAACTTTTGTTTTTATTTATAACTAAAGTAATATTATAGTTTTATATTATTAAAGTATTATTTTATGATATTTATATATTAGAGCTTTTTCTTAATAGTATATTTGTAATATTATAATACCTTATATGAATATTATCACAAATCTACACTAATATATTATTACAAAATTCATTTAACAGAATATTCTATAAATATGAAAACTTAGGAAAAATTATTAAAATATAATTTATTTTATAATAATAATACAGTAGATATTCTTAATATTTAAATTTATTTTTATTTTATTTACTGTTTTTATTTATCATTTGATTTTTTTTCTCTTTCATTACTTAATGTAAAAATCAATTGAATTCTCATTTATAATTTTAATGTTATATAATATTTGTGACATAATATATTAATATTTTACTACATTTATACATATATATTAAGATTCAATAAATAACATATATTAACGAATTTTATTTGTTATGTTATATAACATTTGCACAGACATTACACAACCAGTAATAATAATAATAATAATCTTCGTAAAAATAATTTTGATAAACACAACATTAATAATAATAATAACGACATTCATGACAATCATAACAATCAACACAACGATAATAACAATATTAATCACCAATTCATGTCCGATGAGGAAGAATTGGCTAAATTAAAGGCCAGAATCGAGGAAATGTATTTGAATGGTAGTCCGGGAACCGGAATCAAACCTAAGAGCAATGCAATTGTCATTAACGGATCCACTCTTAGAAACAATCATCAATTCGAGGCCAATCACAACAGCGAGAGTACAACTCGTGGCAGTACTGGTGGCTCGAGTGCTGAGTCGTCTTCCATAACAACACCGCCTCCCGGAACCATACAGCGCGACATAACTGGTAATTCAGGTTCAGCCGATTCAGTCAGATCTCAAGCATCGTCAACGGGCAGCGGCACAGGGCTACCGAAATTTTGCCACCAGTGCGGCACTAAATATCCGTCAACTATAGCAAAATATTGTTATGAATGCGGTTCCCGTAGGTTGGGAACTGTCGGACCATTTATAGCTACATAACTATTAGTTTATTGATAAATACTAATTAATTATTTAATGCCTTTTCAATATTTAATAATTTTAGTCTACCTTTTTTCATAAAGTATTTAATTTTATTATTTAATTAACTTTTATTATAAACATTTACAGTATTTATTAAAATATAAAAATGATATAGATTATATTATATTATAATATAGATTATTATATTACAGTACATATGGTTAATATTTTTAAATACATTAAATATATAACTTTTCATATAATTACTCATAAAATGTTTGCTTAAATTATTATAATAATTGTAATTACATTGTAATATTAAAGATAGTGTTTTTAAAAAAAATGTATATTAAAATTTCAATTGAAAAAATTGATTTTATTAAATAAATATTATCATTATAATCAATATTATAATTATTTGTACAGTTGTTTTATTTATTTATTTTTTACAAAATCAACCAAACTCATACAATGTAGATTAAAAATAATTAAAAATATTAAAATAGTCACTATTTAACAACAACATAAAAAATCTATTATTTAAAAATACATTATCATAATATCAATATTACCAAAAACAACCTATTTTTAAGTAACATAGACTACGATTATTATTGCATACCTGTAGATAAGTTTATGTATACCTGTAATATAAATTAATGTGATAACTAAATTTTAACCACAAAAAAGTTAATTAAATTTAAATAACTATTTTTTTGATGAATAACTAGTAAACTTATTTGATAACCATTTTACTAATTAATTAAATTAATTAATTAATATTTAGTTTAGAATTTTGATAGAAAAAAATAATAACAATTTTAATAACAATTATATTTTGAATATGTATTGAATTTATATGAATTTTTTTTTCAATCATAAAAAAAACGAAATTATTTTTATTAATTTATATAAATTTATCAATTATTTTAACTAATTTCAGTACCTTTTAAAAACATTTACTACTATTTCAAGTATTATTATTTTTTCTTGTATTACACCTACAGTACCCCTAAGTTTAATGATCAACAAATAAATTATGAAAATGTTATTAACATTACATACAAACTACCGGTTATTATGATATTGTAGTGGACTTTGATTGTATTGAATCCGGCAATAATTTATTAACCTTTTTAATAGTACACTCTCTATAGACAATGTTGTTGACAATATTAGCTTTGATTCTATTACTAAATATCAACAAAAAATAATCGTCAAAAACAACCACTACATTGCATATACAGTGAATGCAAGTTATAATTTTAAATAACTGTTGTATAGCACAGTTAGCTCAGTATATACACCTAAGCTCATACATGTATAACCTTAACTACAGTATTACACACATACATACATACTGTCAATAACAACAATATTATTAATATAATGAGTGAGACATACCTGTGCTCAAACACAGACAGCACAACACAACGTATTTATGAGTATTTTATCTGATTTTACATTAAATTAATTTAATATTAAAAAAAATAAAATAAAATTTTATTCAATATTTATTGCATTTATTATAATCGTTGTCTAAATATATGAGTCAATACTTGTGTCAAAACCAAACCATTAGACAACAAACAGACAGACAGACAATCATCTGTTGTAAAGACAGACTAATTGACAGACAGAACAACTCAACGACACATCTTCTTGTTGTTTGTGTCACCACTTCTTCAATCATATCATATGTTATAATATATAATGGACTCAAATAGTAATTACAACGACACCGATGGTGGTAACCATCGAGTAGAGGACACAAACAGCAATGTTATGACGACCGACAATAGCCATCATCGGCAGCAACAGATGTCGACAACAACTGGCGATCAGTTGACGACTTCCGGCGGTGATATCAATTGCAACGACGACGAGACCAATCAAAGTCGCAAACATTATATTAATGGTTAGATTTCATTGATTAACTTATTTTGAATTTATTTGGATTACAAGTATTGCTATAAAAATATTGATAATACAGTACTTTAAAGAGTGTTTTGATAAGAGTGTCAATAAACATATGACTCATTTAATTGTTTATCTGATCCCTTAATCATATATATTGTAATTCATTTTGTTTTGTCATTTTGACAGCAACTGAGACATTAATCCATCCATTGATGGCCACCAGCGGTAGTGATAGTAATCTCAAGAGCTGTACGCCATCTCCACCGCCGGCGACGACTAACACAGAAACGGACACTCATTCCATGTCCTCGTCGTCGACCTCTAGTCTGCCGGCAATGCAAACATCGATGACATCCATAGAAAGTCAGCCACCGATGACTCCATCGATAATTTCTCGGCCGACTTCAATAGCTCCGCCGCCATTGCGACAAATTGTCACGTATTTAGGCTGTGCGGCCATTAATGCGCCGCGAAGTGAGGCCGAAATACAGCGCAATATGGCCATATTGAACGACAGTCCATCGGCAATGGATATCACACTTATTGTGCCAAAATGTCCAGACGATTGTGTCCAGATGTACGAAATGAACGGAGACTCGGGTACCGGTAGTAATGGCGACACGTCATCGTCCGATAGTAATGATAGTCACAAAATTGTCGCACAGTTTCCGATTTCGCGGATCATATTCTGTGCCAGAGGTCGTCACGATTCTAATGAGAGAAACTGTTTCGCATTTACCGCATCTCACGGCCAGACATTCGAGTCGGGTGTCATACAGTGTCATGTGTTCAGATGTCGTGCCACCGAAACTGTGGCCGAAATACTTCACGCATTTGGACTGGCATTTAGGTATGTGCTCACAGATTATATGCTGTAATACAGTATATATATATATATAAATATCATTAGAAAAACATTTGTCGTTTTTGACATTTGAGAGGTGTGTCACATATTATGTAAATTAATTAAATATATATTTACAATAGTAGTAGTAGTAGTATATATATACTGTATAATCAAATTATAAAAGTGGTTATTATTTTGTGGGAACTGTTAACTATTCGTAATTAATTATTTAGTAAACTAATATTTAGTTTATTTTTAAAAATAATTATTAGTGAATATTATAGTGAATATTATTTTTTTCAGAGTAGACAATATTTTCATAATAAACATTTGTTAGTATACTGTAAACTTATACACTATATTATAGATTATTTTGATTTTTTTTGTTTAATAGTCGAGTCGTTTTTTGCTAAAATTTTTAATGATAAGATATTTTAAATGATAATTAATGTATATTTTGTTATAACTGTTATTTTGAAAATTTTTATTTATAACAAAATTTAAGTTGATTAAACTGTATATGTTGTTTAAAATTATTATAAATTACAATAATTTTGAATTTTGTTTAATTTGTTATCAATGGCAATGGATTTACTTAACAAGTAATGAAATTGACTATTTAATAGTTTAATTAAATTATTTTAAAAACTAATTATTATAATTATTAATACAAAATATTATTAATTGTTTTTCATTTGATTAGACGTGTGATCACAAACAATACGACCCAACACGAGATAACGGTGACTATGGAAGCGGGACTCGAGATAAAAGAGGACACAACTGATGGCAAGACAACGGTATGTCCGCGAGATAAGGAGTGCTTCAAGTTTAAGGTCAACACAGAGAAGAAGATATGTGTGGCTATATTTCAAGACATTACTCAATCAAAAATATCATTAAATATCGAAAAATGTTTTGGGATGCTATTGTCACCGGGTATTTATTATTATTATTATTATTATAAATTATATATATATTAATTAATTTGTGTTTTTTAATTAACCGGTAATTGCTAATTAAAAATTTATGTCTTATTTATGATAGCAATGATATACACATGTTTATTCATTAATAACTAATTCATATAAATAATTGATTTGAATTAAGATATTTTTTAATTTTATCTCTTTATTTAAGTCATTATACTATATTATGATTATCGTTACTTATAATTAAATATATAATATATTTGTATTTATAGGTCGAAATATACGGGCGTCTGATATGATACCAATAGGTCTATTATCAATGAACAGACTTCAAGTGCCCTTAGATAACAGTCGCAAAAGTGTCACTCAGTGGCAAATTATTGGCACTTGGAATCCAAGCGAACCGCTATTTGAAGTCTTAAATACGGAAACACCGAGAGATACCAGAGTTTACTTTACCATAGCTGTCGATCTGGTTGTTTCGGGTATACAAACACCGGTGCGCTTTGTGTTTGAGGCTAAAGCCAAAGTGACTAATAGTACAGCAGCTGATAAATTTTGGATTAATCTACCGGCCTTTTCTAAAGGCAAGCCTCTTCACGAACAATTTCATGTACAGCTCAGGGAGAAGACTAACTCGGAACCGAACTCGCGTTTCGAAGTTGTCTCATGTTTTTCATCCACACAATTGCTTCATCAACGACATAAACTAGCACTTAGGCTACGACAAGATGGCCAACTAATGGGCGACCGAATGGAATCGCATCGAACGTCTGTTGCGTCTTTGCCCACCCCATCCAATGATGACAGTGAAGACAATGATGAGCCACTTCCCAGTGGTACCGGTATTGTTAGCAAAGAGTGTTCGCAAACAGAACTTGACGGTTGGTCTGATCTTTTGAATAAATGGCATCAAAACCTATCGCATCGACCCAAACAAGTGCAAACACTTGTCCGACGAGGCATTCCCGAAGCTCTGAGAGGCGAAGTGTGGCAGCTATTGGCCGGTTGTCAGGACGAGACCTCACTTATGGATCAATACAAAGTGCTCATCACTAAAGAATCACCGTATGAGAAGTACATTGAAAGAGATATCAATCGCACATTTCCTGCCCACGAATTTTTTAAAGAGTCCGGCTCTTTAGGTATGATTTCAAATTAAGTTTAAACAATATAAATAAAATATTTATATAAATTTATATTATTATTATTTTATGAACTTAAAGGCCAGGATTCACTGTTCAAGTTATGCAAAGCCTATTCAAATTATGACACTGAGATCGGCTACTGTCAGGGCCTATCATTTCTTATCGCAGCCTTACTTCTGCATATGCCAGAGGAACAGGCGTTTTGTGTTTTAACTAAAATTATGAACGATTACGGACTGAGGAACCTATTCCGCAACGGTTTCGAAGAACTTCACTGCAAATTCTATCAATTGGAACGATCTATGGATTATATTATGCCTGAATTATACTCACATTTTGCTGATTTAGGTATTATTGATATTTAATATTATTATCGATTGGTTTGAAACTGTTATTATAGCAAAAAATATATTATTCCTTAACAGGTGTTGAGGCACATATGTATGCTTCCCAATGGTTTTTGACACTATTTACGGCAAAATTTCCATTACATGTGGTGTTTCCAATATTAGATCTGTTTCTTTTAGATGGTATGGACACCATATTCCAGATTGCATTGGCGTTACTATCGGTATCCAAGAAGGACTTACTAGCGCTCGACTTTGAGGCCATTCTCAAGTATTTCAGAGTACAGTTACCGAAAAAGTTTCGCACCGAAGAAAATGGGAAATTTCTTTTAAGGACAGCCGTTGGCATCAAAGTTAAGGTATGTTTTTCTTATTTATTGAAATACAAGTGATTGAGTCGTTATTTTAATAAAATTAATTTATATAACTTTACTGGTAATTGATATTAGTTTTGTTGAAATTAATTGACTACAGTTACACATACAGTATTTAACTGCACATTTGCTATTAATATTACAGTTTTTACAGCTACATATAAAGTATTTTGTTTATATTATACATTACCCAGGTGATTCATTAGCAATAATCTAATGATAAATTTACAGTAACGTGATGATAATGACATGCAATTGTTAAATGCCTATTGTATTACATTTATAATTGATTTTTGTTGTCATAATAATGTTAATTGTTATACATTTAATAATTGTTATACATTTTTATTAACGTAATTATTATTTCTGTTTGTAATATATAATAGAAATTAAAGAAATACGAAAAGGAATATCAGGTGTGGAAAGAGTCGACAAAAGTGGAGAATCCGATCGATAGATTGGAAAAAGAAAACAAACGGCTATTGGATACCACTCTGAGGTTGGAACAGGAGAACGACGACTTAGCTCAGGAACTGTTGACTACATGTAACTCGAAGATCAAACTGCGCGCCGAATTGGACAAAATGGAGGATAAGGCCGACGCACTGTCCACTGAGTTGTTGACTACAAGCAAACTGTTGATCGATGCCGAAGATGAGAAACGCAGACTTGAAGATGAAGTAAAGAATTTGAAGGTCTGTTTTTAAGAAGTTATCTATGGTTTGAGGATATATCTAACAGAATCTTTGGTTATTTATTATTATTTTTTTTTGGTAATATATAGGAAATGTGTAGACGAGAGCTGGAAAGGGCTGAGCTTGAGATCAGCACAAATGCAAAAATTATATCTGAATACAAACAAATATGCAGTCAATTACAGACGAGGTTTGATGCCGAACAGTCATCGTCTCGTGAATCACTCGACAAGATATTAGACAAAGTGAAGAACTGTGAACAGTGCGCACAGTTGTTCACTAATAACTGTGCCAACAATAATAAGGATATCTACGGATCAATGGTTGCTGATGGTAGTGTCAATGGTGGCAGTGATGCCAGTGATGGTATTGGAAACGCCAACACAAATCTCTTGCAGCATAGGATCGTGGACTTGGAGTCTGAATTGGTTAAGTCAAAGGTGGCACTCGTAGAGGCCGAGTGCCGGAATGAGGTATAGTTTTTTAGTCATGTTTTTATTAAAATCGAGTTTTTTAAAAACTAATAAGTAGTCTAAAAACTTTCACTTGGAATATGCTATCAATTATTAATTTGATATTTATTGACATAAATTTATTTTATATATTTTTTTATATATATACCGGTATATATCATGTATAAGACTTTACTATTACATATATATATATATATAACTATTGATTTTTGTTTTGTTTTTTTTGTTGCAAACTTTATTACAAGTTGTGTTGAATTTTGTAAAATTTGAAGTCTACATTAAGCAACTAAAAATCAGTATTAAATAATTAATAACATTTTTTGAAGAGACATTCAAATAAATTATTTATATTTGAATTTCTTACATTTCCTATCAGTACAGTACAGTATATACAGTATATAAATTAAAAATATATTTTACATTAGTTTTATACATATATAATAGTAATTGTATATAAGATATTTGAGATAACATTTACTTTTATTTTAAAAATAAATATTTATTGATAAAAATATAATTGAATTCTAACATAAGTTAAACTGAATTAAATTTTAAGTATGACATCAATTGATTATTGAATTTTGTTGTTTGATTTATAGGAACTCATGAAAGACCTAAACTCTTTTCAAACAGAGATTCATCACTTGAGGACACAAAATGACGAGTCGAAGAATACTTGGTTTTCGAAGACATTGTCATCGATACGAGAGGCCACCAAACCAATGGCCAGACAGCCATCAACGGTATCGTCCGATTCAACGCTGTCATCATCACAACAGTCGTCATCGACTTCCAGTATGACCACACCTGTCGTTAGTCGTGACACGAGTCGCGACTTTGCAAACACTTAGTGTTTATGATTTTAAACATATTTTTTAGATGCAAAATACAATTACTGTTAACAAATTAAATTAAATTTTATAATGTTATATCTATGATTTAATTTTCACCTGTTTGTATTGTTTTTTATTTAAACTAAACAATTGGATAACATCAAATTTGTTTTATTTTTTTACCTGACAATTGATTATGTTGAATTAAGTCAATTTAAAATCAATATACATGTTAAAATTATGCATGTATAATTACCTAGATTATTCTGTTATTGATTTTATAAATTTAAAATAGAATCAAAATATTATAATATAAAATATATTTGTATAGAAAATAGTTTTAGCTAACCGGTAACTAATATTATTTTACGTTATATGTTTATTATGAAAATTATATAAATATGTCAATTAACATTATAGCAGCACATGTATGTTTAGTATAATAAATATAATCTAAATTGGCTTAATTGTATATAAAAATTATAATAATATTATGTCAGGTAATTGTTTTACCGCTTATAAGCATTTAGGACAACCTTTTTTCACTAATATTTGTTAACCAATATATATATACTATACCTCTTGTCTCAGAGATAAGCTATCTGTAAATCTGTTGTGTATTTATATCAATAGTCATAAAATATGACATAATATTTATAATTAGCGGTATTAATAATAATAATAATTTATTAATTAACAACAATTGTAACGCGAATATCATTTTTTCGAAATTAATTTATATATATTTTTATATTATTATTAATGACACTTTCATATAATTAATGTTTTTTTCTTAAATGTTTGTTTTTCATTTATATAATTTTGTTATTTTGATTAATTGATAATTTATTTATTTGTAAGAAAATGATGACATTAAAAAGTTTTGTGATTATTATTATTATTTTGTATATTAATTTAAATAATAATTAATTAAAAATTTCATTATTTATTGGCTTTTTACTCATTAAATGAGAAATTAAATTACTAATTGATTTAGTTTTATTAACATGAATTTATGTAATAAATAGTGATTTTATAGTGTATTTTATTTGATAACTCCAACTGATAATCATAACAATTCTTGTTTATTATAGTAGTTTAAAATTGTGTCTAAAATATTTATATTAATAAAATATTTTTAATTTATATAATGTATGCATATATACAGTAAGAATTACTTTATAATTTTATACTTTTATATTTAGACAATAATTTATATTTAGAAATATTTCACCAAAACTGAGCAATAATTTTAATAATAAATATAGAATTTAAATACATTTTCCAATTTAAACATATATTATACTTTCATTGCATTATTATTCCTATAAATAATTGTCGACCTATTTATAGGTCAATCAATCCTTTTCTACTGTAGTGTTCATATATTGTATATGTGATACAACTGATAATATTTTTATATCTCATGTATTCATATTACTGTGTAATAAGGATTACTGTTAATAAAGTCTATATATATATTAGCAATAGTAACATATATTTTGATTATTTAGTTTCTTATGATTAAAAATTAAAATACAACAATTTCTTAATATAATATTATTAAATTCTATATAATATTTTTTTCTATATGATATATTAACTATTTTATGCATTAGTAAAATCTTTGATACAGTAATAGTATGATATATGATTTTATTTCAAAAATTTCTATTCAAAATAATTCAAAAAATTTTAAAAAATAAAAAATCAATTCATTTATCAATGGATACGAAAAGTTTTATAATACGATAAGCCATGAAAAATTTAATTATAATAATAACATTAAATATTATTATTTAGAGAAATATTAAAACTATATATTTTACCATTTTGCGTATTTAATATATTAATAAATAGTCAGAATTTTATTAATTAATATTGTTTTAGAAATATATAATATTATCTAAATTTTATGTAATTAGTTGCCTAACTAATAAAAATTATAAAATAGAATAATAACAATAAAAACAATATTTTATTTAAATAACTTCATTATACAGTATTATATTACAGATTAAATATTTTTAGAAAATAAAATCTTAATATATAACATCATCATACTAATAATAAATTAATTATGTTTAAAACCAATTAAAATAACTTTTTAAATAAATTATATATAAAAATAATTTACTTTTTAAATTTCTAGAAATTTACATTCAAATTATAAACAAATTAAATTAAAAATATTCTATTCATTTATTAATAATATTTATAGGATATACAAATGATTTTCAAAAAAAACAGACGCAAAATAACAGAATATTTGATGATATACTTCATATAATATATTATAATAGACACCAAATTTTCTATTAGATTTTTTTTATGTATAAAAATATACACAACTAATATTATTTATTGTTTATTTTAACATAATTTAAGATATATTATATTAACTTTATATATATATATTTGATGTTATATTAATGTATACAGGTATGTATATTCTTGTTATATGAAGTACATCACACATATCTATATGACACTCAAATTTTTATTACGTATATTATACTTATATTTATCTATTTATATATAAAAAGCAATTCACTTACGAGTGAATGGTTGCAAAAACTATAGTACAGTACACACAAAACATTTATATTAATGTTGATGACTATGAATAATATTATTATTATGTTATTTTGGCATTATTTTTTTTATTATTAGTTATATTATTAATAATATTATTTAACATAATATTTGTTTTATTAAATATGTATAAATCCGATGCCACAAAACTAAAAACAAATAATAATAATTATATACTTGAAGTCACAACATTTTAGTAACACTCAGCACTGGTAGCCGTTATATAATATGAATGATGACAGTTATTATTATTGCCGACCACTGGACTTGTCACCAGCTCTGGTAGTTGACGACAGTTATCATTTTGGTACTGTTGTATCGATTGACTGCAGGTTTGCTGATGACTGTCCAAAACAGTTCTGACCGGTTGATTGCCGTTGTTATTATCGTTGTCGTTGCTATTGGTGTTGTGTTGGTCGGACTGTTGGACCACTGGTGCTGTTTTGCTACGTTTAAGACAACAGCACAACGATATCAGTATAAATAGCGCCAACACTGTTATGTAAAGCCATAGCAATACCCCCAGACCTAAGATAACGGGACTGTTGGTTGTGTAGGGACTACTCATCATCCAAATGATGTGGGATTAACTTTGCAATCACTACACATACAATACATATAGTCAAGTGCGACACTAAACTCGCACCAGTGTTTCAGCTGATGATGACATTAGGGTTATTGTATATAAGATCTGATACGATATGATTTGATAATAGAGTCGATATGTATGTGCTATAAGTTATGAGTTCCCAACTGAACAAAAAAAAACACATTCACACACTGACTGCACTTATTAATAATGGATCTGATATTACACTTATAGTTCAAATGATGTATTATATACAAGCAGTCAATTCAAATCAATGACAACTGTCTTGTCTTTAATGATTATTAATGAAATTTTATTAATATTGTTATAATTTGTTTGTATGATGAATATGACTTAATGTTTGCTTTTAATAATAATAATAATAATTATCCCAATTTTGAATCTGTTATCTTCAAGTAGTGTTTCACTGGAAAATTAATGAAAACTTTTGTAATCGAAATAAGCAATCGAAAGCTTTTTTTGTATTTGTCGTCCAATAATACAATGAAAATCTGTTTGTGTGAGAAAACAATCACTTGTTTTAATATGTTTGCTAATAGTATTAAATACAGTTTATAGGGTTTAATTCAATTACTATTAAAACATAATTACAAAATTTCTTAACTTTCTAAAAGATTTAATTTATACAATAAATACTGTAATATATCTGGATTATAAAGCTTATCCTATTTGTTATGCTTCATATATTGTATTTACAGCACATATATAGATATTAACTTAGTTTTTAAATACAGAATATTCTTTAATTACATGTTTAGTTAAATAAACATGTTTTACGTTTTAACACAAAATATTTGTTATTTCTGATATTTGTATTATCAAAATATATCAAAATTAATTAATTTTGATTTGAATTATTTTCATTTATAAAATCAAAAAAAGACAAATTTTACTCTAATTCAAATTTTATAAATATTTTATATTGTAAACACAATTATATTTTTATTTGTTAGTACTTGTATGAAAATATGCAGACATTGTTTTAATATTTCACTATTATGACACACGTCTGCATATTTGTATAATATTTGAATAACAAAAATTTATATTTTGAAAAATGCTTATTATTGCATATTTTTATAATTATACAATTTCCTTATGTATTACTATTTAATGTATTTTGTTGAGTATTTTTTTAATGTGTAAATATATTGATATAATATTATAAACAAATTTTATTTAATTAAAATTGTTTGAATAAAAACTAAATTAACTCATTAAAACATAAATAATATTTTTTTTAACTTAACACATGTTTAACGTTTGCATTATATACTAACAAATATTCAATAAATATTTATATTATGTTTTTGTTTATTAATTTGTTTAGATTTTGTTTAATTAAAAAATATTAAAAAATTAAAAATAGAAATGTTTTGTATCTTATATTATAATAATATTAAACAAATATTATTTAAAGCTTCAAATATTCTAAAAATTAATAAATTATTATAATATTTTTATTGTACACAAAAATAAAACTTTATATTATATTATATTAAAAATTTTAATATGAAAAATTATTATTCTTTTTTATATCATATTAAATAACGTTGAAATTATTTTATAAAAATAATTTATTTTTATATAATTTATATTTATAGTTTGTTAATATTTAATAATTTTAACTTTTTTTGTTGATATTTTACTCTATAAAAAATATTTTATTAAATATTTTATATTATTTAGTTTATTACTTATTTATTTATTTAACAAAATTATTATATTAAATTTAATTCTAATTTAGTTAAATATAATAAACTGTTTAATGTATGGAATGTAAATAAAAACATAGTTTTTAAATATACAGACAATCGATAAAATGTAATCTCTAAACCCTTAATTAAAAATTCAATTTAAAATTCAATGTTATTACTAAAGCAATAACAATGTTGTTTATCTTTAACTATAATTTTAAATGAAAGGCAAACAAATTAAAAATAGTTCACAAATTCAAGTGTTATTTATGTATAATGTTGTGAAAGACAATGAAATGATGTTTAAATAATAAATAGTTAAAATGCATAATTTAAGAGAAATATAATTTGATAAATATATTAGCTTTAATAAATAATTAAAAGCTTTAATTAACTTTAATAAA